GACTTGGGATGTCATTTTATTAAGGGAAAAATTTGTCCAGTTGCATTGTTATGGGTTTTGTCGACCCAAATGACTTGCTTTTGGATATCTTTACTAAATCCCTTAGGGATCCTTGTATCGTTTTTTTTTTTTTGGCCCCATATGAGCTGCGTGTCTTGTGCACTTCAGTCTCGCGTTGCTTGCTTCTTATGCTATTTAGTTCTTCCTTATGGTATAGTGCATATAAGCGTTTTTCCCTTACACTTTCCAATAATATATTCTCTTTTATTTTTTCCCCCTAGGCAATCTCAATTGGTATCGAGATGCAACTTGACAAGATTGTTCCAGATTTCGTTGACATTTAAAAATTGTTTTTGTGTCCTTTCGAATCTGACACGTTCTTCTATTGGTCTCAAAATGTATAACTGAACAGATGGCACATAGTACACGATCTAGTAGCAAGTCTAAGGATGATGAAAATAATAATGGAAGGCGCTCATGCTCTTCTGCATCGGATGCAAATGACCTCAAATATCTGCTAGAAAGAAAGACAGCATTAAGGGCGTCTTCAATTCCTCCAGGAACTCGGAAGTCCAAGCGTTTTACTAAAAAGGACAACACCAAACTAACACAAAGAGAAGGAAACTTGAGAGGTTTGAGCAACCAAAGATTCCAAGTCCCATGAGGAGATCCGAAAGAACTAAGAAGCACTGTCCTTTGTTGACAGAAGATAATGCACATAAATGCAAGACAGACTCCTTTTTTGTGGAGTATTGGCTTCCTGTACAGATATCCCAAGTGCAGCTTGAACAATATTGTTCTACTTTAATTTCAAATGCTTCGGTTCTTCAGTCATCATCAAAATATGATTGTGTTGGAGCCCTTCGGGACCTTCTTATATCAACTCGGAAGGTAAAAATTCTAGCTCTCTTATGATGCAGTATTTGGATCTCACCATTTTTATCATGAGAATACTATACTATTATTTGAAATTTTTTTCTAGATGTTTCGTGGTTATTTATGATAAATTAAATAATAACTGCTTCCTTGACTGAAGTGTATAATGACATTTTTACTCTCAAGTCTTGCACATGATTGTATTCGCAAACAATCTATGCACATGTTATAACTTGGAATTATTATGATAAAAATAAATTTGAGTTAGATATTTTGGGGTTGTGCTTTAAATTTATAATTATTTTAAAGTTGAAATCTCCAGATGTTTTTGCATTTTGAAACAACGTTAGTCCAAAAATTCCTAATGTATTTTGTAATTTACTTGATTCGGAATTCCTTTAAGCTTTCCAATTCATTTATAAGCTTTAAGTGGTTGTAAATTATTATGTTTTCACTTTTTTATTTATCACGTGGCATTTCGTGGCAGTGTGTTGTAATCACCCTTATGTTGTTGATCCATCTTTACAAACTCTGCTTACCGAAGGTCTACCAGCAGTTGACTACCTGGACATTGGAATAAAAGCTAGTGGCAAGCTGCAAGCTCTCGATTCAATGCTTATGGAGTTGAAAAAGAAGGGTCTGAGGGTGCTCATTCTTTTTCAGGTGTTTGTTTTCTGTTTATCCTCCCCTAGCTTCTAAAAGTTGTGCTTCCTCAAGTCTTCACCATGCTTTTGAGTAATAACGATGTTAGTGCACCTGACTGTTACTTAAACAATCCTGATGGGCAGACCAATTCATGAACCACAGCATAGAATTTCAAAAGCAAACTAGTTACCTACAGTAGCTACAATGGCACTTAGTGTTTCTTTTTATGTAATCAATATACTCTCTCTATTCCTTTTGTAAGATCCATCTTTTTGAATTGGTTTGGTTGGGGTTGTCTGAACATTAAATGCATTTTTTACCAATTTTACTCTTAATTAATTGCATTATGTTTTCCTATACATTCTTTTTCATCTTTTTTCCGCACTATTTCTCTCTGTCTCTCTCTTTCACTTATCCTCTTATAGATAAGGGCATATTTGAAGGGGGAAAAAAATATATCTTACATATTTATTACTTTTAATTAATATAATAGATTTCCTAAACTGTGCATTTTGGTTATTTGATGTTATAAAAAGGATTGGAGGGAGTATCAACACACACATGCCCGCAAACAGAATAATATCTATAGTATTAGTTTAGACTTTGTAATCTGAAATTTGAAATCTTTTAGTTCGCCTAATAAATATGGTTTTTGGGGTTTATTGTATTGATTCCCTGGGGGCTTTTAAATATAACCTTTTTTTTTTTTCCAATTCAAGCTGGACATGCCATTCTTCATAAATTTTTATGACATATTGTGGTTTATACAATTTTGCAAATGAATTTCTGCATCTATTTCACTATTGTTAAAAGAATTCTATGCTTCAGTTTTGACACGATAATAAATATAAAATAATTCTCTTGGCACTTAACTAGTAAAGAATGGGTGGTGATAGGGTTGGAGGAAAACTTTTACATGTTCCTCTTATTTTGTTCAAATTTCCCTTTTACAAACACGTACACCAATAAGTGCGCGTCACATATATTTGTCCCTGTGCAGTTTGATTTAAGGTATTACTATATCTTGACCAAATGCAACTTTTAACCAAGTTTTCTTGTTGTGAGGGACGACAACTGGACAAGAGTTGGGAGTCTTGCTCACCCCTGCCCTATTCTCTTTTGTAGGGAATAAACTTCTTCCGTTCCAATTCCTCATAGGGATTTGGGATTCTCATATATGTAAAATCTTATAGAAAGTAGCCAAAATTTTATAATTTCAGTGGCAAGGCTTTTATGGGGAAACATGTTGATGATTTATTGTTCATTATGGACTTTAATGTTATTATTAGAATTTGAAGCAATCTAAAGAAGATTTATTTCTTTTATGTTAGTCCAATCGCACTACTCAAGTTTTACATTCTTTGTTGTCCCTTCAGTGATAATTTTAGGGTGGATTGTGATTCAGGAACTTCTAGTGTAGGTTTTTCCAATTATAGAGTTTCCGTTGAAAATTGTTTATATCCGACTTCAAAGAATAGTTAATTTCCTTGGCTAGGCTTTCTAGACCGGAAATTTCTTAACCGTCAACTGGTCAATTATTATCTGTCAACTTTGAGGGGGATTACTTAAGCAAGGAAGTCAAAAAAGCCTAGAAATAAGTAGTGATTGTTATCATAAATTTCAGTTGTATTCTTCTTATTGTTGTGCTGCCTAACTTTCTTGGCAGGTTAATACATGAGGACTATTATTCTTCTCTTTTTTTCGTGCCTACATTCATTTGTCCAGTGGGTTATCTAATGTTATTATTATTAAAATGATTGGTTTGCAGTCTATAGGTGGTTCTGGGAAGGATTCCATGGGAGACATTTTGGATGATTTCTTGCATCAGAGATTTGGTTCAGATGCTTATGAGCGGGTTGACAAAGGTGTCTTGCATTCTAAGAAGCTAGCTGCCCTGAATCTGTTCAACAATATCGACAGTGGAAGATTCATTTTTTTATTGGAAGCATATGCTTGCGTTCCTAGCATTAAATTGTCATCAGTTGATATCATTATTATATTTAATAGTGATTGGAATCCAATGAATGATATAAAATCGCTTCAGAGGATAACACTTGATTCACAGTCTGAACAAATAAAAATATTTCGTTTGTATGCATGTTTCACTGTTGAAGAAAAAGCCCTAGTTCTTGCTAAGCAAGGTAAGACACTTGATAGCAATTTGCAGAACATAAGCTGGAGCATCAGTCATACGCTGTTGATGTGGGGTTCATCTTGTCTATTTGATAAATTGAGACTTATTCATTATCGCAAAAGTTCTAGTTCATGTGCCAATTATTCATTTGAAGACTCCGGACAACTTTCCAAAGAAGCATTCCGTGAGTTCTCATCCATACTTTTGGAAGACAGTGGACATAATGATCCAGGCAACAGTTCAATTATATTGAAAGTCCAGCTAAATGAAGGAAAATACTGTACTAATTTTGCTCTGCTTGGTGAGAAAAAACTTGGATCTCCGGATGAGGGATTACCCCATGTGTTTTGGACTGAACTTTTAAAGGGAAAAGTTCCTCAATGGAAACACTCATGTGGTTCATCTCAACGGAGTCGTCAAAGGGCTCATCATGTTGGTGGTTCAGTAAATACTCCCAACTTTGAGAGTGAAGAAATAATAAGGAAGCGCAGGAAAGTGATAGATGGTGTTGTTTATGAGCCCCCTTCAAATTTTCAAGGTGAGAAGTCATCCAATGGAAACGAGGAAGGTTAGTGGTCACCATTATTATTACAGCTACTCTCTTATGACCTTTGTAGTTGATGGAGCTGAGAAATTTTAAGAGTTCTTGTCTTTCAATTCTTGCCGCGTTCAACTGCTAATGTCGGCTATCCACTCTGTGATAATTATACCTTTTACTCAATTGATTTGTCTCAAGGTGATAAAGCTACATATCAGAAAAGAAGGAAATTGTGTGATGAGCAGAAGAGCTTACATATCTTACTGGTGCCAGAGATAGCAAAGCTTTGCGAAATTCTTCTTCTTCCTGTATGCATCTCATTATTTTTCTGCCATGCTCTACTTATTGTCTGTCAGTCCTTTGCTGTTCTTTATCATTGGAAAGGCTGGAATTCATTTATGAGACATTTTCAAAATTGGTAGCCTGTGATCCTTTGCACTGTAGAGCTACCTCATTTTATGTGTCTTTGTTGGCTAAAGTTTGGTTTGTATATTTCAATGCAAGCTTCATCATCAATATGAATTTGATGGCATCTTGAAATATGTTTATGTGATGCAGGATAATGTCAAGACTGTGGTGCATAATTTTCTTGAATATATTATGAACAATCACCACATTAGCAGGGAATCCGAGTCAATCTTGCAGGCTTTTCAAATATCTCTGGTCAGATTATTCTCTTGTATTTCCTACCATTTCATCCTCTTTTTCATCTCTCCCCATGGAGAAATGAACTGTTATTTATTCTTGTAGACTGTTGGAGGGATGATCAGAGTCAATCAATCTCTGACCTCTACTCTTTTACCATTGTAAAAACAGAGGCGTGGAAAATTGGGATATCCTGGGATGATCAGTGCAATACAATAATTTCATGCTATCAACTAAATAAAGACAGAAATACAATCTTTTTTTTTTTTTGGTTGACTTAAGAAATACACAATAGAGAACATAGAAGAAAAATAATTGAAGGAGAATTAAAGTCGCTGGATCGGGAAGCACTCAGAAAAAGGGCATGTGGTCGCTAACACGTCTCTGTATTTATAGATGGCTATTTGGCGATCTTGTAGTAGACATTATTCTAGCGTCGTTATTATTCATGTTGTTGATTCATGATCTCAGCCTTCTCCTCTACTAAAATTGCTTTGGGTGTCTGTTACCCCAGAATTCCTAATTAACATAAACATCAAATTCTTTGATGTTGCATTCGTATTCTTTTTCTTTCTTTTTTTTTTGTTTGGCCAAACTTTACTCTTCTTTTTCAACTGAGGGGGTGTTTGGGTAACCCCAAAATCACTTTTCAAAAGCACTTTTCCGCAAATCGAGACAAACTCCTCCACATATTTACTTCGTATACCGTAAAAGCACTTCTGAAACCATGGTTTTGATCTTACCCAAACACCCCCTGAGACTTTTTCGCTGTCAATAGTGAGACTCTCTCTCTCTCTCTCTCTGTGGATTTTTTTTCCAATGTGGTCTCCTCTTCATCGCTATAAATCATTTGATGCTGATAATATTTTAGTATCTCTTTTTGTTTGCAAGTAATTAGTTTGCTATCTTGCGGGTCCTTGATGCCCTAATGATTATTTTCAATATTTATGTCCGATGTGTTTTTTAATCAACCCTCCAAATTTCAGTGTTGGACTGCAGCTTCTTTGCTAAAGCACAAGATTAACCACAGAGATTCCCTAATTCTTGCGAGAGAGCATTTAAAATTTGACTGTAGAAAGCAAGAGGCTGATTATATGTATTCGATGTTGCGATGTCTAAAGAAATATTTTTATATCGCGCTGGAAATTCCAATGGGGTTGGCTTTTCTAGACCTTGTGAATCACCAAGCAAGGTTTATTCCTGTACAGGAGTGGCACCAGGGGTTGAATTGGCTATGAAAGATGTTACCAAAAGCATTGAAGAAATTCAGAAGAAGTTCCAAAAGAAGCTGAGGAAGCTCCTTCTAAGCAAGATGAAGAAAAGAATAAGCTGAATCAAGTCAATGAGGAGAAAAAGGCTGTTTTTAGGGAAAAATACAAAATAGAATTGGCTGTTATTCGTTGTTGTTTTTCTAATGATGCAATGAGGTCAGAAAAAATTAAGATTTTGGATAAAGAATTTGCTAAAAGAATTGAAGATTTGGCATGCCAGCATGGAATACTTCTCAAGGATCTTGAAGCTGTACAACTGGAAGCAAGGCAGAAATTCCAACGTTGGGAGGCCACTTGGATAGAAGAAGTGAAGTATTGGGCCCAAGATGAACTGAAAATATGTCTTTCAAAGGAATTTGGGTCTGGGTTGAATCACTCCAAGACCATTGACCAAGCTCAGCCTCATGATGGTTCAAAGAATGTTGGCACTGCGCCTGATTATGTTGATGAAGGTTCCATTGCAGCTTCATATGGAGGATCAATATCTAGAAATGATGGTCATAATAAAGCTGAAAGTTTATCTGAAAGTCAAGGGAATATTATATCCATGCTTTCTGATTCCAAGGAACATGATTCTAATAGAGCCACTGATGGGGCATATGAAAGTGATAGCCAAAATAATTCTAGTTGTTCTTGTATAGATGATATAGTCAATTCAGTTCTACCTTCATCTGAAGGAAAGGTATGTGATGGGAAAACATTGGACGCTTCCATCCAAGAGGCGGCTGTCGAAGTGCATAATTCTGACAGGTTAAATGATGGCTGGGATGAGGTTCCTTCTACTAGGGAGGGGGGCTTTTGTCAGACTGTATTGCTTAATCCTGATAGTGGTTTTTCATTAGGAAGCAAGGTCAGTGTTTCTAGTAATGGTATGGATGTCTCCTTAAATTCGCAATTATCTCCAGATCTTATTCCAAGTGCAACTGCTGTATGCATACCAAATTTTGATAATGCTGTACAAATCCATGAGGCCAATGAAAGCGGTGGTATGGACGCCTCCTTAAATTCACAATTACCTCCAGATCCTGCCCCAAATGAAACTGCTGTATGCTTGCCAAATTGTGATGATGCTGTACCGATCCACGATGCCAATGAGAGTAGTGGTTTAGATAGACTTGCCACCTTCAGTTCGCCCTTTTCTGAAGATAGAACAGCTGAAGGTGCCACGGGATTTTTATTAGAAAAAGAAGTACCTATTGAAACAATTGGGACTGTCTTTTTGACTGATTCTCCAAAAATGCTATTCCTCCAAAGCCTCCTTCATCCATACAACAAAGATTTGATGAAGGTGCCTCGAATGTTTCAGATGGAGAATTATTACTAAGGCCATTTGGAACTGCTGGCCCAAGCCATGGTTCTGATATTATTTATGACACTAATTCACTCTCGCCAGAGCAACAACCTCTTGGAGAAATCCCAACTGAAGTGTTAGAAAATAGTCATGGAGAGAATGAATGTTGTAATGACAAAGAGAACCAGACAGATGTTATAATGTTGGATAACATTGCTTCATTAGATCAACAGGAAGGAATTTCTAGAACCATCAATGAAGACTCGGTGTCGCAGGAAATTCCAGTATCATGCTCACAGTCAGAGCAGCCTTTAGTGATCTCATCCCCTGTGCCTGCTGTGAATGAGGTGCGAATCAGTTTTTAACCTTGGCAATCCAAATAAATAATCTCATTAATCTCTATCTCTGCATACTTAAATTATACTTGTGTTTCTCTGCTAGTAAAGTTAAAAAGTTTCCCTTATGATAATAATGCGTCTGAGTGGGTGCTAGTTACCAGGTGAGCTGCATTATATTGTGGATGTTATAAACAATTTCCTACAATCAAATAGCTATGTATAGAATATTCTCTCTGGATACTCTATTTTCCTTCAAATTTTGTGGGATATTTCCTAATTGTTTTACCCAATACTGTTGACATGATGCAAAGCTACTGGGGTCTTTATAGCAATTGCTAGGAATTGTTAAGTTGTCATTTTAAACTCTTCGGAAGGAGGGTCCTTCTTTAATAGGACCAAATTATATATAGTAGAAGATTTATCTACCTAAATGGTTCTTAAAATTTTTCAATAATATTAGGCTCATTTTACATAAACCTTTTTTTTTTTAATGTTATACTTACCAGGTGCCACAGGATTTTCGTACCTCTTTATTTGCATCCAATAAAATTGCTGATGAAGATGTAAGAGTTGGAGAAGTGCATTACTCTTCTCAGCAAGCAGAGCGATCATCTGGTCTAGTTGATGATGTAGCGATTCAATCTAATCCTGAGTCACTAGCTATGGAGACTACAGTGCAAGTGCAGCTGTCATCTGCAAAGTTCCCTTTTAGCAGTCAGGATGCTACTGAAAAAATGCTAAATGCTTCCCAACAAGCTGAGTCGGTGTCTACTCCTTTTAGTACTGTCCCGGTCACTCTAACTAACCCTGATTTACTGCTCGTGAATTCTCCAGAACAAGTACAGATATTACATTCTGCAGAGTTTCCCTTGTCCAACCAAGATCTAGCTGAAGAAGTGGAGAAATTTTCCCAAGAAGTTGAGCCGCTATCTAATCCTGTCAGTCTTGTACTGCCTAATCAATCAAATAGTGAATCACTAGTCATGGAGCCTCTGATGCAAGAGCAGCATTTACCAACTTCAGAGTTCCCTTCTTCCAACCACGACATAGTTGAAGAAATGCATAATCCTTCCCAACAAGACAGGCAAGTAATGGCCAATCAAGATCTGGTGAAGGGATTACCGTCTGCAGAGCACCCTTCTTCCAATGAAAATACTGCTGAAGAATTACAGAGCTCTTCTCAACAAATTGGATCCGTATGTTGTCCAATTGATTATACGCCACATGCTCGAGCTAATGGTGAGATACGGGTGATGGGGCCTCTGGAGCATGCACAGCAATTATTGTCCGTAAGGTTGCCTTCTTCCAACTTGCATCGAGCTATTTTACCTTTGGCCCCTACAGCTGAGGACCAACGAATCAATGAAATTACTGTCTCCAGCCACGTTCCTCAGGCAATAGATGAGGTTCCTAATCAGGTTGTTATGCAACTTGATTCAATGACGCCTACTGGAGGCAGAACACATTTCTCAAACACAATAAATAGGTCCACTCCTGGGATGAGCAGTCAACCTATTCAAACTGCAACCCGATCTGCTTCTAGGATTCCTCCACCATTGTACGTTGATCCGCTTGAAATTGAAATGGAGAAAATACGTAAAGAAACATATCAAGCTGTGGGAGACCATGAAAAAGTGGTCAGTTTCTGACTTGAATTGCCTTGTTGATGCTTAGTTTGAGTTTTCTTTCATTTTATTCTTTAGTTTTAACTTATCTTGCTCACGGGAGCAGAAATTGCAGTTGAAATCTGATCGTGAAAAGGAAATGAAAGAAATTGTTAGGAAGTATAATATGAAACTTCAGGAGATGGAGGTTGAATATCAGCAAAAGAAGAAGAGCTTGAATGCAAATATGAAAAAAACTCTTGCCGAGATGAAATTAGCAGAGGTTATCCGGTCAAAATGTTGGGGCCCTAAATTAATAGGTGCAACGGGAATGCCAATAGGTATGTTAATTGCACATTTTTTTCCCTTATTGATGAAGCATACATGTCACTAAATGTGTTTAATGTACATTTGTAATGCTTGCGTTACCTTTTTCGTTAATCATTTCCTAACGACTTGGTTAATGTCAGATGCAAATTTCGCTCAACAGTTTGTTCAATTTCATGGAGAACAGAGTGCTGTCAGGCCCTCCCTAGTTGGTTCATCTTCATGTATGCGTCCTGCAACCACTCTGCAAAGTAGCTTTGCCATGGTTAGATCTCAGCTTGTGGCGACTCCTATTCAGTCTTCATATGGAACGACAGGAAATTTCTCCAATGTTTCTGCAAGAACACCTCAGGTTGTTGGTAATATGCATACCTTTGCACCATGTCCCCAGCTGTATGGATCATTAACTTCTATGCCCACCACGAGTCATGTCAGTCACCCCACCCCTCTAAGTGGGACGTCCAGTCGCCTAGTTCCCAGTACCATCCCTGCAACGCCTTTCTCACTCCCTTACATTTTACCCCAACCGACACCACCACCCTATCAGGTATATCCTCGTAATAGTGGGCAATGGCCTTTCTACTCTTATGGCCTGAATAATCTTATAGATTCTGCCAATCAATTTGGGCTCAATTTGCCAAATGTTCGGCCTCACATGTAAGGGGTAGCTTTATTGAGCCCATCTTTAACTTGTAATGGGGATCGCATGCAGGGTAACTCAATTTGATAGTAGTTTCTCTTTTCTGTCAAACTTTAGTTACAGTCATCACCACGGTATAGAACATATGTAACTTGCTTGTCATTGGTACTTTCGAGTTTCGATTCTAGACATTTGATATTTGGGCTTAATGTTTGTGACCTGTCTGAAGCAACTGTTTCGGAAGGAATATCATCTCCTGCTGCGGCACTGGAAAGTTTTCAAGGTGGGAAGGGGGTAAGTCAATGTCGAAAGAGGCCTCAAATTTTATTAATACTACGTTCAGTCATTAATACAAAAACTAGTTACTAATTTGAGTAGATTAAAAAAATTAGTTAAGTTAGTTATTTGTAATAAATAAGCATTGTCTTCTTTAAAATAATTTTATGAATCATGTGTATTAGTTAGAATTACTATTTGATAAAATTTTTAACATATGCAATTACTGTGAGAATTACTTTTAAAAAAAATAAATATAAAAGACAGAAATACGAGTATAGGAATATGTTCCTTTCCCGGGATGCGATGGGTAACTGCGAGAAAACGGAAATTATTATTCAAGTATAATAAATTGTGTTTATTAGAAGTCATATAAACCAAGGTAAAAAAAACCGGACCGGACCGGCCGGTTCAACCGGAAAACCGGTGAACCGGTCGCTAGTCCGGTCTGGTTTGAAGAAAAAACCGGAGGTGGTTTGAACCGGTGGGGAACCGGTCCAACCGGTAAAAACCGGTGTTGAACCGGGAAAAACCGGTTGGGCGGTTCACATGTTTTTTTTTTTGGTTGCCTAGCCACAGAAAACGACGTCGTTTTGTCCAAAAAAAACCAGAATGAAAACTCTTTGTCCCTCCCTAGGGTGCCAATCTCGACTCAAGCTGCCGGTCCTCCTCCAGTCCTCCCCATTTGGCCATTTGTGACCAAATCGCTGAGATCTCTTCCCCCTCCTCCAAGTCCCAGATTCGTGCCGTGAACCCCAACAAAATCGGATCTATGGCGTCGCCTCATCACTGACAATGGCACTCCTTCCTCTTTGGCTCCGTTCGCCGCTCACATTGCTTCGCATTCGCAGCTCTACTTCGCCTTCGCCGGTCGCCTTCACCTTCGCCTTCGCCGTTCACCTTCGCCGCTCACATTGCTTCAGATTTGTAGCTCGACTTCGCCTTCACCGTTCGCCCTCACAGCTCCCATCGCAAGTCATGAGTCTCCATAGTCCATCCTGCTTCACCTTCATCATTCACGGACGTCCTGCTTCAACCTTCGATTCAGGCATTGAGCTCTAGCCTTGTGGGTAAGCTCAATACCTTTCCTTTTAGTTGGGTTGTTTTTTTTAAGATCGAAGAGCTGCTTCTCTCTGTGCTATGACCCTGTGACTGCTGTCGTGAGATTTCAGATTTGATAAGGGAGGAGAGTGTTGTTTGACTTGATCCATAGCTGTGAGATTTGAGAAGGGAGGAGAGCGAGATTTAAGATCCATAGTCGTTGATTGACTTGATATTAATTTTGTACAGAAGAGAAGCTATCGTTCTGTACTTCTGCATTATAATTTTGATTATACTGTGAGCTTAGTTTTTGCTGTTGTGCTGATGTTGATCTTCACATATATAATTTAATTCCTTTTGTTTAGTTGTGGATTGGTGATGGATATTTTGATTGTAAATTATATATTCTGGAATAGATTTAATCCAAACTTTAGGTGCCTAACTGATTTTGTGAATTAAATTATATTATTTTATTATGACCGGTCCGACCCCGGTTCGACCACGGTCTAACCAGTGACCCTTAACCCACTACCTGGACCGGTTGAGTTCCCGGTCCGGTTTTTTGTTCCTTGATATAAACTGACTAACCCGAACGGGCCCGGCTAATTCCATACCCTCCCTTGCTGATTTTACCAGTAATGGCCTCTCTACGCTCAACAACGCTGATGAAATGTAGCTCCCGATTAAATTTCATTCTGATGATTTTTTTTAAAAAAAAAACAGTCTGCATTTCAATTAGGAAGTTGATTCTTGAGTGTGTTAAAAGAATTGAAAAACTTTTCTGTTCAATGAAAATTAATTCATGTTAAACAATATAAATTGAATTTTGACATTTTTTTCTGACAACATAGAGTTTGACATTTCGGTCAACAAAGAAAAGAGGCTCTATGATGACCTTACGCATTAATTACTGGTACGAAACAAGGTGATCTTTTATAATGAAAATTAATAATAAAATTAAAAGAAAAAAACCAATGTTATCTTCAAACCATTTTGATTGGTTGAATTAAATCAATTCCTGCTCACAGCCCATTCTCCGTCATTGAACACATGACAAGATGCCGTTTGAATTGACTTTGTGCTTTTCCTTTCGGGACACTCACCACCACCCTGATCTTCCATTTTTGCCTCCTTTATTAGGCAATCTATGGAAGTTGACAACCACCACACTCATTCATATAACTTTCAATTTTCATTCAAACTTGGCCTTTTCTTTTTAGCAACAAGTTCAGTTTTGTGGAACCAGCTTATCCCCATTCCCCACCTTCCCTATCTCAGCTTACGTTCTTCTGCATAACACCCACAAGCCACATGGATAAAGATATTGGTGAATTCAAACCGGCCATCTCTTGAGATCCATTGAACTCAAACATTAGGATTTTAGAGTTGAAAATGCACCTTTAAATTTGAGGGACACAGCTAAGGCCTAAGGAAACGGAACAACCCAACTTCGCAGAGATTAAAGGAGAAAAGATGAGCCACCCACAAACAAACTGCGCACTCTGACACAATCACACTAGAAAAGACAAGTCACAATGTTGTCCAAACTTCCCACTCATTTCTTCCGCCTTAAGAGGGCCCGTTATAAAAGAGAGCCTCTATCTCTGGAAGCAAAGTTATTCTTCTCCACAAGTTAACATGAACAAGGAGACCCCAGGGCACTGCTTCCTTTTTCCCATTTTAACTCCTTTTGAGACCGTCAATACTACTTGGCAATGAATGCCCCAGTTTTTGCTTTCTTCCTTTTCTGGTGGGGATTGAGATGGAGTGCTCTTGCCAGTATCATTGGTAAAGAATCCCCAAGATTCTTTCTGGGGTTAAGCCTCTTTCTCCTAGCCCTAAGTCTGCAAGACTTTTTTTGGGCAAGTCAACAGAAAAAGGCTTAAAGCAGCGTTTGTTTGTCACCTCCTAATCATGTCTCTAAATGACACTTTGTTGCCTAACCATCTTTATTATAACATATCATAGGCAGATGTGCATAAAGGTTCAGCATGACCCTGCAAATTGCTCACTGCATTATTCAACATTTGTCTTTTTCCATCTGATGTAACGCATCACTTACAAACAATTTTGCTTGAGCGAGCCTACAAATGCTGAGATTGTTTGCAAGCCAGAGGTTTAAATTTATTTTATCCTAACCCACAGTTTTCGCCTATTGAACAGTGATGAGCTGATGTAATATATCCGTGACACGTCTCGCTCATCTCAACGGCCGATCTCGCATCCTATCGGTTGTAGTTTCGTATTTAAAAGTTTGGAATATCTTTAATCCATGTCACTCTTTTTTCTCCACGGAAAAGAATGTCTGGGGTCCCACCCCTTGTACATTTTGTTGGGATTCTGAAGCTGTTTGGGTTGGGTCCAAATCAAACCCACTTGGTGAATTGCCTTAGCCGAAGACGCACACATATATATAGTCGGACTGCAGCCGAATGGAGTACGCATTAGTGATTAGTGACTACCATATCATTTTCAGAAAGGGTGGTCCAGAGACATTGAGCGGCCACTACGTCAAATTAAGAGAAAAAGGAAAGAAAGAAAGAAAGAAAATAACTGGTGTCTATGTTTGCTATCATGGCCTCGTTTGTCTGATGACCAAACGAGGTATTTTCCTTGAATAGCCTCTTGTGGGCTTGTGGCCCTCAATTTATTAGCTGTGAAAAACTGAAAGTATCGCTTCCATGAAGAAACCCCTACAAAAGCATGTGATTCCTTCTCTGTCTCATAAATGAGAATGAAGGCTGCCATTTGTAGTTGGAGGTAAGAAACAAAGTTATATAGAGCCGAACTAACACATTCGAGAGGTTTTTGCTTTATTTCTGTCCATATTTAATCACAAAAAACTCTTGACTTCAACGGTTTATGCATGTCATGAATGAATAAACCTAAGAACACGATCAATGGCGGAGACATTAAAATAGAACAGATAAGGTTGCGTCATGCACTAAGATTTAGATTAGGTTCTCTAATAGTGCTTAAATAAATGGCCTTGCTTTTGGTTACACCAAAAGTGGTTTTCCTTTTAATCTTTACCCAGAAGCCATCAGAACTGAGAGCCACCTGGACGGCTCTGTTTTGATATAGTTTACTGGGCATTCAATGTCAACAACAACTAGGGGTAGATGGTGTTTGTGGCCGTAGTATTCGGCCGGTTTGATATTAATTAGTGGAACTGGAATCTCTCTCTCTCTCTCTCTCTCTCGCGCGTCGGTTTCTCTTTCTTGGTATGGGCACATAGTTTAGTCCAAGACGTTTCCTTCCAATTAGAGAAAGCTCCACTTGATGAGGATGAAAGATTTGGATGAACCTCGCACTTTTCTTTTCTTTTTTTTTCAAAGAAAAATGAAATTAATTACTCCGTCTTCTGTATTCGTTTTTTGAAAACGTCGGGAAGAGAAAAAGGACAAAGCAGTCTTCAAGTCCCTCCGTAGAAAAATGAGAAGGAGCAGTGCACGTAAGCACGCTGAATAGAAACACCATTAATATAGATATAATGTTTTAAAAAATTATATAAATAGTAAAACTGTGCAGGGAAGTAGTATTTGGTCGGTCCCCCACCTAAGCATGACAGCCTGTACCAATTTCTAAACTATAATACTCTTTTTTTTAAAAAAATTGGATAAATTGTTTTGATAATTCTTCTATCTTACGTAAATGATAAAATCCTCCTTTTTTATTTTGAAAACGCAAATAATTTTTTTTTTAAATTAAATCGTATATTATACTTTTACAGGTCTCCTTTACATATTTGAATTTTTAAGGTTATTTGGATTTTTTTTAAAAATGATTTTATAGCGTGTGAAATATTTTTTTTATTTTGTAAATTTAATTATTAAATTTTATTCTGACCAAATAATCATTTTTAACGTGGAAATCATTTAAATATCTATATTTGCACCCTCCAGTCGGCCAACCCTTGGGGCTGGAATTCTTAAGTCCTTGACTATGATTTATTGATTTTTCTTTTCAGGCGGCGTAATCTGCAATGCGTTTCGTTTGCAGCCCGAGGAGGGTGGCGGTGGTGGAGGAGAGGTGAGGTCGCAGAGAAATTTTTTCTTGGTCTGAGACTGAGAGGTGGCAGAGAATGAGACAGCTTGGATTATAATTAATTAATTAGAGAGTGATGTGCACAAAAATTACTATTAAACCGGCACAATCCCCTCACTCTGAATCTCTGATTGCGAACAATCGCACGACCTGGTTCGGTTCAAGGTCCAACCTCACAATTAGATATGATCTTTGATCGATTCTGTCTTCTGAACAATGATTAGATCACTAAATTAATCATCCATCTCTGCACGACAAGACACAGAAGCAAATCACAGAAAAGGGATAGGCCTAACATGAGATTTGCCAACTTGCTAATCATCTCATACAATACAACTAAAGCGTCATTATCCAGAAGGTCAACGATTTTAAATCTAAATACGTCATTTTGTGGCATTTAATTAATTTACTGCTATCTATATTCCAACCTTCAACGCATGGTGGTTAAAAACAGTTTGCGTCATCCTCCGGAGAAACTTTAAACAATTGTTGTTAACAAACCAAGTCACCTAAATTATAACGATATGTCAATTGAAAAGTTAAAATCATTAAAGCTATTAGAAGTAGAGTCCGAAGGAAAAAAAAAAGACGGAAATATTGGAGGAAAAAACATCTCACATTAAAAATTTTATTAGCGATCATAACTTGATAAATTTTTATTTATAAAAAACAGTTAATCGTTTACAAATTTTGTATACAGAGTATCAGTATTATAATCCAGTCATTCTCTCCAATACAATTTTAATTGAGAATTTTGCCAATTTTTTTAAAATGCATATTCAACAATGATTTTTTTTAAAAAAATTAACCTTTCGGGGTCTAGTCCAAATCCCTATTTTGCATATGTAGATGACTATGAGCAAAAAAAGAAGAAGAAGAACCATTTGATTTTTCCTCCTATATTGATGTGTACATGTAGCAAACTTTATCTATATTGGGTAAAAGTAGATATATTTATTTGATTCCACCCATATATATTACTCCCTCCGTTCTTTATTATAAGAGACATTTGATGCTTATGGTATATTTCTATATATAAGAGACACTTAAAAGTTGTCCCTACTTTTTTGTGTTGATTTCCTATTTTACCCATATTTATTGTCTCCAACTCACACTATCTCTCCCTCACACTTCTCTTTCTTTCAATAATTTAATTGTTTTCTCTCATGCTTTCTCTCCCCTTATTAATGAGGGTATTTTAGAAAAAAATTATATTTTTTACACATTGATTGTTCTTAACTAATTTTAACTACTTTTTTTATCAACGTAATTCGGTTATTCATCTCTTATAATAAAGAACGGAGGGAGTAATATAATTCTCAAGCTAAGCTTACAATGTTTTCGCTGACCAGGGGACCCAAAAAAAAAAAAAAAGGGTAGCAGAGGCAAATTAAAACTTTGACAAAACTAGAATGGTCATTCAATTCAGGCTGATGATAAAGCAGGGGCAGTTTCGACTTCGAAGTTGGTGAAATATTATAATGAGAAAGAAACCTTCAAAAAAACTGCTTATTCAATGACAATTGGGCGGAAGATGCAGCAATATTGCTTCCATCTTCTTCACTCCCATTCCATGGCCCTCCCCATACCATGTTTCCTCCTTGGTTCAGATTCCTTCAAATCTTTCCTGCGTTTCCATTCAAGTTTTCCAGCTTAAAGATCTGATTGTCTACCCTTCTGGACCGACATGGGAAGCAAATGGAGAAAAGTGAAGCTTGCTCTTGGAATGAATATGTGCGTTTATGTTCCAAGAGCTTTAGATGATTCCTCTTCTCCCCTCAACTCCGTCGCCAGAGCTTCAGATGCTCACTCCCGCTCTAGTGTTTCGCCGGCCGATCATAGCTCCGGTTACCGCCCAATGACCCCGACGCCGTCTTCCTCCGGACTCCGACTTCCCAGTAACGGAACCAAATCTCCCAAGGTTAGCATTTCCGATCACACTTCCGTGTATTGAAAAAACAACTCCAGATTTTCTCTTTTATTGCCTTTTCTGATTCAGCTACAAATGAAAAATCAAATGAATCTCCATGGGAGATTCTGGTCTGACCTTTGGACTGTTTTATTTTATTTTAATTTTTGCTTTGGGTGGCGGTGGGGAGGCTCGTTCACTGGTTTTTTTTTTTTTTTTTGCACCCTTGGTGCCGCGAAATTACTAAACTTTCTACGTGAAAACACATTTTAATGAATTTTAATGAACATAATTGAAAAACACATCAGTATCAGGTCTGTCTATTGGTTTATTGCTGCTTTTGCTTTGGCTTTTCTGTTGGGGCATCGTTGTGGCACATTTTAATGAATTTTAATGAACATGATTGAAAAACACATCAGTATCAGGTCTGTCAATTGGTTTATTGCTGCTTTGGCTTTGGCTTTTCTGTTGGGGCATCGTTGTGGGCTTATCAGATTGTGACGTATCTGACAATTGCGGGAACGATGATTACTATTCCTCGCGTTGTTTTCAACTCAACCGCGGCCTTACCATTAAGGACCAGTTGCTTGGCTAAGCTTATCAGAAAAAACTGAATGAGATTTACATTTAAGACCGTTCTTTTTCCTTGGCTTTAGCCCATTACTGTGTTGTTTACATGTCTGTATTATGCCCTCTTTCTCTCTCCTTTACGTGCTAATAATGATATATCCCCACAAAGACCCGTCGACCGTTGATTGTGAGATTTCTGGATTCGAACAAAGATAAAGTTGAAATTTACCCCATTAAAAATATTAAAGAGAAAGAAATCCTAGAGCGATGAATCATCTCTGTCTCTTTGATCTCCCCTTCTTTTGATGACATTTTATTTTTTAATGTCTCGAAAGTTTCAATATTGGAGTTTCAATTTGTCTTAGTGCTTTAATATGAAAGTCGTTCGCTCATTGTTGTTTAATTTCCCTTGGTATCCTCAGCGTTTGACCACTTAACGTTGACCTTTGGCCTTTTATTAAGTGGAGATTTGCCTGGGAATCCTCGATATTTGGTCATCAGCCATCTAAATAGGATCAGTGGGAAGGATGGGTTGCATTCTGTTTCACCTTTTTATGCGCTGGTCTTATTAGTGGACCTGCATCACGACAGAAGGGGACAGTGTTAGACACTATATTGTATTAGTGGGCTTTGGCCTTTGCGTATTTTTCTTTTATCTATGAATACTTTCTTGAGGCACTCCTCAGATTCGCGGATTTAAAGAACTTGGATATCTTTCCTTCTTTTTTATCATTATTTTCCCCCACAAAGGCATGTTGCAACTTTCATCATACCTAAATTTTGTTTTATCTATCATAACTATCATTATTAAAGAGCTCCACTATATCCGTGATTTTAATCTTTAACTAAAGGCAATGTTGACCAGGTCTCAGCGTAAGTAGTGAATGGATAATATTGGGCAGCTTCCGACTTCGAAGTTAAAATCTACTATTTCAGTAACGGGGTCTGGAATTCCAATTAAAGTTTTCTAGTTGTTACTTTTAGTCTGTTGGCAGTTAATTTCGTATTCAAAGACTAAACTTGAGTAATTCCCCGAACTCGACTTTGTTAACCGTCTTAATCTGAGGGATCCAACTTGTAGAGTAACATTTGACGTGTACGAGGAACTTCGTTGATAATTTGTAACGCTAATCTGTGGTCTTTTTCATCTCACACTGTTTATAATTATTATCTTCAGGGGACATGCGCAATATGCCTAACTGCGATGAAACCAGGGCTGGGGCACGCCATTTTTACTGCAGAATGCTCTCACTCTTTCCACTTCCATTGCATCACATCTAACGTAAAACATGGGAACCGGATTTGTCCCGTCTGCAGAGCAGAATGGAAAGAAGTGCCTTTTCAGGGCCCTGCTTCTAATGTTTCTCAAGGAATGACTCGAATCAACCAACCAGCTTTCCCACCAGGTGGTGACTGGACAACTGTCTTCCGCCGGCTTCCTTCCCCTCCAGCTGCGGGTGCAGGTCGTCAGAGTTCATCTATTTATCAAGTTCCTGAACCTGCCATCTTTAATGATGATGATGCTTTGGATCAACGAACTCCAAGTACTCCTTCTAACGAACGGGGAGATTCATTTGATGCGATGGAAATCAGAACCTATCCTGAAATTTCAGCTGTTCCAAAATCAGTTTCTCGTGATAATTTTGCTGTATTAATCCATCTCAAAGCTCCTCATTCAGGGAGACGGCAAAATAATGGTGAAAACAATGCAAAAACATCGCCTTCGGATCAAAATTCCCGTGCTCCAATCGACCTTGTCACGGTTCTTGATGTAAGCGGTAGCATGGCAGGCACTAAGCTTGCGTTGCTAAAACGAGCCATGGGTTTTGTCATACAGCATCTAGGTCCAGCAGACCGACTTTCTGTCGTTGCCTTCTCCTCAACAGCCCGCCGCATCTTTCCTCTCCGGCGGATGACTGGTACTGGACGGCAGGAGGCATTGCAGGCTGTTAATTCTTTGGTATCAAATGGCGGGACAAATATTGCCGAGGGCTTAAGGAAAGGTTTGAAGGTTTTTGTTGACCGTCAATGGAAGAATCCGGTCGGCAGTATCATATTACTATCTGATGGGCAGGATACGTACACTGTCACTAGCAGTAGACCCCATGTTGGAAGAGATTACCAATCACTTGTTCCAAATTCTATTCATCGCAATAATGGGGTGGGCTTGCAAATACCAGTGCATGTGTTTGGCTTTGGTGCTGACCATGATGCTACTTCAATGCATTCAATTTCTGAGGTGTCAGGGGGTACATTTTCTTTCATTGAAGCCGAGGATGTTATCCAGGATGCATTTGCACAGTGTATTGGGGGACTCTTGAGTGTGGTGGTGCAGGAATTGCAGGTGGAAATAGTCTGTGTTCATCCCCGACTGCAACTTAGTTCAGTAAAAGCAGGAAGCTATAGAACCAGCATGATGGCCAATTCAAGAAAGGCTTCTATCGAAGTAGGAGATTTGTATGCTGATGAAGAAAGGGACTTTTTGGTGACAGTCAACGTTCCAGTTGATGGATCCAGTGATGAGATGTCATTGTTTATCGTTAAAAGTCTTTATAGAGACCCAATCACAAAAGAAATGGTGGCTTTGAACGACAGCAGTGAAGTAAAAATCCAGAGACCCGAAATAGCTAGAGAGGCAACTCTCTCAATGGAAGTAGACCGGCAGCGAAACAGGCTGCTTGCTGCAGAGGCAATGGCTGATGCTAGAGTTGCAGCTGAACGTGGTGATTTGGCTGCCGCAGTTTCTATCCTGGAAAGCTGTCACAAGGCATTATCTGAGACCGTGTCTGCTCAAGCCGGCGATCGGCTATGTGTGGCTCTTTCTGCTGAGTTAAAGGAGATGCAAGAAAGGATGGTGAACCAACGTGTGTATGAGCAATCTGGAAGGGCTTATGTTCTGTCAGGATTGAGTTCACATTCATGGCAGAGGGCAACAACAAGAGGTGATTCCACCGACAGTACCAGCCTTGTGCAAGCATACCAAACGCCGTCTATGGTGGACATGGTGAGCCGTTCTCAAACAATGCTTCTGGGCTCTCCACAAGCCCGGCGCTCTCTCCGGCCTGCTAAATCATTTCCTGAACGGCGCGGACGATAATGATGCAGAAGTTTCTTCTCAGGCTACAAGCTTCTTGAGGGGTCCTTCAAGTTCCTCCTTTTATCGTCTTATTTAATTTTTTTTGAGGGGGCTTTACTAGTGATTTTGTCATGGTGGGTATAATGAGGAGTCTAAGGTGGGCAAAGATTCTAATTTGGTCAGCATAAATATGTAGAATAATAATAGGCGGGGATAATGGGGCTTTGAAGCGGACGGAGGAAAAGAATTGGTCCGGATATTACCGGAGTGTGATTCTGAGGGATGTGCATAATTCTTTTTTATTTTCTCTTCTTTTTCCTTTTGGGCTTTTTTATTGGTTCTTTCATTCTATATGCGAGCCTTTTAAAGGAGGGGTATAGTCTGTCAACTGTGAAGATATTCCTGGTAATTTCTTCGCTTTAATACATGATATAATATGTATTCTCCCCATTCATTTCATATCTAGTCCTCCCCATATAAAATTTATTTTAATTACTACCCAAAAAAAAAATTATTTTAATTATTAGCAATCAGCTTCTTTTGTAGGTGCAACATTTGCCTGGTCAGATGTTATTTTACCACTTAATAAATCTTTGACCTAATAGCCTTCGATGCTGTTGTCATTCTACTCTTTCCATCCTTAATATAATATCTATTTAACTAATTTGATTAAATTAAGAAAGTTAGGTAAGATAGTTAATTATAAGAAAAGTAACACATTTTTCCTAAAACACTATCATCATCTTTCTCAATATCCTCTCTCTCTTTTGTACTTGATTATGGTTGAGGGAATATCTATAGGAATAATTTAGAGAAAATTGATAAATATGAGAAATTGGTCTTATATTTAAGATCAAAATCAATTTAAGAATTAAGTCCTATATTAAGTACAGGAGGAGTACACCAAAAAAGGGGAATTATTCTTTATTTGGGCTTGGGTTTGTCAATGCTCGAGATTGTTAATATTGATGATTTGATAGCGCAGTAGAAGTCGGAGGAAGGATCAACTGCGATTGGATCTAATAGAAAAGATGATTTTTTTTCCCCGTGATATGACCAATTAAAGATCAAATTTTTACAGAAAAAGATGCTCATTTGTTATTTGATAGCAGCCTGAGCAAGCGATATGAAAAAAAAAATTATTTGATAGTATTAAGTCTATTAATTGATAATTGATATTGATTAAAGAAAAATGTTGACTATAAATAAATGGGAAGTTGAATCATGCTCATATTCATAAAATAGTTTAGATTGGTATAAATTCTATATCGGTTTGGCAAAGAACTTTATGTAGTGTATTACTACCTCCGGTCCTAATTATAAGACCCAGTTGACTTATTTGAGGAGATTAAGGAAGTAAGTTAAGTTAGTTATTTGTAATAAATAAGTGTTGTCATTCCTAAAATATCCTTGCTAATTAAATATATTGGCTAGAACTATCATTATTAGAAGGATTATCTTGGAAAAAAATGCATAAATATGAGAGACAAAATAGATTGGGGTCTTATAATTAGGACCAAACAAAAAGTCAAACGAGGTCTTATAATAAGGACCGGAGGTAGTATTAACTAGTCTAACTATATAAGATTTAGTTCGTATTGCAACTATAATAAGATCAAAACACTACTATTTTCAACCCTAATTAGAAGATCTAGTATATTAAAAAATATACTTTATATTATTGGTTTTTAATATAAGAGTTAATTGACTAATTTGAGTAGATTAAGAAAATTAGTTAAGTTAGTTATTAGTAATAAATATGTGGTCTTTTGTAAAATATCATTACTAATTAAATGTATTAGTTAGAACTATTATTATTATAAGAACTATCTTAAAAAAATGAATAAGTATAAGAAATAAAATGAATTAAAATTTTATATTCAAGATAAAAATAAAAATTAAACAAAGTTTTTTTATATATATTACGGTTTTTGCTGGAGAGCAAGGCCACGTGTTTTCCAGAGAGAAGCAGCGGATGCCACCTGCGCATTACCAGCTTTAATGCTTTTCCTCTGTGGTCACTTCAAAATTGAAGTTGGAGTCCTGAAACTGCAGGGCGCGCTCCCTCCTCCCTACGCACAACTGAGTTTTATGCATCTTGAAGTGCCAGTGGCAGCAATTTCCATTGTGATGGAGAGGCAGCAGATGTTCCTATCTCGGCCAATTCCGCGTTGGCAGGTACAGAGTTGCTTCAGAAACGTCTAAAGTTTCCAGCTTTGGTCTGGTGAGTGTCTCCCGCAGGCCGATCATAAGAGATGGTCATAATCTCCAGTTTCTTGTTCCTTTTTCTTCATCTTTCATTTCGAGGTGCGCAATACTATTTCGTCTTCCTCAAGAAGTAGCTTTGTTGTTCCCCATTCATCCAACTGTCGCTTCCCTCCTGAATCCAACCCTTTTTTTTTCCCCAATAGGTTATTTTCTAATTTAAAAATGAAAAGAAATGATTATGCGGGATCAGTAAAATTCTTCGGGGATCTATTTCACATATGACAAGAGTTTCCGAGACATGATCTTTGTAAGCATTTTCCAGTGAATTCAGAATCACCGCTAACAGTCTCTGATTCTGCTCAACTTCTCCTTAGCCGACGCTCTCGTCCCGAGGGGCCCATATTAATCGCAGTTCCCGCTGTGGACAACATAGGAGGTAGTCGGACCCGCGGGAAACATCATCAATATAAATCAGCCGTCTTATCATTTATATAACCACGTATATACTACATTACTACTTTTTTTGACCGAAATATACTGCATTACTACACTAGTATTGCGTATGATTATTTATATAAATTACTTCCGTCTTGTTTAATTTTTATTTTCATCTTAATTATAAAATTTTAATTTATTTTATTTTTATATTTATTTATTTTTTTAATATAATTATTTTAATAATAGTAGTTTTAGTCGCTCAATTTGATTAATAACAAAGATATTTTAAAAAACATAATATATATTTATTATAAATAATTAATTTAATTTAATCTATTTAAATTAATCAGTTAATTCTTATATTTAATACAAGATCCAAATATATGAGAAATGACACTGTTTTTAATGCGCGACAAGAGTAAGAAGCTTCCCCCCGACCCCGAGGAATAGATGACAAGGCTTTTACCATCACAGACTCGCTGCGTACCTGCGTTGGTTAGACTAAAATTTGTCTGCGCGCGAAATTACGGACCGTGAACCGGATATATGTCTTTGAAGCTAAGTTATGTGTAGTCGTCGTATCTCCCCACAAGATGCATTTCTTTCCCCATTTTCTTGTCTAATAGATGACAAAGTTCTTACCTTTAGCCATCAACTGTAAAATATTCTTATTAACATTTCTTATCTTGATATAATCCAGAATCAGTGACAAATCGTCTGGTTTTGGTTTTTATTTTATAACAACGACGCTTAGTAGATGTATTTAAGGTTGACAGGTCCCTTTCAGTTGGCGAACATTTTGCTTTCAGGGAGTTGGTAGATGGTCCCCCCCCCCCCACCTCAAGCCTCAATTTTTTCTCGCTTGTGATTTTGTAGACCCATTAGTCTCTATCCGCGCGTTATCTTTTGTCATTTGCCTATCATAATCCTCCATTTTAATTTGCGGATAGATTCTTGTCTTGCGTTTTATTCGGGTGGCGATGTTGGAAGCCGGGAAGCTGGTGTAGATGAGCTCCCATTGGTCTATTTACTGCTCTCCTGTTAATTCAAGTTCAGTGAACTAGTTTGATTACGAACAGATAGGCCCTGCTTGTTACATTAGTCCATGCTTTCTAGGGGAAAATTCATTGGCCATCATGCTGATTTGACTTGCGCTCTCGTATCTGTTCCTATTCTGATGAGAATCTTCAAGACCAAGCTGTTGCATTTCCAGACATAAAGCATACAAGCCTCTGATTCTGAAGATTGCGAAGGTTGAAACCGTGATAGGTTCTTGGTAGTTCCTGATTCATTACGTTAGTAGATTTGTGTATTGAGTATGATTTTGGAAGTCCCCTACACTGGACAACAACAGCATTCTCGGGGGTCAATTCATTTGACCAGAAATTAGTTTATGCTATTCAGTTGTGGATTTTTATCTATGGCTGTTCTTCACCGTATATAAATATTAATATCATAGCTGAAAATGCTAATTAATTCATCACTTCCTGCTGCTCACCTGGCCAACCATGGATTTTTTCTTCACCACTTGTTTCACCTAGTTACATAAATACTCCCCAGAATTTGGGCCCACAAAAAGGAGTTCCTCTTACCAAACTTGATATGGTTGGCATTCATTTTCTTCCCCCTGCTGGTTCGTGGAATAAGCAAAGCTGAAACTGAATACTTTTGGCTGTCTTCATATTTCTGATTAACTCCGCTTTTTTGAAGGCTCACCAATTGATTGGCATCTGCAATTTTTATTATGACTTGATACACTGGCACGGTAAAATTCTAGCTTGGAAACTGGAAAAAAAAAAGGAAAAAGAAAAATTCTTTCAGTTTCTTCAGTGTTATGTTCTAGGGCTAATATATAATTATATATATTAGCCACCTGAATGGTGCTTCAATTGTTAAAGATCGGTAATAAATGTATACTCGAGGTTGACTAAGATATAACTTATGAATCTTCATACTTCCAGTATGTTATATAGCCAATAATAGATAAAATACCGCCCCATCTCTCTGTTTCATAGCATGGGATGCATTCTTACCCTAAAATTTATATTGCACTAAACGGTTTCATTTTCTTTCTTTGTTGGGTATGGGCTGTAAAAGATGAAGCTGCAATTCAAAGTTGCTCTTGCTTCTGTTATTAGCTTGCTCTGGATTCAGCCCTCATTCTGTGGTTAGTATTACAATTTATTACATGTTGCCTACTTAATGCTAAGAGGAGGATATAGCTGCTTTTGATGTATTGGGCATCCCATGGCATGGACACTTTAACCCAGCAACTTATATCATGATTCAATTGTGTTCTTTTGATGATATAAAGCATTTATCGGATTCGTAGTCCACATAGTGCTTCTTGGTGACCGGTAATATTCACAAGTCCCTTTTTTGCGTGTGTCTGAGTGGCATTATTTCCTGTCAGATGGACCTTCTGGGAGCCTAAACAAATGGTTATGTAGGTGTTCTTTTCAAGGGAACCAGAGTTCCTCTCTCGCTAACTGTTCTACATCATGTGATTGCCGTTCAGGTATACTGCCTCATTTTCACCCATTAAATGTTCCAATTGATTTGGCTTGGGCTTGTGCATTTGATGATTGTATTCTAGCAGAATCTGCCTGGTGTAAACTTATTAAACCTGTTTCTATTTTCAATTCCAAATTATGTTCCTTAAAGGAAGATTATGGTGTAGGTTGGCAACAGCTAAATGGATAAGTAAGATTCTATATGGGTAACTCCTTTTCTTCTAAATGCTATGTTGCAAAATTCAAGAGGACTTTCTTATATAAAAAGCTGTCGGTAATTGTATTAGTCAATGTGCTCACAGTAGCAATGCAATATGCGTTATCCATATTAAGTTAGCTTGAATAGTAGCGTTTGCTTCTTTGCCTCAAATGTAGATGCCAAAGAGAGTGCAGACTTATGGACATGCTTGTGTGACCCCACTGGGTTTCCTAATGTGGAAGCCGATGGTCATAGTTCGAATTGCTTTACTGCCTGCAACTGCACCTGGGGTATCTTTCCTTCTGTCTCTCTTTATAATATCGGATTCCCACTGCAATATTTCACCAAAATTTCTTCCTCCATATGATTTAGATGGACTAGTTTTAATTGAAACACATATATATGCTCCGGACATTTTCCTTGTCACTACACCTTGTGTTAAGTTAATGCAAAACATTCACCTGATTGAGCACTTGTCCTAACTGTGAAACTTAGCTTACTTCTTCTCTTTAATCCCATGTATTTGTGTCATAGGAATGATCGTACATCCTTGTCCATTTGATAGAAAATCAGTAGTACACAGATAAGGTACTTAACTGAATCTATGGCGTTTTGAATGTTCTGCAGGAGCTCTCACCATCTCACAAGGTTCGAACAAACACATTTCCAGCAAGACTGTTATAATTATACTCTTACTCAGTGTAATATGCACAACTGTTGCATTTCTTGCCTCAATCGCATGCTATGTACGGCGAAGGGACAAATGGCCTATTCAATCACCCATATTCTCATCAGACAACGAAACAAGTTACAATAGCACTGCCATCTTGATTAGTAATAGAACTTCAGTGCCAGAAACAAAAGCTGTTGCAAATTCTCCCTTTAATCTGATCTCAGGTAAGTTAGTTTCATGTTTGCCTAGTTAAAATTTATTTCTTTTGAAAAAAACAAATTCAACCTACCTGAATGTGTGGGAAAAATCAAGGGTTACACTCTTATTTTCCCATGTCATATGGCTTTTGTCTTCACTATGTTTTTATATTATTTGTATGCAGGATGCTTTCGGACGGCCTCTTTCTTGTGTGGGAGCAAAGGAGAAACTTTTCATGGAAATACTATTCAATTTTCATTTGCAGTACTAGAAAATGCCACTGAAAAGTTTTCGGCTTCCAACCTGATTGGACTAGGCAGAAGTAGTTATGTATATCGTGGTCAACTGAAGGGTGGTACTAATGTGGCAGTGAAGCGACTAAGAGCTCAAGTGGGGACCGAAGCAGACTCTGAGTTTTTGACGGAGGTTGTACCCTAGGCCTGCAATATCAGTATTCTTTGTTTTGTTATACAATGTTAAATGGTCCGTGATTCTGGATAATAAACCTATAACATTTTCTTTTCTTACAGCATTCATTGTGATCAACAAAATTTTTATGTATGCAGATTGAACTACTCTCTAGACTTCATCACTGTCACCTGGTGCCTTTGCTTGGATACTGCTTAGAATCAAAAGGGAAACATGTTGAGAGGTTACTTGTATTTAAGTACATGGCTAATGGCAATTTGAGGGACTGTTTGGATGGAGCTTCTGGAAAAAGTCTGGATTGGGCGACCCGTGTTACAGTTGCAATAGGAGCTGCAAGGGGATTGGAATACCTACATGAAGCGGCTGCTCCAAGAATTCTACATAGAGATGTTAAATCAACAAACATCCTTCTGGATGAAAATTATCAAGCAAAAGTACGAAGCTTGAGTGTTATAGATGGTAGTTCATAATGGTTTTTAGTCTAAATTTCTTGCTGCTTTTTCCCCCATTAAATTCTTTTGGAAAACTGCAGAAGTATTTACCATAGTTGGCATTATATCACTTATGACTTGCGTCATCATAAGGCATAATTTTTTTTTTCTTTCAATAATCAACTTGCAGATTACCGATCTTGGTATGGCTAAAAACTTACGAGCTGATGACTTCCCCAGCTGTTCAAATTCTCCAGCCAGAATGCAGGGCACATTTGGTTATTTTGCACCTGAATATGCAATTGTTGGAAGAGCCTCTCTTAAGTCAGACGTCTTCAGTTTTGGGGTGGTTCTTCTTGAGATTATCAATGGTCGAAAACCTATCTATAAATCTAAAGGCAAAGAAGAAAGCCTTGTCATATGGGTATTGTAGATCCTCCTTTTAAGCTTATTACCCTTTGTTCACACATAGGGAAGATCTTTAATATGCTTAGCTCAGCTCAGTCTTTTTAGAATTTTATGAATAAATGTCTTTTACATTTTTATAATATATTGGATCTTCTGCCACCAGTATGAATTTGTATGAAGTACACTATGATCAATAATGATTAACTACCTGCTTCAAAATGAACTTGCTCAATAATGTCAGTTAACACATATTTTGTGGAAAGTCAACAATTGACACGGAATACAAAAATTTCTTTTGTCATAGGCTGCTCCTCTCTTACAAGATAAAAGGCGCATAATAACCGAGTTAGCCGACCCACAATTAAAAGGAAACTTCCCGGAAAAGGAGATGCAGATAATGGCATATTTAGCAAGGAGTGTTTGCTGTTGGATCCTGATACTCGACCAACCATGAGTGAAGTCGTTCAAATTCTTTCAACTATATCGCCAGACAAATCTAGAAGGACAAGAAACATTCCAGTGATCCTTTTCCAGGTGAGCACATTCACTTCACGTCCTCATTACTTAAATGCGATGCTGGGTTTAACTAACTTCTTTTTTTTTTGGGGGAAAAAACTGCCATTCAAAATAATCCTCCCGTATCAAGAAAAAAGAAAAATCAAATCCTGGCCTTCTTATTCCTCTTTCTGGACATTTACATGTATAGGAACCAAAGAATTCAGAGAAGCTAGAGCAAGTTCCATCTAGTAGAGTAGACACTGACCACAATCTTTGGGTCGGAAACCTCAATAATGAAGCAGATATAATTTCTGCTACGGATAGTTTGGTCCTCGCGACTCCAAAAGCTGGGAGCTGGTATGGATCCGAGGAAGAAATTGTAGACCTAACTGAGCCTCGGTTTGAATCATTTTGCGTGACAAACGTTAGTTCATCCTCATAACTTGTACCTGGCATGAACAGAGAGAAGGAGAGAACCTCAAGTCTGAAGAATCCACAAAGGAACAGTGCGGTTCTGTTCCAGATTCAATTGTTCTACCCTTCTCCGGCGCGTTGCTCAGTGGGATATCAAGAAGGAAGCAATCTCGTGTGCTGGTTTTGTGAATGTATTCATCTTTTTTTCTTCACAAAGGTCATTTTTCGTATTTGTGTATTGCACAGGAAAAAGGGGGCATAGGATACTCCCATTCTACTGTATCAGAAGAGGTATGGGGTCCAAAACTTATAGTTGCACAGTAGATGTTTTGGTTATAGAAATGGTTATTCCACGATTCTCCTATGTTCTGCATTTAGGTACTGTTTGGTATGTGGAAAATAGTGGGAGGGGAGGAAAAGAAAAATCTTAATGACCTCTATTTAAAAAATTAGATAAGGTGGGTTTTAAAATTTTAATTAAAAAAAAGTAATATAAAAGAGTAATACAAATTAATTAAAAGCTTTTAATCCTACTTGTTAAAATTTTTTTAAATCAAACTTATTAAAATTTTTTTCCCCCTCGCCTCCATTTTCCCTCATGCCAAACGGCTGAAAGTATCAATCTGCCGCCGACTTTTTTGCCAGGGTCCAAGGTTCACCGTTGAAAACACAAGTCTCATGTGTACGTGATGTACAGACGCATAACATTTGTATCCTAGAAGTTGAAGTGGTTGACCGTGATTGCCGTTAAGGATGACTTGCCAGTATTCATAAATTATGTTAGTTGGGTTGGTTTTTGTGATTTTGAATGCCCGTTTGAATGGTAGATGAGAGCAGGGACTTGAGTAAAGGATAGCGTTTTAACCTACAGATGCACGTAGAAAATGACCTGTGTGCCTTATCTGGTGAGTGGGTAGAACAGAGGCAACCCCCTTTTAGGTGTTTGATGGATCGACCTCCTCCTCCTCCTGCAGCAGCACCCCTCCTGGGTCCAGCTCCCTTTAACGGAGGATTCTTGGATTCTTGGTAACACATTATTCTTCATTTGCTTTTGTTCAGGAAATGTACATAAAACCAGGAACAGGGAATTGACCTTAATTTTTTGTTTCTTTTTCCTTTGGTTTTCAATATTGCAGCTTATGGTTTCTGACCTGCTGCGGTCTGTTTAGCTGTTGTTGTCCTCTCCTCTTTGAACCAGGGCCTCCTCCTCCCTAGAGCTTTGCTGCTCTCCTTCCAGATTTTTCATTTTGTGTTTCGGGGAATTCAACAAGTGAATGTTGGTCAATATTTTCCTCACTTCTAAATCCACGACGCTGTTCAGTTTTTATTGAACTGGCTTCCAGTTGTGAGCTGGGACTTTGCAGGCTTTGGTTTTCTATTTATAGTATGGTTTTCATTAAGGCGCGCAAATTTGTTTGTACGAGGGAAGTAGAAGATTAACATTAATCTTGCCATGTAATGCAATTAATTGATATTTCCCCCGTTTCGAGCCGGCCAAAATATCAATCCTGAGATAAGTTCCTCTTTAACTTTACTTTCATGTCCTTGGCGTAAAACCTAGTGAAGAAGTTAACTTTGATTTAGATGTAAGACTTATTTTATATGTTTACTAATTTTTTTCACATTAATCTTATTAATATTTTCTAAGAATAATCAAGTAAGATAGAGAGAGAGAAAATTAAGAAAGATGTTTAAGATATTTTTAAACATATCATGTTAACTAATTTAACTAATATCTTTATTTCACTCAAATTAATTAATTATGTCTTATATTAAGGATTGAAGGAGGATTATTTAAGTTTGTTTTCCTTAGAGATGGTTCCAAAAAAAAAAAATTATTTACGTGATATTGCAACGAACAAAATAATAAATTTGATTGTTCACTTGTCATAAACTTTAGCCATTTATGTGTACCTTACTTATACATTTCAATTTTAACTTGATCCATTTTTATTTTGTATCAATTAAGCATTTTTGGCCGAAGTATCAATTTGGTTTCGGTAGCAATCTTAACCAGATATCGTATTGAAGGAATTAAATAAGTTGCATGGAGTTCAAATGAAATGTGAGATAGAATTTTGGGGGGAAAAAAGGCCCGGGATGTGATATAATTTTTATTATTTATAAATAATACAGCCACTATAAATTTTATATTTGTATTGAATATTAGGATTGATTTAAAGTGTGCTGACTAAATTTTAAAAATAATTGTTGACCCAAACAGGCAAAGGCAAGATTAAATCTAATCGTTCATTTAGTTGTCTGACATATAACTCTCCAGGTTTAGCCATTTTTTTTTCCAAAGACTCCAATTGAAATTTGAAGACATAATATTGAATGAAAAAATAATGATTAGATGAGATTATTAACTTTCAGAAAGGTCACGTTAGAAAGTTCAGCACTTTCAAGGTAGAATTATTTCCTCCTATCCCATTTATAAACTTCAACTTCAATTATGATTTACTTCAAATTCAATTATGATTTACTTATAAGTTTTAATTTAGGTTTGTTTTAATATTTTTTTTAATATTATCCTTAATTATTTTTTTCTTATCATATTTTCATACATATTCTCTTTCATCCTCTTTCTCATTTATTATAAGGGTGTATTTAAAAATAAAAGTATATTTCTAACCTATTTATTATTTTCAACTAATTTTTAGTTATCCATAAATTAATTATTCACTTATTTGAAATTTATAATAAGAACCAGAGTGAGTAGTTATTAGGCATTTTTCTCTTTTGATATTATTCTTCTGATCTAAATATAAAACTCCTTTTGTAGTGTAAATTACACTACGAAAAAAGTCTTATATTTAAGACCGGAAGAGTATAATCAAAGAGTCTGGATATAAAAAAAAAAAAAAGAGTTCTTACAGAATATCTTGCCATAAAAATGAATGAGGGTATTTTTGATAGGAGATTAGAGTTTTTTTTTTTTTTCTGGGAAAAAATAAACTGGGGTGGAACCGGGGAAATCAAAAGCTAACCGGACCTGGTTGGTTCCCTCGCGGCGCGAAACTCTTTCCTTCCTTTCTCTTTCACCAGGGAAAGCCAGTAGTTGAGATGGCCGGAAAAGCTACAAAAACTCCGACGACATACTCACCGTCGCCGACTACTCATAAAACGAAAGCAGCTTGTTTCAATGACGATTGGATTCGACCCGATGGCCGCGGTCTTCACCAGTGCAGGCCTGCCTGTAATCACATACTTAATTTTTCCTATACCATATGTGATATGTTGCGCTCATGTAAATAATTGTTTTTCCATTTTCATGAGTTTCAAAAGCTTTGATTTTGGTAATAGAGCTTGTATCATATTAGATTGAATACAGTTTTTCTGTTTCTACTCAATGCACTGCAGCCATGCAGGTAAGAACCACGATGTGAGACTGATTTTATCGGAATGTGCAATTGAGTTTCTCTATTCCCTTTGATCGTTTTTGTTTTTGGGTAGACAACGTTATGCTATGTGGCGCTTTTTATATCTGCTTTGTCAATTGGCTGTTTTTCAGTTTGTTTAGGCTTGCTTACAATTGGTTAACGCTTGATAATGCCTCTTTCAATAGGTTGATAGCTTTATGCCGTTGTAACTAATACTAACTTAAGCCATGGAATAAAGTTTGTGTTGTCGAATGATGGATTTTCTTTGGTTCACTTTTGTATGCTTTTCCTCCTCATTGATTCTTCCACGTCATTGAACTGCTGGGAATTGCATTTTGCGCCACCAGTATATGAGGTTCAAAGCATATGTTGTTATTTGTATACATTTATTTACTTGCTTCTAATGCATATGTAACATGCTTTTGCTCTGTGGTGTGGTTCAAGGGAATGTCTTACGGGCGATATTTACATTTTCTTCCATACTGTAGCCTGTCCCTGTGTTAATACTTGTTCTTTTAATTTAAAAGAGTGGAAAAGTTGTTTCTATTTCAAGTTTCGAGAAAGAGCTGTAGATCCCTTTGTCTTTCATTTCTGTGTTTGATTCTAAGGGTTTTAGTTCAGAGAGATTGATGATTTACCTCCTTGCCTGTTTTTGGTTAGCATAGGATTTTACTAGAGGCCAGAAGGTATCAATAAATGAGGGTATCTCTGTGTATGAGTGCATACGGTATAATAATATGCTGGACTACACCAAACTTTGTGGGTACTATCTGTGCATAGGTGTTGAAGTTTCAGCTTTACTTAAAAAATATTTGCTTTGGATTTGAAATATTGATAGTGTATTGGTTGCATAATGGTTAATGGTTTTAGGTTGACTTGCAGTTTTCAGGACTAGGGCTGTGAATACTGCTGCTGGATCTGCTTACGCTGAGTTTGGGAATACTAAAGTCATTGTATCTCTGTGAGTGGATGTGTCACTTCAGAAATTTGCAGCTTAATTATACCAGCTTACTGAAGTTTGTTGTTTGCATTTTTTGATTCAGATTTGGGCCAAGAGAGAGTAAGAAGGCAATGATGTATAGCAATATAGGGGGCCTAAATTGCAATGTCAGCTATACAACTCTTGCAACTCTATCTCGTGAACAGGTGTGTGAAATTCTATAATTAAGCTTTGTGCTTCTTCTACTTTGTTTAGTTGATTCCCATATTAAGTAGCATTCTTAAATGGCACGAATTAGGGATCAAACCACCAAGAGTATTCCATGATGCTTTATAAAGCTTTGGAGGGTGCAATAATTTTAGAAACTTTCCCCAAGACGACTGTGGATGTGTTTGCATTGGTGCTGGAATCTGCTGGCAGTATGTTTACAGTAATGTTGTTTCAGTTTGAACCCTCAGTATATGGTAGTTGGTAGTCAGGACTATAAGGACAGAAAATTCGCAGAATACGAGTTCATTAAAATAATAGATGATGAAATTTGATTGGTCATAAATCATGGCATTGGTTTACCTTACTGTCATTTATCTATTAATTCAATTGATTTCCCATCACTTGCTTAAATGTGTAAAAATAATCATGCAAATGTTTCTTATTAATTGACTAAACCAACTGTGTAGAGTTTTGCAACAGAGAATTTATTGTGTGAGATCTTAATCGGTAATAATGACAATTGATGCTATATGCATACTGTCATACTCAATAGATTTCATCCACTATTTTTTAAATCAGTTTTTATATAATTATTCCCATAAAATGACATAATAAAATTTCTTTTGCTGTTCTGAACACCGTTGTGTGTCTGTATATGCTTATAAATTGGGTAGCATGGACATAGGAAGTATAGGCATATTAAAGGTGATAACCTGTTTTTTATTATGCGGTTTCTATTTTGACATGGTAAAAGTGCTGGATAATTCAGGCCAAAAAAAAAAAAAAGGTGCTGGATAAGATGATTTAATTTTCAATGGTAAAGTTCAGTTGAACTTATCTGAGATTTTGCATCTCGTATCATCTCATATTCTCTTCCTTTGGATTTTGTAAAGGGGGAGGATATGCGGAATAATTACGGCTGTGTAATTTATCACTTGAAGCAAATCTCTGTTCCATCTAATTTGATTCCATTGTATTATTACTATTGAGTAGGTGCCAAACTGACAATAAGTTTATACCACGTTTCTAGCAATGATAATACTAACGTGATTGTGCCAGGTGATCTCCCAGTTGTCATTTCATGTGCTAGCCTTGCTCTAGCAGATGCTGGAATAATGATGTATGATCTTGTTTCCTCAGTTTCTATGGTATGGATCTTACATAAACATGCAGCCTTCTGTGATTTGGGGTGCTGAAACTATTTCTCAATTTGAGTTTTCTTGAATGTTTTCTTATTATATTATTACCATCCTTTACTCCCCCTTTTCTTTTCAAATTTTAGGGCTTGCATCATGCATTGCCTAGAAAGACATTATTTTATTAATGCCAACTTACGACTTCTCTGGGTCACTGAATTGATGCCTTTGTAACATGTTAATTCATAACATGACTCTACCAATGATTTTTCCTGTCCTTGCAAGATGATTTTGTTTCTCAGAAAGACTTGTTTAGTTTCTTACAATAAAAATTGTTCATCTGTTCGCCGGTTCCAGTCATGTCTTGATAGGAACCTTGTCATTGATCCTAATTTGGAGGAGGAGCACTGTCAGGATGGAAGCTTAATGATAAGTTGCATGCCTTCTCGATGCGAAGTCACTCAACTCACTGTTACTGGGGATTGGTCCACCCCAACGCTTGATGAGGTATACCCATTCTCTGGCACTTTTCTTGTAACTCCTGGAGAAGTCTCAGCCCCTTTCCTCATTGCAGGATATCATAAATGTACTGCATCTTGTATCTGAAATTTTTTAAAGGTGGATAAGTACGACATGCATGCATGCATACACACAATACATACATATTCAAATTAATAATTGTATCAACGGTATTATGGAATTCTCAGTGACATACTAGATATTGTATGCATGGCAGGGGATGCAGCTGTGCCTAGATGCTTGTGCTGAACTTGCGAAGATTATGAGGTCATGTTTGCGAGATGCTGCTTTAGGTTGCCAGGAATAGGATGAGAGCTTTTACTGATTGATTCACAGGATAGTGCTTTTTATCCCCCCAACAGAGAGAGGTTCCCTTCTTTTTTTTGTGGTGGGGGGGGGGGGGAGAGGGAGGGAAATTTTGCGGTTAGGACCTTCTCAAAGGATTCTTGCTAATATTATTATTTTTAATTCTAGCAACTATTAACTTGATATTTCATTCATAGTGGACACAAAAAGCTATGGGAAGCAAATATATAACATGCTTTGGGAGCCACAATCCTTGAATGATTATCTTAACAGAGCTAAACCAAAGGAATCTGCTGTATATTGTAGCTTTTAATTAGCAAAAGTAGAATCTTGCTTTAGCTTGTGATTTTCTTGTGACTTACAAGAGATTCCTACTTGAGAATAATGGGGATGGACTACATGCAGAACAAGTGGTTCTTTTGCTCTTTCTTTTCGTACCAACAAACAAATTCATGGTGTGTGCCACTAAGAATGTCCGGGCCTGCACAGTTAGGTAGTTGGTACGACAATATGAATGATGACCCTGCTTTGCAGCCTGCTCCCATTCTACTTTATAAATTCATGTTTTCGGTCTCACAGGTATATCACGCAATTCGAATGTTGTTCACTTTTGAGAACAGAGAAAATGCAAGTGGCATATGTTGCCAAACTTTTGCATTGGGAGTTTCATATGCTCCTTCGACACATAATTGATTGAAATAAGTTGTATAATTTTTTTAAGTCCATGTTAGTATCATTTGGAGCTATGTTGAATTATTGTTAGCGAAGTCAACTTGAAAGTCACGAATGCTATTATAAATCTTAATACTACTCCGGTTCTAAATATAAAATAATATAAATTAGCTATTATATTTAGGATTAGTCGTCAAAAGTAGTATTATAGAACAAATTAAAAATTTAATCATTTGATTATAGAATTTATGAGCTCATTTTAGCAATACTTAGCCGCAAGTCTCGCAGCCCATGAGCCAAACGAAATTCAAGACCATCATTGTTACATCGAATCTTAGCATTCAAGAATAATACATGGATGGTAACAAAGTGTAAAGACATTCAAAATCAGGGAAGAGGGAACAAAACTGAAGATGACAAGGTTCAATGATTAACTTATTTCATAGTTAAGCACCCAAAAAAAAAACTTATTCCGTAGTTAAACTTATCTTGCGTGGCATCATATAACTCCATGTGATGATATGAAGCAGCACATAATGATGGCTTAAAGAAAAGAAAAGAAAAGAGTATGTTTAAAGAGATGAAATCCCTTCCAAGTCGAGGAAGTTTTCGGCAATAGACAAGGGATGGCAGACATATTCATGGTAAAACATAAAACAAGCTTCCAAAGGAGGGACAAAATCCGAGGTAAAAAGTAAACAAAATTGGACCCCCCCCCCGGGGGGGGGGGCCCTGATGTTACACAGTCAAGTTCCTGATCTCTTGTGCACCCTTTGAAGGGTGTGTTTTTTTCATGGGTCATTTGTCCTCCTGCAATTAAGCACCCCCAAGCAATGGACCCACTTTGACTATTGGCCTGGCTCGGTTTCAATGAAACTTTGCAGTTTTACTTTTACTTCTCTACATTTAGGCACGAGAACTTAATTTTCCCATAGATTAGCTGTAAAGACTTCAATAGTTACAGACTTGCATGATTAATGATCAACGTTTTCTGTAATGATGAGCATATTCACTTAGTCGCCTTTTAATATCAAAGTTCTGTCCTTTGAAGAAGTGAAAAGTGAAGAAAAGAATCTTGAAAGTTGAAACCATATGGTTAAAATGGTTGTGTCACAAGCCGTGAGACAACTTTCAACGCACAAGCTTGAAGAAAACAAACAATTCACCCCCACCCCACCTCTGACCAATTTGTTCCCACGAAAAGAACATATTTTTATTTTTATTTTTTAGGCAAAAATATTAGGAAGCGTTCGAAAATGTTGGGAGTTATATACAGTCGATGTTTAGAAGAAGAAGAAGCAGATAGAGGAAGCAATGGAATGGAAGAGAGATTCAAATGCATGTGAATTTGATAATTGACCAAAGGCTATATCAATGACTTAGCCGGCAGGGTATGGAGTTGGAGAACCCTAAACAAAACAGGGGGTTGTTAACCTAATTTCTTCTCTCGTGTATAAAATTATGGCCCCTCCATTCTCCACCAACACTCTCAAGATAAGGGTTTGTCATCAAGTGAATATTCTAGACTGTGATTATTTTTTCTTAAAAAAAATTTTAATGATGCCCCTGTGACCCAAATTACAAATATGAATAATTGTGACGAGGCAAAATAATATTTTATTATCCTGTAATGAAACCAATTTCCAATAGACAGTACCGTTTGAATAATTTGTGATTGACTACCGTACGTTTTGTTATATTAGCATTTTTCAAATTGTGCTATTGATTTATTGTTATTAAAAATTGATTAAAAAAAAGGGGCATGAATTTAATCACTCATGTTTGTTAAACTGTAAAAAGCCCACAAATATATCGAAACTCTGAGAGCAATTAGACCCCGATAGCACCATGTGATACAAATTCATAATTATGGGAGCCAAGTGCTTGAAAGTGGCAAAACATATACAACTGACTCATCTAAACACCGTAATTAAATTTTCCACTCTCGTACGAGTGAGCAAAAACTAATTTTTTTATATGAATTTATTTTTGTGAATATCAAATATTCAGATCATCACAGAAAAACAAGTTTGTTGAGTTGGCTTTCAAATTGGACCACAATTATATGGCTCCAATTCCAAAAAGAAAAACAGGACGTGACGCGCAGAAAATAATAAAAATCAAAATCAAAATTCAGGGGAAGAAATGTTGGTGACCAGAAAGAGCATGATGAAGAAGCTACGGGTAGAAAGCCAGTGTCCAAGTGATGGAACACCATGATTATAAGTCCCCAACACTAAACAGAAACATCCATATTTCACTTTTGAAAATCATACCAACAACATTCTGTGTTCTTCTCTATTATACCGATGAAGCCCCACTCTGGCATGTCCATTCCATTCCATCAAGAGCAAAGGACGGTGCCTCCCCTCTCTCACTAATCCTCTTTTCCCACATTTCATCTTAAAGGGCCGCCCACCTGATGGTTAAAAATCTTATGCTAAGGCAAAATTAATCACCACTTCTATTTACTCCCTTAATTTGACTTATTAACCTATCTGTTTGTTCTTGGTAGTACATGCAATGGTCGTCCGTTTCACAACGTGCATGCAGGATAGGCTTTGTCAAAAGGACTTGCTTTTGAATTCACAAAGCAGCAGCCCTAGCAATGACTCTACGCCTCCCAGGGGACCACCCCATCACACTTTAATCATTTAACTGCACATTGATAATCTTGTTTGTGGCGATTTTATCGTGTTTTACTATTAACCCTTTTCCTGTTCAAAGCAAGAGAATACACAGGAAAATAACTAGCTATTTTTGTTAGTTAATATGAACACAAGTTAGGCCAGGTGAGAATTGAGATCGATCCTGGCGATTACCGATAGGCCTTACAGCTCAAAAAGCAATTATAAATCTACTTGCATATTATTATAGTATTACCCATCAAACGAGATTCTTGCATCAATAATGGGGTTGGAATTATTCCCGTGTAATATTTCTTGGCATGGCGAACGAAGGAATTATTAGTTGATATTGTTGAGTTGAAACAAGTGAATATGGTGAAATTTTGGAAGGTACTTGGAAGGAGGAGCATGTGAGGGTCGGAGGGGGGAGAAGAAGGTGAATGATGGAGGCGATAAGGACAATAAGGATAAGCCAATAATGACAAGGATGTGGCAGGCTTGTTTGGTTTGGAGAGATATCAGCGGTGACAGCAGGAAGCAAAGTAATGGCTGATTGCTGCTAACAATAATCAGACGGGTGGGGAAGAGGGAGACAGACTTTAGTTAAAGAAACTGCAAAGAATGTCTCATGTTCTGCGCATGTTTCATTATTTCCCCCCTCCCCTCCATTCTTGTACCAAGTTCACGCCATTTCTAGGTTCTCCTGCCTCTCAGTTCATACATTTTCATAAAATTTACTGTTGTAACAATCACGTACGTACCCATTAATTAGATAGAGATAGTTGGAGTACATTATTTTTGGGGTCAAATTGCAACCAAGGTTTCTCTCTCCAATAGATGTTATCAAGTACGAGAATGGTGGTCTGTTTGACTTTTACACGAATGACAACGAATAATTCAACGTTAAAAAAGAATGGATGGTTGTTGGGGTGATCAAATTAGAAGAGGGAAGCATAAGGAGTCGATAATAATAAGGAGGGAAGGGAAGATGGGGCAAAAATGGGAATTGCGTATACAAGTTGGATTCTGCAACCGCAGCCCTATATGCAGAGAGAGATGATTGTTGGGAACTTTGCTTGTGAGGTTGGGAGTGTTAGAAAGTGACGAGCCAAGAAAAATCATACTAGCTGGCGTGTCGCATTTATTTTATTCCTCTCGGAGCGCAGCACCGAGTCTAAGTCGGTGCTTCCATTGTGAATGAACAAACTGGTTTTGAATCCCCTAATTATGTTGACAGCCACTACTCATCCCCTGTTGCTTCTCTTCTTTCCCATTTCAACCATATAATTCATGGAGCTGCTTCATTTGAATCTCTCCCTTGGTCACATACCTATAAATTACCCTGCAACGCGTCCATAAAAAAGATGCATAATAATAATAATAACAATGCTTCATTTGTTTGGATTGAAAGGTAAGTAACGCTTGCCACCTTTATTTTTTATTTTTTGACGTGACAACAATCGAGGTCAAAAGACCAACAATGCTCATGTCATCTTCCAAACTCTGCCCAATACAAGTTCAAGAAATTATCGTTGTTGACGTATCCGGAATTGAAGGACCCACGGGCCATTTGTACCAGTTCAATTCATGCTCCTTTATGGAATGTCATTGATTAATCTATTAATCACTAAGTTAATACTGTATGGTACTCCCTCCATTCCTTATTATAAGAGATATTTTTTGCTTATGGCATGTTCCTATATATAAGAGACACTTAAAAGTTGTCTCTATTTTTTTGTGTTGATTTTCTATTTTACCCATATTTATTGTCTCCAACTCACACTCTCTCTCCCTCCCACTTCTCTTTCTTTTAATAATTTAATTGTTCTCTCTCATACTCTCTCTTCTTATTAATGAGGGCATTTTTGGAAAAAAGATTATACTTTTACACATTGATTGTTCTTAACTAATTTTAATTGTTTTTTTTATCAACGTAATTCGGTTATTCGTCTCTTATAATAAGGAACGGAGGGAGTATAAAACTAATAAATATGCATGTTATAACTCATATTTGAAATTTCAGGATACTGTAGGAGGACCCACATCTAGTTAAAAATAATAATAACGACAGCCAAAATGGGAGACTGCACATAGTAGGACGACCTAACACTTTGGAGTGAACTGAATATGCTTTGTTCCATTTTCAACAAAGACGTTAAAGATTAATACCCATGAAGGAGTTATAGTTTCAGTTTAAACGAGAATAATGATATTAAGGTTGTTATGCTTTTTGGCGACGTGTTCACTAACATGCAGTAAGAATTTATTATTAAAATTAAATAAAAGGTGGCCACTTTCGTTGATGAATGTGAATGATCAGCTACCACACCCGAGTAAGCCTATGTGGAGTCAAGACAGCAGTCAGACTCCCACACTCTTTTGAGATCGGGCTGCAAAAAGGCACTCATGAAAACTCACACTTCATATAATCAGAAGACTAGCCTACCCAGCTACGAACACACACACAGACACACGCATCAATCTAAAGTGTGGTGGTTTTGGTTTGTCAAACAAAACCTCTTCCATAGTTTTTAATTTCTCATGATACCCTGTCACTGAACAACGCTGGAGACCCATTTTCAAACAGAGTGATTACTATAGTAATGAATGGATGGGATAGGCCTCAAAGTCTGCACACAATATGATGGAATGATGTGTGTCTGGGACGGCTATGTAAAGATTATGGTCTCCCATAGAGTACACAAGTAATCTCATGGTGCAGTAATGGAGACTGAAAGGCTGCAATGAGATCTAATCTCGGGGAGATGATAAGCTGTCTGGTTCTGATTATTATTGGCATGAATTTACAACTCTCTGAGGTTCAGATCAGCAAAACAATTTATAAATGGACGATCTTTTGATATAGGTTTCTATCGTTATCCAACAGTAAAAAACCAACGTGTTTATCTTCATTTGGAATGAGAGCATTTCCTTTTTTGCAACTCCAGGACAAAGAAAAGTGTAACCCTGCCTTTTTCCTCTGCCTCAACCCTCCACCAAGTAAACGTTAAGCACCGATAAATATAACTCAACAACCCAGATTTGACTAATGATATTGAGCTGTGATGAGGCATGATTAGCTGTTAAAACACATACGAGCGCACAAAAAGTGACAACCAATGAACAGAGCGGTTGAATGAAAAAGACAAAAGAGTGCAACGCTTTGCCCCAACAAAAGAAAAAGCTTGGTGGTTGATTGATGAGAAAGGGGAGGAAGAAGAAGATGATAGAGTGAGTTCGTGACAGATCAAACTTTCCCAAATTTGGGGAAGCCGATGTGTGAAGGCAGGGGCAGAGGCGTCGACCTGTGATTGGGGGATGAGAGAAGAGCCTTTCCAAAATGACCAAAGTGCTCTCTCTCTCTCTCCCCCCCCCCCCTCACACACACACACACTCTCCACAACTTTGTCATCAAATAATGGCTGAGGAACGCACATGCCCTTTTCCATCATCTTCCTAATGCTAATGCATAGCAAAGGTATGGCTGTCAGTGATGTACGCATCCTCCATTTATTCTCCTTTATCATCTCATTTCAACACCTATTATTGCACGGACTAAACCCACTCACATTTCCTATCTCTAATCCGGTGGTTATTTTATTTGCCATTTACAAATCGCAAATCATTGCCTTGCGGACTAAATGCCTCTCTCTAAAAGCTATTGCTCCTAATAAAACAACACCGTAGTTTAAGTATCTCTAATAACATGACAAGTAGTTTAGTAGCTTACTCTGCAAATACAGAGTATGTTTATGTGTATTGGGACAGCAAGGTTTGGTTCATCGGAGGAGTATAAGATGAATAAAACGGAGGTGTTAGTGACTTCTTTTCTGAGTGAGCAGATATAATGAATGTTTCCTAGACCTGCATCAACATTGTCGAGTGAAGGATGGTAGTTGAAGGTGCAGATATAGTGGGTCATGGGTCTCCATTTCTCGTCTATGCGAGCTTTCACGCAAACCTTGTACCCCTATAACGTCAAAATCGAACCTTTCTTTTTTAAAAAGAATATTACAATCAGTTAATGACTAGGTTCGTTTCTACCTTATGTTTATAGCACAGTAGTGTTCAACCAAAATTGATGAGGAAAGCTTAATAAGGATCAATTTAGAAGGAGTGGTGTGCGTCATGCAGATACCATATGCCAAACAGAAAGGTTAGTTGGATGGATGCTACAATAAAGTGAATCCTATGAAAATATGGGATTACGAGTCAACCCCAGATGAAAGATGCGTATGGTTTTAGCTAGTAGCAATAGATACGACAGCGTCAAAAACTCTAGTGACAAGGGGTTTCACGAGCACATCACAAATAGTGCGCGCCAAACTCTGCTATAAGAACTAGGAATCTAAGCAATTCATTGACAAAGTCGAAATTTTTCCAACAGTGGGTCAACTCCTGTGCATTACAAGTTGCATCTCTAACCAGAACAGATCAAATGGCAGAAGAATTTTTTTGGCTTTCCTCCGAATTCTTGACTCTTGCTCATGTAAAAACAAAGAATGCTGTCACCTCGACTTTCAAAACTATCTTGGTAAAAGAAATTATAAAGAGTTTTCCTTGATCCTATGAAATTTGGACCAGAAAATCACGAGGATTTTACTGAAATAATAGAGATAAACATGTAATTATGTTGAAATAGGACCACAATCAACCTTTTTTTTTTAGGTGCGTGTGTATGGAACAAGGGACCATGGTAAAGTAGAGACACACATCACCGGACGAAGTGTTGTACATACAATGCAAGTTGGGTGAGTCAGCGTCGTCCGTGATGGGAAAGACTCTAAAAATATGCAGTCTTGCGTGTGCCTCTCCTACCAATATATATAGGCAAACCCCATAGCTCACCCCCATGAGCCTATCTCACTGATTCTCAAGTTGTGGGACACAGAGGAAGAGAGATTGAGAAACGAGGGAGATGGAGACAGAAACTGAGAGGAAACCATCCAAATTCAAGAGGATTTGTGTTTTCTGTGGCAGCAGCCCTGGCAAGAAAAGCAGTTACAGGGATGCTGCAATTGAGCTCGGAAGAGAGTTGGTAATGCTTCTCTGTCTCGTCTTTTCTCTTCACTTGTCCTTCCCACAAATTAGCTAAAATACTATCTGTTACGAATTTAATATTCCTCCTTCTTTGTTCTTTGTATTGGTTGTGAGTTAAATTGAAAAGACGTATTCTTTGGCACTACCTTTGTTTGATAACTAGAATCATCATCTTATCCTTAGTCTTTCACGGATTACATGCTGTATAACTTGGCCCGTCCCAACAGTTGTTAGGAAAAGATAATCCCACTCACCATTTAGATGCTCTGTTTTGGTTTCCTTGAAGGTGTCGAGGAATATTGATCTGGTTTACGGAGGAGGCAGCATTGGTTTAATGGGGTTAATTTCGCAAGCTGTTTATAATGGTGGCCGGCATGTGATAGGGTGAGTATATATTTTGTTCATAACTTGTATGGTGAGGATGCTCCCCACAAGATATTACACATGATCATCTCCAACTAAACTAAAACTAATGTTTGTCATGTTATTGTCTTGCAGAGTTATTCCCAAGACACTCATGCCCAGGGAGGTAATGTTAAAATGTTTTGGAAGCATTTTTGAGAGAGAGAGAGAGAAGAGAGAGCTACAAAGAGGGACAGAGAGGACCGGGGGGGGGGAGACAGAGGGAATTAAGTCATATCTTTTGCCTTGCTAACTCAATATGTTTTGCATTCCAGTGGCGAGGGGGGGTTGATTTGAATGAGAGTGAATGAGAGCCTTAGGTTTGTTATCCCAATATATCTGAAGATGACACGTGGCAGAGGGCATCTGAGTGGGAAGAAGTTATCCAAGACACCACCTGGCAATCTGGGGTCTTTCGGTGACGAACCATTTTTGTCCTGCTGCGCGCAGTTGCATTATGCCAACTTTAGATTCTCATGGCATGCCTAGTTTTATCCCCATTTTCTCTGTCATTGAGGAACCAACCTTTATTGTTCTTTCGCCTGTCGCTGTGCATAACTTTATTTGTTTCGAGGGATTGTAGTTATTATGCAGATGCATGATTCCCCTGCCACGCCCATCATTACTTGTGTGTGTGAGAGAGAGAGAGAGAGAGAGAATTTGGATTGACTTAACTGGGGGGGACTTTGCCGCAAAATTTTGCAGATCACTGGAGAAACAGTGGGAGAAGTGAAGGCTGTTGCAGACATGCATCAAAGAAAAGCCGAGATGGCCAGGCGCTCTGATGCCTTCATTGCCTTGCCCGGTTTGTATTTTCAAACTCAGCGTGCTGCTTTTTAGTTTAACTTTTATTTTCCTGGAAAATTTATAAATAGAAACAGCAAGAGATCATCTTGTCTTGTCCTCCTCAAGCAGCAAAAGATTTAGACTCACAAAGAGAGTTTATCGCCGTACTGTAGTCTTATCAGCTATCAAAGAGGATAGGACAGTTTCAACGTCAATTACTGTGACCTAGGTTGTCGCTCTGTTTTCCACGTAATTTAGACATACTGATCCCGTTTTAAATTTTTATCTTTATTTCTAGATTTTTTTAAGGAAAAAAGATGCCTTCTTTTAGTGCTATCGCTGTGCGTTTAGATATCATTTTTAATGAAAATTTTCTTTTCTGCATGGGTCCCTGTTTCACGGGGCAAAACCGTGCACAATACACGCGATAGATAAAATCTAGTAAACTTTGCAATTGCTTTTTTCTTTTTTCTATGGAGTAAAATGTACCCTTTTCAAGACAAAAAAAATTATAGTTTATTTAAAAACGAGTTATTCATAAATACGACCATAGTTCATATCAAATTTCATGCACACATATCTTAACATAAACCTGAGTCAATTTCCCTTTTACCATTGATCAATAATGTGACAACAATGAAGTGAAAAAACAAAAACACAAAGTAACAGTAGAATAAACGTTAGCCCAAACAAAAGACAGAAACAGAGCATAGACTATTGAGTGAATTACATAGGACTCTGTTTTCAAAGCATGGTGAATGATGATGATGAAGGTGGGTATGGTACACTGGAGGAGCTTCTGGAGGTGATCACTTGGGCTCAACTTGGAATCCATGATAAACCAGTCAGTTCCCCTCCTCATAACTAGTAGAATCGATTATGAATTATTTCATAAAAATTGCTGTCTTGCAAATCTCTGACCAAAAGTAATGATTTTAATAGGTGGGATTGTTGAATGTGGACGGATACTACAATTCCTTGTTATCATTCGTTGACAAAGCAGTGGAGGAAGGCTTCATTAGCCCTAATGCACGTCACATCATTGTCTCTGCCCCAACTGCAATAGAGCTTGTAAAAAAGATGGAGGTGTGTATATACATACATATATATATGGTACTAATAATATTAGTTAATTAAGCTCTATGCTTAGTGAAACTGATGTAAGTTTGTTTTTTCACTGGTATAGGAATATTTCCCACGCCATGAAAGAGTTGCTCCCAAGCGAAGCTGGGAAAATGAGCAACTTAGCAATGAAGCCACCGCGTATGAGATCTTAAGGTGATTCATACACTAACGGATGGGAAACATGTGGTAGAAAGAGTTGTCAGTTTAACGTTTAAGGGACCTTATAATATTAGCCTAGCTAGATTATGACCCACAATTTCCTTCTAGTGCAGTGCGTCTTCTCTTCATCACTTTCCGTGTTGTTATTGTAAACCACATAATTAACCGCAATCTAGTTATCAAGGCCTGACCACTCCTCTCAATTTCCACTCCGGTTTAAGCACAGCAACTTTTGAATCAAGTTGGGTGGTAAAATATTCAAAATTTTACATCAAGGTTTTAGGTAACTGAGTTATCAGATATAGGTAATAACTTGCGGATACGAGACAAGTTCAAAACTCCACATCAACAAAGTGGTTGTTCTTTTAATGTATCTTCATCTGCGCCCAATATAAATACAAACTGGGGAGCAACCAAAATTACCAAATAAACTGGACCGTTGATATATATATATGTGTGTGTGTGTGTGTATAAAATACATGTATATATCATCGGCAAGAAATAGCCGGGACACTTGGCTATGGCCGGCAGAACCATCACCAACAACGTAAATCATTCCTGACGAAGCTTCCGTGTGTCCTGCTTGCTAGAGCCACTCGTATTGTTGATAACCACCAATCAATTTCAAACCAGTAAGTCAGTCTATAAGAGATTTTATGATGGGTAAAGTTTATTTACATGATTACCATATGTCGGATTCTCATAACCCATATTTATTTAGTTGTCTTCTTTTAAGCAATTTCCAAGTTCCCTTTTCTTGATCTCATGAGCTAGTTTCTAAATCATATTCCTGCAGTAGAATGGTCATCCGGATGTTGCTATAGAAAAATAAAAGACCATTTCAATCTGAATAAAAACAACACGCCGAAAATTAAGCTGTATTAAATCATGAATCTGCATTGTCCCATAATTTAGACAACTGGGCAATGCAATAGCCGCAAGATACCTCCTAAGTTCAGCAATTATAATATTCCTCCAGTCTTAAATATAAGATATTTTTTGTAGTATAATTTATACTATAAAAAAAGTCTTATATTTAGGACCGGAAGAGTATGTATGCAGTATAAAGTTCTCTCTGTTTGTTCGAACAAATTAAAATTGGAAGCTCCAAAATTACTAGGTTAATCTAAGAAAAGGATGTGTTGACTTTAGCGTAAGATAACAGGAAATCAAAATTGAAGTCACAGACAGTGAGGGTTACACGTGAAAGCCCAAAGGTCATGGATTTGACCACTCGTAGGATCTTAGTTTTCGCAGGCGTTGTGGCACGTGAAAGTCGACAAAATAGAATTTTAAGCCATACTGATGGCTATAGAAAATAAGATTTCACCCTTTGAAAATCCATTTCACTGATGCAAAATATCATTCCCTGATTCCATCTTCGTTCAACATCCCCCCCCTTTTTGGGGGTACAAGACGCTCAAATTTATTTGATTTAAAGGGTGTTTGGGTAAGATTAAAACTATAGTTTCAAAAGTATTTTTACGATATACAAAATAAATATGTGAAGGAGTTTACTTCGATTTGCGAAAAAGTAATTATTGAGGTATCCTAACACCTTTTTAGTTCTGGGGCTAAATATATAGACAAGGTATTTTACATGGCCATGGCCCATGAGTCATGTGGCCTTCCCTCTGTTATGGATCTTTCCGGTTAGTCTAAACTCCTTTCCTAAATGGATATAGGTGCTGCATGTGATTTTTATAATTTAATTCCAAACTTCACGCAGTGTAACTCTATATAATATGAGTGTTTATTCGTTCTTTCCTTCTGCAATGCACCTCACCGGAAAAAGAGGAAAAATTAAAAATGAAAATTGACCCCGTTAATAGATGTCAACCCCTTTAAGCGATCGACTCATTCGAATTCTTTCTTCTTTGAGTGAATCCAGCCATGGGTTCCTTGTGTTCTACTCGCCTAAGTTCGGCCTCTTCCAATTGACAAAGTTTGCCGATATTCTCATTTACGCATCTTCCTCCCGCAAGTCAAATACATCTAATATATATGTAATAGTTTTGACTATTTTATACTCAATGTTCGTTGTCTCCAGTAAGTAAATGCAATCGTGTCCAATCAAGGCCTTGCGGAAGAACCATTCACAGAAAATCAGCAGTGGATTGTGATGTCCATCATCACGGGTCTAGCTTAAGCTCTCTTAAGTCCTAGCCTGTTTAAAATGAAGAATAAAAAAGCTATGTTCCTCGCACTTTGGATGTCTTCGTGACCTTGTTTTTTCGTGCTTTAACTGTTAAATCTTATTTTACCTACAGCTCATCGTTTCTTTTGTTAATATTGCTTAAATATTATATTTTGTAAATTCTGTGTCAAAATGCAGCGTGTGGAAAGTCCCGTGTGAGTGACAGAGTGAATGGATTTTATTCTTTTTGAGGGTTATCAATAATCAAACTGAAAATCTTTGGAAAGAAACTGGAAAAAGGGGAAAAGTCAGTTAAAAACGGTACATATAGAAGGAGGGTAGTGCCAAAAACGCAGGGGTAGCCCTTCTCTGCGGCATCAAAACCGGCTTTCTTATGCGTATTAAGGATTAAAATAATACGAGAAGCAGTTCTACTCAATGAAGGTAACGTGTTTGCTTGCTTCAAATTCTTCTATATGAGTTTGCTCCATGTGACCTTTGCTGCATTTTTCATGGGGTACCTCCCCTTCCTAATTAAAGTTTATCACCATTTCTTGTACATTTAAACATTCCTGATCCTATATTCTTCTACAGTTTGAAACATTGAATCTGATCCAACTTACAAAATGAGTTTTGGGAGAAAAGTGAGGAGTGGTGATTACTTGGAAGGGATGATAAATGAATGCGTTGGAGGAAAGGCCAAAGCGAAGGCTCCAAAAAATGGCTCTGCTAAGCTCGTTGCTACTCTTACATGCCTTCAATTTTTCTTCGCAGTTTATGCAACTTTCCTCTTGTATTACATGAGTCCTCCTATAGATTTACGTACCAAACCAGACTTCACTTGGGCCACCCGAATCGCACAACAATGGAAGCATCTTATGATCACACCTCACGTATTGACTCGCTACCAAGAAGTTTCTTCTTCTGTTGTCAGCAAGGAGATTCAGCCTATTACTCCCTCTCAAGTTTGCGAGCACGAGAAGATAGACTTCGTGCAGAAGAAATCCAATGATGCTCACATGATTAGGTTGAAGAGAGAGCTTTACAATGAGGTGTTGGACTTCCAAAGAAAAACCATTGGTCCAGAGACTCTCCCTCAGCTCATGGCAATGAAATCCAGATGGAGTTTGCAGAACAGACCTAAAATCACTGTCATATTGAACCACTTCAAAAGAAAAACACTCTGTGCACAGCTTGATTCTTTGCTTCAACAGACGCTCCCATTCCATCAAGTTTGGGTGCTTTCATTTGGCAGCCGTAATGAGGCCTCCTTCAAGAGAATTGTGGATAGTTATAACGATTCAAGAATCAGCTTCATAAGCTCCACTTACGATTTCAGGTACTACGGAAGGTTCCAGATAGCTTTGCAGACCGAAGCTGATCTTGTGTACATTCTAGACGACGACATAATTCCTGGGAGGAAGATGTTGCAGATTATGGCGCACGTGGCAGGGACAGACAAATACAAGAATTCTGTTTTGGGCAGCATAGGAAGGATATTGCCTTTCAGACAGAAAGATTTCACTTTTCCTAGTTACAGAAAATTTCGGTCTAAAGAAGCAGGACTATATTTGCCAGATCCTGCTTATGATATCACGGTTGATAAAGTTGTGCAGGTTGATTTCTTATCTAGTTCGTGGTTTTTATCTGCCGATCTTGTCAAAACGCTTTTCATTGAGACGCCTTTTACCTTCGGAACAGGGGAAGATCTACACCTCAGGTACGCCTACAAGTGCCCTTTTCGTACTCTTGCAATTACTTCTGAAAAATCAGCACGACTGCTTTTTAAACTTTTTTGTCTTTTCAGTCAAAGTCATAGTTGAGTCGGTCTTTAATTTTAGATGAGAATTATTTATTTATCTATTAAAATATGAATAGCAGTAGTATTGAATTAAAAATGGTATAGGAATAAACTAATAATTTCTGGTATATGCCCGCAATCAGATTCTTCACAATAAATACCATTTGAGGAAGATACTCTAGCCTGGGAAAAACACTAAAAATAGAAACTTTGATTTGAAGATTCGTCAAAAAAGAATAAATTTGACAAGGCCAAAAGCTGATAGGCTGCAATTAGTTATTGCTGTTTGGTTGTCAGTCACCAATGAACAGTAACATAGGAGTAGATCCAGAATTTTAAATATACTTTTATTGATCAAGATTTTGACAAATAAATATTTTGCATTGGATCGGATCAGTCATTTGTTCAATTGTTGAGATAGGCTGGTTGGGTTTGTCCACAAAATAACAAAATTAATATTGTTATTTTGGGACAACATTCGAGGTTGCCTAGTTAAAAAGTGAGCAGACAATCCAATATTATTGTGTTTGAAAAATTAATATTAGGGTTCGGTTTCTGAATGCAGCTATCAGCTTCAAAAGTACCGAAATGGTGGCTCGTTTGTTCTTCCTATTGATCCTAATGACAAGGAAACTTGGGGTGATAGTGAACACAGGCTTGCTTATGTGTCTGAGACTACAGTAATCTTTAAGAATATAGTTCAAGTCAGAGATGAACAGTGGTGGAAAGCACTATCCACTGGTTATGTAACTCAGTGGGCAACAATGTACCCCCAAAAAATTGATGCACTCTTCTATGCTCACTCTGTGGATGAAGTTAAAGCGCTTGCACCCCTTCTTGGGAAGTTCAGATCCACTATTGGTAAAAAGGCTTACATTGTTGTTTCCGGAGGCAACTTCTGCCCTTGTGAAGAAGCTGCAATAGCTCTTAAGTGGCCTAAAGCAGTTTGTAAAGAGCGTCGTTTTAAGATCTTTGATTTATCAATTGGAGATCTTTCTGGTATATCAAACTCAGAGGTGCCAATTGTACAAGCCACATACTCTAGTATGAAGGGGTTGATCAAAATTCACAATCCTAGTTTGATTATCACTATATCTGACATTGATCCTAATGTAAGGAAAGGTTTGAATATGGCATTAGAGGCTAATTCAAATACTACCACCCTAATTCTTCTACCAAGAGCTTCGGTGTCAAGAGTTTTATGGATGGCTGATCTACGCTCAACTGCATTACCAAGTAAGCAATATAATATTCCCAATTTATTTTTATAACCTTAAATTCCAAATATAATCACCAACATTTTCACTTATATTTAATCACTTGACATAATTGTCTCATGCAGATTGGAATAAGATGCAAGTCTCAATCAATATCATCACACAAAATCGAGCCAACTCACTAGCAAGGCTTCTCAAATCTTTAAGCAATGCTTACTATGTCGGGGACCAAGTTCCTATGACCTTCAACATGGATAGTAAAGTGGATGAGGCAACTATAAGACTGGTGAGTTCTTTTGAATGGCCTCATGGGACCAAAACCCTCAGAAGAAGAATTGTCCAAGGAGGACTAATCAGAGCTGTTAGTGAGAGTTGGTATCCCTCTTCCGATGATGATTTTGGCCTCCTTCTTGAGGATGATATAGAAGTATCTCCTTACTATTACCTATGGATCAAATATGCACTCTTAGCTTACCACTATGATCCTCAAGTCTCTCTCCCAGAGCTATCTTCCATATCACTTTACACCCCAAAATTGATTGAAGTTGTGAAAGAAAGACCAAGATGGAATGCCACAGAATTCTTCAAACGAATCCATCCAAACACACCTTACCTACACCAGTTACCATGCAGTTGGGGTGCAGTATTCTTCCCAAAGCATTGGAGAGAATTCTACGTGTATATGAACATGAGGTTTACAGAGAATCCTAAGGAAAACCCTGTTCAAATTCCAAAGTCTAGAACAAATGGATGGGCGGCTTCTTGGAAGAAGTTCCTTATAGACATGATGTACCTCAGAGGTTATGTTAGTCTATACCCAAATTTCCCAAACCAAGCAAGCTTTTCAACCAACCATATGGAACCAGGGGCTCATATTAGTGCAAAAGACAATGTCGTCAACCACAAGAAACAAGACTTTGAGGTGCCATTATTGAAAGAAGACTTCAGGAATTTGTTGCCAGGAATGAAATTGCCTCCAGCTTCAAAGTTACCATCTTTGAACCTCTTCAATCAGGCCCTTTCTCTCAAGGCTCTTAAAGCTGCTGGGGCCAAGTTAGGTCAAGATGTGCTTAGATGTGATAATGCCACCGAGATGGTGATTGTAGATCACAACACTGGTCTGCCACAGCGTTGCTTCAAGTTCTGAATATTATTATTATTTGTCTTGATGAAGTATTCTTTCTTTCTTTTTGGGTTGTCCTCTCAATTTGGGATTTATTTCTCAATTGCTTTTACATCACTTGAGAGACTAGGATGTCGATATTGTTGTTAAGGGGAGTGCTTGAAGAATGCAAAGAAATATAATGATATGACAGTTTCCCTAAATGAGATCATCGAACACACAGATTGTTGCGTATTAAAAAAAATGTAATGCATTATCATATTGATGTGAAGCCACAAGCGGCTGTCTAAATAATCATGTAATACTTATTTTAGACAATCGTGTTATTTATAATTCTAATTATATATATGGATTTAATTATTTAAACCTAACAAAAAAAAATTGTATACGTAGATCACAAGCAAGGTCCCGAATAGAGTCAAAACTACATTGTCGAAATGTACCTATAAGGCTGCAACGATGACTGCGCTGTTGAAAAGAAACATCTATATAAATTGCTAATGGTTTTACCAAGTTGTAACACAAATAACAATGTCACTAATCTTGCTAACTTTATTCAACATCACAAATATATGCCAAGGAAGTGTAAAACCAACAAATAAAAAAGGGGTCCACTCACATGGAGATGCCAGTTGGCCTTTTTGGTTGAGGAATTTTTGGCATTCTTTTTTGTTGCAGGAATATGAGCTCATATGGGGTTCGCAAATATAGATAAAGAGTGTTTATTTAGGAGTGAGATTAAAGGTGTCCACCAAACAATGAATTGGGTAGGAGAGCCTTGCTTGAATTTGCAGATTCATGGCATAGGAAGAGATGTTAGTCTCACTCACTCACCTTCCTATCTTGCTGCCCAAGACTTGTTTAAGTATTATAATTCTTGGATGCAAAATGGGCATTCAGAAATTCAAAAAGACTGTTTGGTAATGAAATTGAATTTCCCTAAAAGAACCAACTTGGACGATGCCCTTTCACCACAGCGTCTTCATCACCATCATCGTCGTCTTTGATTTTAACCTCTCACCAGTTTTCCTGGCTGTGTTCAGCACAGTCAAAAACAATCTCTTGGTAGTTTCATTTTAATGAAATCCAAATCTCAAGTTTTTGTCATATCAACAGCTTATTATGAAGTAACTTGATGTCATCAATAAAATCTTTTTTAATTCACTTTTCATCAATGACTAACGTAATATAAATTATTTTCAACCCTCAAAAGAATCTAAAACAAAATGATTATAGTCCAACTTAGTCAATTATGGGTTTCGTCCAGGATATTATTCTTTTTGACATTTGAAGTATAAGTGCTTCAGCTATTTAAATACTAGAAGAAAAGCATTAATGTCCAAAGGGTGAAACACGCATGATTTAAATACTAGAAGGAAAATATATTTTAAAAATTACTGATCAAAGTCGTAGGCATATAGTGACATATCGAATTATCCATATTAAACTTAGATGAGAACTTAGAAAATAAGGCAGAAGGTAATGTAAGATGAGAAGGGGTTTTCAGAGCAAGAGAATGTGTTGATTCGGTTGCTTGAGATGGCCGTTAAGTAGCTTCTGGAAGTGAAAACAAAAGCTCCCGCCATATGATCCGGTCAAGTTAATTAACGGCGTTAGGCAGCAAGCAAAGCCCGCCAGCTCAACAAACAAGGTTGCAACTTGCAACATAAAAAGGGCCAACAAAAGCTGCATTCATTGCCATACAAGCCTCAGCTCCCCCTTCCTTTCCTCTTTGTACCTTGAACCTCCCAAACGCCTTCTCTTGTCTTTATGTTTCATGGAAGCATAGGAGCCCTTTCACCTTCCACCCCCGTGTCTATATTTTTAAAGGTTTTATACATTCTTCTCACTTCTCTTACTCTATTTCTCTCATATCTGTTCACCTCTGTTTCCCTTGTCTTCATTTTCAGGGCTCCTATTGCTCCATCTTCTTATCTTCCTCAAAAGCTGAATAAGGTAAGCATCATTAAATTCCTCCTCTGGCATCAACCCCCGACATTCACATCCATATTTCCCTTTATTATTATCTGATGTCTGTACTTTTAGCATATTGCATTCTTCACATTACGTGCATTGGATTTGACATTTTCAGTGAATCACTGAGTTGAGTGTTGCATAATATTGGAAGATGGGAGAGATGTCGAGCTTCCAATTGGGTGTTATTGGCGCCCTGTTTCTCTCTGTGGCCTCCTCTGTTTCCATTGTCATCTGCAACAAAGCTCTCATGAGCAATCTCGGGTTCCCTTTTGGTATTATTTGTTGCTCTCCACATGACTTGTTAATGACCGTTTGTTTAAACTTCAAAATATGAGTAGATTTTCAAGATAGTTTATAATATTTACTTGTATCTCCCTGTTCTTATAATATTATCAAATTATCTTCAGCCACAACGCTTACGAGCTGGCATCTGATGGTCACATTTTGCACCCTTCATGTGGCTCATCGCCTCAACTTCTTCGAGAGCAAGCCCATTGATATGAAGACCGTCACGCTTTTTGGCATTCTAAATGGAATCTCCATTGGCTTTCTTAACTTGAGCCTCGGTTTCAATTCCATTGGCTTCTATCAGGTTCTCTTCCCCTGTTTTAATAGTGTGAGCCGATTTTAATTGATTGAGATTCAGTAAACCAGACATGAAATGATGGGTCCAGTTGCAAGGAAGATGCATATCTTTTTAACCCCGATGATAGGGCTATTCACGTTATTTACTGTGTCCTACTGAATATATATTGATTTTACCTTTCAGATGACAAAGCTTGCAATCATACCATTCACCGTATTGCTAGAAACTCTTTTCCTCAAGAAGCAATTCAGGTAACAAGTCATGAGAACACTCGATCCGATATGGTGCTAAGTTATCCAACTATGGTCGTATTATGCTGAATGTGAAAAACCCCATCTGCTCATTGCTGCAGCCAGAAAATAAAGCTCTCTCTCTTCCTCTTGCTAGTTGGAGTTGGCATTGCCTCTGTCACAGACCTTCAACTCAATTTTGTTGGAACTATTCTTTCCCTTCTAGCTATCATCACCACTTGTGTCAGCCAAATTGTATCCTTTGGTCTTTTCTGCTTTGACTACTTTGGCTTAACTATGATATGGTTTAGACTTTTGCTTAAAGCACAGAAGAATGTTTATTCTTAACCATGTGCAAAATTCAGCTTACCAACACAATACAGAAGAAGCTTAATGTGTCTTCCACGCAACTGCTCTATCAATCTGCTCCATTCCAAGCAGCAATTCTTTTCGTTACAGGCCCTCTGGTGGATCAGATGCTCACCAAACAAAGCGTGTTTTCCTACAAATACTCTCCTATAGTCTTGGTAATATCAGATCTCAATCCTTACTTTGCAGTGTATATTAGATGATGACTAACTCGTATGATTCCCAAACTGAGTAAATATTTTTTCTTTTTGGGCTTAAGGCATTCATCATCCTGTCCTGCTTGATAGCTGTTTCTGTCAACTTCAGCACTTTTCTAGTGATTGGGAAAACATCTCCTGTAACTTATCAAGTGTTGGGTCACCTCAAAACTTGCCTTGTTCTAACGTTTGGCTACACATTGCTCCATGACCCCTTCACTGAGAGGAACATTATTGGAATACTCGTTGCCATCTTTGGCATGGGCTTGTATTCTTATTTCTGCACCCAGGAGAACAAAAAGAAACAGTTAGGCGATCATCCAATAGCATCTCAGGTACGCCACGTCCTTCCTCATCCTCTCCATCTTTTCACTTTATTCCTTTGTTGTTTTCTCTCAGCTCTAAAATTTGTTGATTTATTTCTGATTATGATGATTCTCCTCACAGGTTAAAGACAAAGATCATAGCGCACCACTTTTGGCTGGAAAAAACACGGGCCACCAAGACAAGGAAAGTCCTGATAAGAAACCGAGCAAGGATTCTCTTGTTTAGGAACATAGGCCCTTCCTGATTTATAATTTCTTATTCATATGGACGTTTTATCCAGTCTTCGATCATGAAAACGAAGAGTGTAAATCAATTTTTGTATTAATAACAAGTTCTCTGGTGTAAGTCAATGCATTTCCATTAACAACGATGTTATCCTGCACAAAATATTAACTTTCATAAAACTATATAATATTTCACGTTATATTCAAAAGGCTAGATCCCATGAAGTAATTTGACTATCCGAGTGTGAGGTTCATGATTCCCCTTAAAAAAAAAAAAACGCGTTTCAGTGCGTTCCCCACTACTACGTTTTTTCTTTTTTTCTTTTAAAAAAAAACTTCATCTCCAAAATTTGTTATTGAAATCTGAAAATGCCCTGCCTCTTGAACCGCTGAAAAGTCCAGCAAATTCACTAATATATTTGTAATGATTTACAAGCAGTTTTTTAATTATGATTTTTTGTCATCGCATACATGTATATTAATAATGTCAAACAAGCGCTAAAGTGACAACATACCAAGCGAAAACAGTGAGCTACTTTGTAAGTCAAGGAGACAACTCAAAATAAAATACTCGTATAAACTTAAATGAACAAAGGTCCCCCCCAAAAAAAAAAAAAAAATAGAAGTGACGAGCATCCACGTGCATCGCACTTTGGACTTTCCAACTTAAAAGATGGTTCCCAAATCCCACCCACTAGTCGATTCTGCTCATTGCGGTGGAGGGGTACATCGGTCATTCAATCGTCTCCGTTTCCAACAACCTCCATTTGGCGGAGGGCACCTCAGTCAAATCAAGGAAAATTTCATGCTAGTCACTGCAATGAAAACAGCGACGGATAAGACTATAAATTTACAAAATCAGATAGAACGTTTAATATTTTTTTACTGTGAAAAAACTGACGGATAAAAATGCTTGCTCACTACACTCGATACCTTGTTAGTTAGCTGGTCAAAAAAAAAAAACTTGTTAGTAATAGGATTGAAAGATACAATTTTAAATCATAGATAATTAAGTTGTAATTGCAAATTCCGAAGATGAGCTGTAAAATAAATTAAAACATGTTTTCCAAATATAATGTCAATTCAATTTCCAAATACTAATTTTAATCCTGCAAGATGCACTAATTGTTAAAAATTTATAGTTAATAGTACTTAAATAGTTTTTGGCCAACTGATAGTACTTAAATATTAAAATGCAAAGAAAATATTTATTGAGAAATTCTTAAATTATCATTATAATTAATGAGGTAAAGATTGGGCGAAAAATGGAAATCCCAAAGTCATATTGGAAATTGGTTTCATTTTTTATAATTTAAAACTCATTTTTTTAAAATGTACAGGTCAGTTGTTTGGTACTTATGATTCATCTTTCGAATTTCTTACACTTTTTGCTAGAACAATTTTTAACTTGGCCTTTAAAGATTAAAAAATATGCGGTGTTGCTAATTAAATAGGGGCATTTTTGTTCAAGTATTTTAATGTTTGATTTCACATGCGTCTAAAGGATGAATTAATTGCATTGGAGTTTTGCTACCAGCTCCACCTCGTATAACATCCCAAAGACAGTTTCGGGCGTCGAGTCGTTCGCGGCATGCTCTTTTCTCCAATTTACAATTGTACCCTTCATCTCCTTTAATGCGGGGTGGTTAACCTCCACTTCTGTGTTATTGAGGGGCCGAATGGAGGCAAAAGTCGTCATTTCCCGGGGAAGAAGGGCCCAAAAAATTTAGGGTCTTTTTCCTTTCCCGGGAAAGTATTAGTAGTGAAACGTTCGGGATCAACTAGAAGGGTTTTGGGTGGGTCCAAGTTGATTTTGAGTTTCTGTCTGGGGGAGTCCCAACATACATTTGGGAATTTATGAGCACGAGATCTCCGATTTCAATATCAGCAGGTTCATTAGCTTCTCTTTTCATATATGTCCCCTCTAATTGTGGCTTTGATTCTTGCTCTGTTCTCGTCGTTGGTCTAACCCGAGTTTTGTTGGTGCTTCCTGTGATACGTAATAACCTTTTCCTCATCCATTTGTGCTTGCAAGTCTGAAGTTTTCTGATTAGTTTGAATCCGTTTTATTCTACCTCTGTTTCTTATCAACATAGATTACTCGTTTTCGAGTTGTGTTCTGCTGGTTTGTAGTTAATTGGAACCATTTTGGATATATCTTGGTGGAAGAGGAAACTTTAGTCTGTTGTTCAGCTAATCTAATAAACTATTAATCAAGGGCTTTATAATTCAATTTTATTTGATCCTTTATCTCCTAGTTAATACTACTAGTTCTGCATCAGGTGTCTTCTTCCTTGGCTCTTGGCTCCGGAGTAGTCATTTTGTGGATGGATCCTAATCTAAAATTTTATGTCTTGTTGGTGCTTGTTGGGTTAGGTATATTATTTTTCCACTCAGTCTCTCCACTCTCTACCTATGTATTGCTTTCTTATTTTTATCTAAAATCATATTTTGGCTTAAACTTTGCTTTTTTATTTTGTGCTAGTGGATGTCTCTTTTGCAGAAACTGACTTTGGAAATTGTGAAAGAGCTGTTAGAAACTGGGCTTCCTCTTCTCTTGATAAGGAAATCAGACAAGATAAACACACACTAAGGGACTTATTATTCTTCCTACACGTCCCCAGAACTGGAGGGCGCACATATTTTCACTGGTAATTTTACTATGAAAAATGTTAAGCGTGCATTTTGTCAGATTCATTAACCTATGCTGCTGCTGGTGTATTATTTCTGCAGTTTCTTGAGAAAGTTGTATCCCAACTCTCTGGAATGTCCTCGTTCTTATGATAAGTTGCACTTTGATCCAAGGTGCGTTCTGAATTCTGTCATTCACTGGACTGCTATTGCATTTAGAGCAAAGCAGCTTTTGAAATATTATTTATTATTCAAAAAATATCGAGTAAAATAAAAATTATTTATTCCTGATCCTTTTATCCCCCCCTCCTATTTCATAAATTTGCAGAACACTTAAGTGTAGGCTATTAGCTACACATGACGACTATAGCTTGACATCCAAATTTCCAAAGGAAAGGACTTCTGTGGTTACCATACTCAGGGATCCAGTTGATCGTGTCTTTAGTACGTATGAATTTTCAATAGAGGTTGCAGCTAGATTTCTAGTGCATCCAAACTTGACATCTGCAATAGATATGGTGGCGCGCTTGCGTGGCAAGACTAAAGGAGCAAGCACGCTTGATATCTGGCCATGGAAGTATCTGGTCCCATGGATGAGGGAAGACCTATTTGCTAGGGTATATTTCTTGTTCCAGTTAGAGCAGTATTCCTCAACTTTTGCATTTTCTTTCCACGCTTCTAAATTTTTATGGATTACTTCATTAATAACATTTATTGAATATCGTATTGGATGTCCATTATCAAATAAAGGTGTTCTTTCTTACTTTCCCGTGACATTTTTATGATTGATTTTGCAACTTTAATGGACAGAGAGATGTGAGGTATGGGAGGGGACAGCAAATAACTGAGAGCAATGATTCCTATGACATGGAAGATTTTGCAATGCCATTACATGAATACATCAATCATCCAGTGGCTGAGGAAATTGTACACAATGGAGCAACATTCCAGGTATCAGCGTGCTCTTTAGAATTATGGGAACTTCTATACTTCTATTAAATCTTTTAATTGCCATATATTTTCACTGCTTTCTGAATTTATGATATGACTGAAGTTACATGACATGGAGCTTCTGTTCAGATGCCATACTACAAAAAGATGAGATGTTTTTCGGCTGCGGAACTCACCATTATTGTTGACAGATTATCAATTCTTAGTTTGTGCCATACATTATGATTTTTAATTGGATGGTATCTTGTGCATCTGAATATTTTAAGTGATAGCACCTCATTTTTAGGTAGCACAGTACTTAGGCAGTGCTGTAGGTACAGCAAGTGCATAATTTAGTAATATAGCCTGTGGGTTTAGTCTCTTAAATCCAATCCAAACACACAATTCTTTTTCTTTGCAGAATTTTCGTAGTATTGTTATCTGCTGTATTTAACAAAGAGTCTGCTATTCAATTAACAGGTTGCAGGTTTGACAAACAATTCTTACCATCCAGAATCACATGAAGTGCGCCACTGTGTACAAAAGCACAAGAGTCTTGGCAAATATGTGCTTGGAGTTGCAAAGGTATGAAATAAACTTGGGAAGTCACAGCTATTGAATTCTTTATTCTTTGGCCAACTGCATCATATAATTATTTACTGCCCTTTATTAATACTATTGTAGCATATGATTTTAAATCTTACAGAAGAGGTTGGATGACATGTTATATATTGGTCTTACTGAGGAGCATAGAGAATCTGCAACTATGTTTGCCAATGTCGTTGGTGCTCAGGTGATATCACAGATTAAGGCGCCAAATTCTAGCCTGAATAATGCCGATAACATCGGTTAGTGAGATGGAAACATTCTTTGTTTTGCTTGAGCTTTTTTTCTCTCATTCAGATGACACAGCACAGTATGTGGAACATAATTCTAAAGCCCATAATGTCTCATATATCTGCACATGTATGTTGTCACTCGTCTGGTGGCTTGGGTGTGTCGAAAATGATATTTTGCATTGAGATTTAGTAGTTATCTTGGTTTTGGATTTCTGTTTGGTTGATTATGTGCTTGTAATGCAGAACAGAGTTCATTTTCAGATTCAGAACCTGATAACAATGAACATCAGGTAAGCATCCCCTTGATGAAGTATTATGAGATTAAAGATTGAGTCAGAAAACAATTGTTACAACATCTCTTGCTGCAAGACAGAGTAGCACGTCAGACAAGGGATTGAATGAGACTGATTCTGGTGAGAACAGAGAATCAACAAAATCTGATGTAAGGCTGTTTGTTTGGTATGATATAATGTCTTATATGAACTTATTAGATAGCACCTGTCCCTTATATGTTTGACTATTACATTGATTTATCATTCATTTTAGATGACTGTGGAAAAGCTCACAGAAGCTTACGAGAGCTGTATTCATAATTTACGGAAGGCCCAGGCACAACGACGCATCTCTTCTTTAAAGAAGATTTCTCCTGTGAGCTTCTCAAAAGAGGCAAGTTACTTTTGGCTGGGTATTCTGGGCATTCCGACTCCAAACACCCCCTCCCCCACATGAGAAGAAGCAGTTTCTTAATTCGTGGTAGAATGCATTTCCCTATAATACACCTCACCAAATATAAAGTATGAGAGAGAAATTTGGGATTCATAAAGAGGAGGCCAACTATTAATTAAGGGCAAATCCGAAAATAAATTAAAATTTTGCTACAAATTAAGTTAGCTTAACCAACTTTAACTAGTTTTGGTTTGGGTGAGTAGGTATTTGTGTCTTGCATTCAAGATCAAAGGTAGTATTTTTTGTGTGTCTTATATAGTGGTCCTTTATTAATGAACCCATGTGTCCATAGTCAGTAGCGTGTGTTCAAAGCTCAAGTTCAACACAGGCTAGTAAAGTTTGGCACCTGCAACGTGTATGCTGCCTATTTATTGTTGCTGAATGACGTGGATATAATCAGATAGCAGTGTTTCTACATTAGAGCCTTTTCAGTTGTCCGAGGAACAGCTTGATAGTAATTTAATGAACTGTTTATCCATCTCAAGACTTGTGTTGGCCTTAATTATGTGCTATTAATAATAATTATTTTGTATACATATTCGCAATAAGTGGTGGAAATTCATGCTGTCTGTTGCCAGCCTGTGCTGTTCTTCAATCCCTTTTCTAATGATTTGTATGATTTCCAGGCACGACTTCAGATTCCTGAGGTAGTTCTCCAACGGATACAATATCTTAATGACCTTGACTTAGAGCTTTATGAATATGCAAGAGACCTTTTCTCCAAACAACACAAAACCATGCAGACACTGAATCAGGTATGACTTTCAATTATTGATCTAAGGAGTTCAGAGTTTCCAGTCTCCTATCTGCTGGAGGCAAAAGGATCAAACAGTGTTCTATTATGGGGTGCTGGTTCTTTCATTGTTCAGTATTACCAGCATGGTTGTATTTTTATTTCTATATGTCGGAAGGCGTATGATGGAGGACTTATCATAACATGCATTTCCCATCTTTGTGTTTATCATTGATTTATGTATTGAATTTCAGGAGAGATGGGATAAGATAGCGAGCAGTGTCTACGGCCTCACTCTCTGGACAATCCTTCCTCTGGCAATCACTTTGGCCTTCCTCCTTTTCTTGTTCCTTGTTATTGTAAATGTGAGAAGAAGAACGTTGAAGGTTAAGCTGTGAATGCCTTTAGATTATCTGATTTATCCCGGGGTTCTCAAGAGTGAGAAAACAGATACAGTGTTGCATGCGCGTCCAGCCTTGGCTGCCCGTGGCCTTAATGCCCCAACTGGTCTTTTGCAATTCTCCGATCACTGAAAGCTGAATCCTTGAGGGTCTATTGCTATTACATGCATGCTTTTAATTTAGGACAAGTATATTCTACTCTTAAAAACATTCCACTTCCAATTTTGCAAGTCAATTACTTTAAATGCTGGGCTGTGGAGAGCTTGTGTGATTTTTTGGCGCCTGAATTTGTCTTACTGTTATGGGGTTCATTGCTCTTGGTCAAAACGCTTTGTTCGCTTTCGTGCCCGACGGCCGGTAAAAGTGGGAATCAAAATACGTGATACGCGTTTGTTTTGTTTGTTTGACAAATGGTATACGCAAATGAATTTAATTTTGATTTTGGTGAGAAATAAATGAATCTAATTATTTATTCTCATCTCTGTTTTTTGGCATAAGTTATTTACTTCACATCAAATCTGAAAACTTCTGCACATCCTCCTAAGCACAGGTGATGGCTTTCCTATCGCAGGAAATTGCAGGTTGCTGGGGCCGCTCCTTTTTTTTTTTTTGGGTGTTAATTTTTAACGTTACGTAGCAAAAAATATTGATGTGATCTATTTTCGTTCGGGCAGGCCATCGATTTAAGGCCGAAAATAAAATCATAATTTAAAAAATAATAAAAATAAATAAATTGTATATTATTTTGGATTTTTAATACAAGAGTTAATTAACTAATTTAAGTAGATTGAAAAATTAGTTAAATTAATTATTTATAATAAATAGGTGTTTTTTTTAAAATATCTTACTGATCAAGTATATTAGTTAAAATCATTATTATTATAAAAATTATCTTAAAAAAATAGATAAATATAAAAGATAAATTGAATTAAAATTTATATTTAGAATCAAAATAAAATCAAATAAGTTTTTATGTTAAACTCAAGAGGCAATATAATTCTTCAAAGCGGGTCCCGCGTTAAAATATCAATGGCAAGAATTATTAATTGTCGGGGCCCATTTGCATTTCAGCCGAAAAAACAAGAGGACGAATAGAAATGTAATAATTCTCATTGGTCCGTGAAGATCGTCGGTGATCGCTCCATCAAATCTGTGTAATATATAAATCATTGATATAAATATTAATTTTTTACGAGATCCACTTATTATTTATGCCTTAAAATAATTCCCATAGATCCACATCTTGTGCCCCCATTGACATTGCCACCTCATTTGACCAAACGTCTCAATTTTATCCTCCTTCTGAACAAATTTTAATTTAACTTAATTGGCTGGGTGATGTCACCCACCGTTCACAGCAGCAATTTTACTTTCATTTTCCAGCAAAGAATAGCTGTAAGCAAATCAATCAATCACTGAAAGCTCCAAACCAGAGCTAATAATTGAATTTTCCTGTGAAATTCATTCTTCGTGGAAAATTGTGCGTGGGATTTTTAAATAGCAAAAAAAAAACCATTTTTCAGTAAAAACTTCAAAAAAAAGAAAAAGGGTGGGGAAGAGATGGAGTAGACATGGAGGAAGAATCATTTAACTGAGAGAGAAGATAAAACCCTCTCAGACACACAGCGAAAATGAGGGTTTCACTTTGAGCATTCTATCGCCACTGCCGTACAAAATGAAACCTACTTTACCAAAATCAGACACAAGGATTCAAAGGAATCTCATTCTTCTGCCATTTTAATCTTCAGGCTCAGACTTTCTTCTCTCCTCCGCTGTCTCCATGTGCTGCTAATGTGTCTTCTGCTTTCTGTGACACCATTTTCTGACATTTTCATGGCCGTCTCTCCTCACCCACCAACGTGTTTCTCTACCACCTTTTAGTCACTGAAGCAACCATGTCAGAGGTCCTAATCCCATTCTAAGCTCCACCCTTTTCTTCTTTCTTGTGTTTGATTTTGATTTTTATTTCATTTTGGTCCTTCAATGTTCAAGATATTCTGATGATTTTTTCTTGCATTCTTTGGCAACTCCGTTTCCTTTACTGTTTTTCTCGGTTCCTAGCTTGTATTTTTCGTTTTATCTGGTATGACTTTCAGAAATGGACCGATAGGCCAAGGACAAAAACTGAAAAAGGAAAAAAAAGAAGAAGGGATTTTTCCTATATTTTCCCTGCTTGTAAGGAGCAGCAGAATAATACGACATCTGAGAGTAAATTGTAGCTTGTTATGTTTGCAAATAATGCAGTGTTCTGCATATGGATTTGAGCACCTGTGCGACATTTTCTCAGCAACCAAACGTTCCACTGGATGTGTCAGTTGGTGTTTCAGGGAAATTTGCCTTCGTAGTGTTCATTCTTCAGAGCGGAAAAGGATTGTAAGCAGTGGATTGTTGTTCATTATCAGAACCCTTGAAAAGACGTTTGCTTTGAATAGTATATGAGCCTTATTTGTTTCTAGTTTCCAAACCCTATAAAACTTACTGTTTGTAGGATCCTCGATGACCCATAGTTGAGAATTTCTTTATTCTTTTGGAGATAAATTTTAGCTACTCTATAAAAACGGGCATAGAGATAATGTTGGGTTGAATTTTATGGCTTTAGAAACTATGTAGCGCTACGCTGTTAAAAAAAAGAAATTACTCCTCCGGTCTCTGCAAAATGGGTCTATATTTAGTGCAAATAGGACCGGACGAGTATTTTAACTTGGTGCTAGCAGTTAATCTAAATTGTACGCCGCATTTCTTTCCTTAAACTCTATCATTATTTCACGTGTATTTACAATTTACCATATTAAAGATCGTTTCCCTTTTCATGGTTCTTTTTTGTTGAAGTATATTCTAATTTCTTACCGTATGTGAGCAAATAATTACAGCCTCTATGTTGTATTAATAATTTAATATAATATTCTGAAACAGGACATTACAAATATGAAGGATCCTTTGTTTTTGGACAAGAGTTTCAATGGTATATCGGATGAAATCTTCGACGATGTCATAAAATTCTTTGATTTCCCGCTCGACGATGTGGAAGCTAATATTGCGGAAGAAGAAGATTGGGATGCTCAATTTAAACGCATTGAAGAGCCATCTTTTGATGTGTTCTCAGTGTCATCATCTGAATTGTGCGGTAAAACTCAAAACAATTTACACCTTGGGAGGACTTTCTCTACTGTGAGTTTTCTGCCCTCAGTAATGGAAATGACACTGTTGGATGATTTAAGCCCTGTTCTTATTTTTCCGTGACAACCGACTGCCGGATTATTTCAAAGGATCCATATTTAAGGGCGTGTTTGACTAAACAAAATGGATTGTTACTAAAATTTAGCTACATGTTTAAATTGAGGAAAGAGGAAGGAACGTTTGACTTAGATGATCAACCCTCCTTTGCTTCCCTTCTTTTCCACTGTCCTCAGTCCGGTGATAAAAGTTTCTGCACTATTTTCAATGTTTACATATCTGATGTTATAGGAAACTGTTGTCTATCAATAATTTAAATACAGAAGTAGTTGTTGGTCAAAGCATTTCTCTAATGTGCTGAATGCTATCGCCGCTGTCTCACTAAAATTTATTTTGAAAGATCTAAATAATACAAGAGAATCATCTTAAGTGCTTTTCTTTTGTATTTTCAGTATCGAATTTAGTTTTCGACTAGGCTCTTGGGTGAGCCGGCAGTAATAGAAGTGACTATAGATTATAAGATTATAACATAGCTTGAGAAACTTTTCTCAAATTTACCTCCAACTGACCAGAATGTCCTGGAAGTACTTCCATAACTGTCTGCGCCTTTATGTCATATTCATCTGTTAAATTTTCAGTTATGCAGTGGCAAGAATTCATCCGTCATAGTAGGGTTTTAAGCTGTAAGTGTTTGCTGTTTCCTTAGGAAGTAGATGATAGTGCGTGTTTTCTCTTTTGGCTCTTGTGTGCTCGTAATTGGTGGGTTACACAGGAATGAATAACCCCTTTCCTTTCTCAAAGCCCGCTTATATGTGTGGATTTAGATGGTGCTTTTGTTGAGGAGGTTGATTACAGCAGGGCAGAGGCTAAATGGCTAATCACCCTTTTAACGGAAATGTGTTACTATAGCAATAAATAAAACTAGGGAAAATATAATTTTGGGTTCTTGAATTTTTTTTCTTGATTATCGATTTAATTCATAAACTTTGACTTGGTATAACTCAATCATTATAGTCTTCTAACTCTTTACAACTTAGTCCCTATAATTTTTTAACTTGATAAACTACAAAAATTAAGTTATACCAAGTCAAGGTATAGGAACTAAATTAATAATTGAAAGAAAGTTTATGGAGTAAAAATTATGCTGTCCCTAAAAAACCATCTCCCTTCATCATCTGCCACCTCAGGACTAAGGAATTGATAATCAAAGGCTCCAAAAACCTCAATGCTAGATGAACCTATCCTAATGAGTTGCACCGCTATCTTTACAAGAAAAACCAGATTCACGAACCGATCTCCCATGATTAACTCTCTAGCCTCCCCTATTTCATCATGGAAGGGAAAATCACATTATAATTTTTCTTAGTGGGAAATGAAGCATAAGGAGAAAACAGAGAAGTTCGACTAGATGGTATGGGGTCACATCTCACGTGCTTAAGAGGGAGGAACTACCATGACGAATCACAAACTCAGATTGCATGTAGATGGAGAAGCTTCAGAACTCACATCGCCTTGGTGTTGGCATGCCTTTTAATATGATTGATTCTATTGTATATTGAATGCATGTAAATATTGGAAGAAAATACCAAGGTTCCTCATTGATAAATTTTCTACACTTGGTGGAAGATTCCTTGAAACTTTATGCACTATAAAAAATCGATACACTCTTTAGTCTAATAAAACTAATTGCTCTTGCATCTGATCCATTCTAACTTCTCCTTTTGTTGTGTGTGTGATCATTTGGTGTTGCAGCGTAAGGAGATTTCTCATGTAAAACAAATGGCAGAGGCTGCTAAGCCTAACGTCTACCTCAATAAAAAGGATCAGCCCCAGTTCCGAACCTACAGCCCAGTTTCTGTATTTGAAAGCACTACATCTTCCTCTGGTGAGAGTTCCAACTTTGATCTACCCGTCATCCCAAGGAAGCGCCCTCGAGGGAGGCGCCAGCGCCTGTCCAGCTTTGCCTCTCTATTGTCGATCCCGTTCACCTCTACATCACTGGCATTGCGAAAATCACGGAAGGGAGTTGCTGCAGGACAGTTATTAAATGGGGTGAAAAGGAAGCAGAGGAAGAAGGATTTCTCCATTCTCTCAAGTGATGTCAAGAGGAACGGATCATCATTAGGAGATTCAGGTGCCCCTAGAAAATGCATGCATTGTGAAACGATGAAGACCCCACAGTGGAGGGAGGGACCTATGGGTCCAAAGACTCTCTGTAATGCATGTGGGGTTCGATACAGGTCAGGTCGCCTGTTCCCTGAATACCGCCCTGCAGCTAGTCCCACTTTTGTACCATCTCTGCATTCCAATTCTCACAAGAAGGTCATAGAGATGAGAAACTCGGCCATGCAAGAGGCTAGGGCTTCTATTTTGGGTTTGTCATCGAATTAACCTTCCTGGAAATCATTTAGGATAGTATCTTGTCATATTTTATTGAGTGTAGTCGAAAACAGGTGCCTCTTTTTTCATTTTTCTCACCTTTTTATTATTATAACGTTGCATTGCTTAGTTTCATTTTTTCTTTTAATCATGTAAGTCAGTGGAATGTAAAAGGTGCCAGCAGCACTAGCACAGTATTTCTGCATGTTAGGCATTCCGGAAACACGTTGTCAATTTTTAGACAGAAGTAGATGGAGTACAAGTTCTTAAATTCAGACATTTGCATGTTTACCCAATATCCAAAAAAATTTTCCTGAGTCGGGTTTTGAGGGTTCACCAGAAATAGAACATGTTTTCAGACTTAGAGGGTGTTTATAGAGATATTTTGTCAACAATAAAGTTTTTACATTGGTGGCAAGGTTTGAACTTATGATTTTGCAAGTTATAAGTGGATTTTTAACTAATTAGACTAATTCTTGGTTGTTATCTAATAGACCTCAATGGCATAAAATGCTCCCGATGCTTTGTTTTGTGGGCTTTGCCTTCTCTTTTGTTCCTTCATTTTCCCCATTCTCCTCCTAGCCTAAATGCGAACAACCCACCTCAATACAAAGCAACTGGACATTTATAATATTGCACCATATACCAGAGGGCGAAATATTTCTTATAAAAAAAAAAGGTTATACAGTGCTATGGTATTTCTTTTTTATCCTTATTTCTTCTTCTGTAGTAAATAATTGATGAAGCTGTGAATTCAGCTTTATTTTTTCCGTTTTCTTTGTTGGCATGGACGGTGAATTCAAAATCAATACAAGGACCACTCTAGGAAGAGGAGGGGTAAGCCTAAAGCCCCAAGGTCCAAGAGTTCGGCGGAGTGGGAATGAAATGGAAGTGGGGGGGGGGGGGGGAGTAATAAACCATGACGTTAGAACTCCACAACCAAGTCTGCTTTTAGGACACCAACATTCCGACTTGACACTTTGAGCAGCCTAGCTAGGGGTATATGGTAGCACCGTGGTGCTGGTTGAGGCGTACCTCTATCATTTCCTATTTCTGTTTCTGATGATAAAAAGGGCATCTAGCTACTTGGGAGCCAGACACTTGGTTTGCTAATTCAATTCTGACTGTAAAGTTTGGTTAGCTTGTACGTACTTCTCATTCTCATTCCATCCCATCCTCTTTCCTGAAACTATCTCCTTTTCCTGTTTGGTCACGGGTACAGCTTTCGAAAGATAAGTCCAGAGTTTTCCGTTTGGATGGGACGGCAGGTCAAACTAACATTAATGACCTAATTAACTGTTTCCCCGTGTATTACAGAAACCATTTCTTAAACTTTCTGCAACTGCAAGGCATGAAAAGTTAATTCAGTATTTTCAAAAAAAAAAAAAAAAAGAGGCCAAATTTACTTCAGCTATGAAAACCGGTTGGTTGCATGTTCGCCGCAAGATCAATAGGACATGTATAGTGATCGTATCCACATTTTACTTATACAGAAGATGGGCATGTCTTAGTTAATTACAACTTTGGGTTCTTTAATCTCAAGTGATAATTTATAGATTCTCAGAAATCAGAATTATGGAGATATTCGGGATTCCATGGAGCTGGAAGGACACGTGGAGGTGGGGTTGGAGCAAAGGCCGCCATGAACGCCAATTTAAGCCGTGTCTGGGGGTGCTAGAGAGAGAGAGAGAGAGCAGAACGACAGAGATTCCTGAGTGTGACCCCATCCCCCACCTTAAACATGTTAGTGGGACCCCCTTTCCAACACGGAACATCAGAGACGAGCCACTGTCATGGTGACACGCGTCCGACCTCCATCACTGCCCAGCTCAGCATGTTCACCTCTTCCGATTGTCTCTAGCTGTCTAACCCCTTCCATCACTTCATCTCCTGTTCATGTTGAGAATGACATGCTTGCCCACACCCTTCAACCCCTTCTTCTTCTTCTTCAGCTTTCTCAACAATTATCTTTCTTCCAGGAAAGCGACCTCCTTTTTTTAATTTATTTAATTTTACTTTGGCCGTGCCCATGTTGTGTCTGTTCATTTGTCAATTTGTGGGTCCCATTCACTCAACCGTCCTCATCATCAAACACCCATTGATTCCTTCGAATCCTTGTGAAAAAATTTTGAGGTGGATCGATTTTGTGTGGCTGGTCCGATTAAAAGAGAAGGCAGATATTTGCATCTCTCACACCCAAAACAGGGGCTTACCAGTTAGGATTTCATGTGACGTCCGTTAAAGTTATAGGCCTTTGAGCACCAGATAAGGTTGGCGCTTCCTGCGTCTATCCCATATGCTTATATAATTAAGCAATTCTTTATTATTGATTGGAAAAAAATAAATTAAATTAAAGCAGAGATATTAATTGGAGGGGTAGTCCATGCGTCTGTGGATGAATGATAGCAGCACATTGGGTGTCGGCATATCATTGCTGATTCTGATCCAACCAATCCAATTATTTTTGTGCAGAACCACTTTTGGTTTTTCTTTGGCCTGATTTATGAACCACTATTATGTTTTTTATGTGTTGTTGTTTTGCTAATAATGCATGTGTCATGTTAGTTCCTTCTGATCATGGCTTTTACGTGGATTCCTCCAATTGTTGCGTGCTCCCACCCTCCTTTGATTGCTTCCCCCAACCAACATATATTTTTATTTATGTTATACCGTAATTAAGCTTTTTGTCTCACGCCCCCAACTATTTTTTTTATTTTTTTAAAAAAATATTATATGACAAAATAGATAGATTTAGGTGTCGAAGACAATAACAGATTATCACAAATAATTCTGACTATAAAAATTACAAATACATGCCTATCATTCGTCGATTTTTAATGTCTTATTGCATTACCCCCTCTATTTTTAAATGCAATAAATAGTTTTTGAAAAACACACGGACTAAAGATTTTGTCTCTGCCTAAAATTTTTTGTTCCTTCCATACCTTTTTTTTTTTAAATAAATAAATGATATGATCATAATCAACAAAGCATAAGTTTTGTGTGTTGCGAGAAATGAGAAGAATGAACTGCCTTATATTGTTTTAGAGCAGTTCTTTTGCCAAACCAGAGTATATTGAGACATAGATTAATTAGATAATAGATCGAACACATATAATAAGGCCATGAAAGGTATGCTGAATGAAATACTACTTTTCTCGTTAAACTTTTATTTTGCTTATAAATATAAGATTTCAATCCACTTTGTTTTTCATATTTATTCATTTTTTTCTTAAGGTGGTCTTTTTAATAATGATAATTTTGGCCAATACACTTGATTAGTAAAGATATTTTTAAAAAATACAATACCTATTTATAAAAAATGACTGACTTAATTTATTTTTTTAATCTACTCAGATTAGTCAACTAACTCTTATATTTAGATTGAAAGTAGTACATTAGTAATAGAGATATGCATAGTCCTGGCTTACGGCCTTGCGGTCTAATAATATCAAAGCTCTCCTATGTAGAATGAGTGATATAAGATCGATCTTACCTGGAATTATAGGTCCTTAACATTCATCCTTTTAATTGAAGGGGGAAATAAAAAGAAACGTATTTGTTTTGAAAACATATACGAAGACATGGAAAAATGAAGGTGTGATGTGAGTTAATGTGAAGAAATTATGAAAGGCACTACGGAAATTAGGTGCAACGTTGAAGAAAACAACAACATCAACTTTCTACGTCTTCTCTCTCTAGACTACCCTCCTCTGTTTAGCCATTACCGAAACGAGGTTCTAGCTAGCCAAAATCTTTGCATGAAGGTGGCGTCTTATCAGCATTTTAATACTAGCTATCACCAAATTACACACTACACCACTCTTTTCCTTCTCTGCAACTCTGCAAATGGAATCCATGGCCCCCTTTTACCCATCTCTCTCACCCCTCTTTTATACTCGCTCTGCCTCATTTTCAATACCTTTTACTTTTTCAACCATACTTTGATTGATTATTGCTTTCTTCCATCTCAATGATATATAACTCAATAACTATACACACCTTAAAACATATATAAAAGATTACTATGTATATAAAAGCTGTCATAAATTCCCACGCCGAGACCACTCCTGCATGACTTCCTTTCTTTTTTTCTTTGAAGAAAAAGTATTGACGATCGTGAGGATGTGGGCCATTTTTCATAGCTACAGGCAAAGAGTAATTTCAAAAAGCCATTTTTGTGTCTTATATCTTGTCGTGTGCGATATTAGGCTCGGAGCTTAATTCAGATAAAAATAAATATAAAAAAAGGACAGTAGTGAGAGAGAGAGAGTGACAACTCAGGTGACGACGGGTTGAGTCCTCCTAAGTGAAAACCATTTCCACGACGACCGCTTTTCCCTACGCTTCGTCCGACCAAAAAATCGCGGGCCCTCACTTCTGTGCCAAGTCTTCTTCACGCTCCTTCTGGCGCGTGCTCCACATGCTTCGCCCGGAGTCCCTTCGCCAATCGCCGGTCCCCTTCTCTCTCTCTCTCTCTCTCGGCCCACTGGGCGCCAGAAGATAAAATCCTAATTATTATTTGTATTTTATAATAACAACAACAATATCATACCTGCTGCTTTTAATTGCTTTTGGTGCTATTCGCCATTCGGAAACAAAATATGAAGTGCGTTACTTTGTCAACTTATGACTGGAGTACAGTGGTGGGGGGATGTTCAGGCATCGGTGAGCAGGGCTATAATTACCGCTCGTACCTCTGCTTCCTGAGACGCCAGAATTACCGAGTTTAAAGTTGATACTCGCAATATTTTCTGACATTGTGTTATATATACCCTCACATACCTCTTAATTACTGCCATCTTCGTCGGAGGCTGTAAAATTCCTTTCCTGTTTTATTAAATATTATTAAATTATTAATTATTAATTATTCCTCTTGATATCGTATTTCTTCGGTTGAGGACTCGGCTGTTTGTTTTGTTAGGTGTGTGAGAGAAGAGGAGAGAGGTTCTTTGAGATCTGGAACCAACATGGAACATCATCAGGTGAGGAAGCTGAGGCTTTTTTCTTTCCTCATGTTGTTGTGTTCGGGACGATGAGCTTCAGATTCAGCTTCTTCGGAGCTTTTCATTTTTTTAAGAGACGGACTGCTTCTGAATTTGCTTTATTTGTAAGCAGGGCCAGTAAGTCTCTGGATGGTTGTCTTCGATTCTTCTTCTTCATGGTGTCCTCTCCTGTGGACAATTTACTGTTAATGGCGTGCATGGAAACGAAGGTTTCTGAAATAAGGGACCAGAGGTTGGTTTCTTTTGTTGGAGGGAAGTTTTGATTGAAGCGTGGAATCGATCAAGGTTCCTCCTCCTTTGCGGCGCTCAAAAAGGTAAAAAGTTTCTCTTTGCTCTCTCTCCCTTGTTTTAATTATTCCTCAAAATTAAGAGAAGCGGCTTAATTTATTATTAGTGTCTAATTGTTCAACGCATTTTGGATCGTTTTGACTCTCCACTCGCAGCATTTACTGAGAGAATCGCAGAGCCTAGAAGACTTTAATTCCCTCACCAAAAACAGGAAAGAACGCTGCTAGCACTGTTTGATCTCCTAGTCTCTTCCGGTAATCACCAAGTATCCATTTTAAGAACTAATCATTAATGAGGGAAGTTGAGAAGAGGTTGGATCCGCAACTCTGGCACGCTTGCGCCGGAGGTATGGTTCAAATGCCTCCGGTGAACTCCAAAGTTTTTTACTTTCCCCAAGGCCACGCCGAGCACGCTCAGGCCAACCTTAATTTTCCCCCTTCCTTAAGGATTCCGCCGCTTATTCTTTGTCATGTGGTATCGGTGAAATTCTTGGCCGACCCAGAAACTGATGAAGTTTTTGCTAAGATAAGGTTGGTTCCTGTGAGAAATTCCGAGCTCGATTACGACGACGACGGTGTTACGGATGGTAAGGGATCGGAGAATTCAGAAAAACCAGCATCTTTTGCGAAAACATTAACCCAATCTGATGCGAACAATGGTGGGGGCTTCTCTGTTCCAAGGTATTGCGCAGAAACCATCTTCCCACGGCTGGATTACTCTGCCGAGCCACCCGTCCAAACTGTGGCTGCCAAGGACGTTCATGGCGAAACTTGGAATTTCAGACATATATACAGGGGAACACCTCGTCGGCACTTACTAACCACTGGGTGGAGCACTTTCGTGAACCAAAAGAAACTTGTTGCTGGGGATTCTATTGTTTTTTTGAGGGCTGAAAACGGCGAACTCTGTGTCGGAATTCGCCGAGCAAAACGCGGTGGTTTTGGCAGCCGGATGCAAACCCCATCCGCTGGCTGGCGTGGTAGTGCCGGAAGTGGTGTGGGCCCTTGTGGGGGCTTCTCTTATTTCTTGAGGGAGGAGAACAAATTACTGCCTAATGCTTGTGGGAATTCAAGCCCTGGAAGAGCAAACGTGAGGCCTGAATCTGTGATGGAGGCTATGACACTGGCCGCTAGTGGTCAGGCATTTGAAGTAGTTTATTATCCTCGAGCTAGTACTCCAGAGTTTTGTGTTAAAGCTGCATCTGTGAGAGCTGCAATGAGAACCCAATGGTGCTGTAGCATGAGGTTCAAGATGGCCTTTGAGACCGAGGATTCTTCTAGAATCAGCTGGTTCATGGGGACCATTGCTTCTGTTCAGGTTGTCGATCCCGTGCGTTGGCCCAACTCCCCCTGGCGACTTCTTCAGGTGCTCTCTCTTCCCTACTTTATTATGTTCCTTTCTATTTTTAATCAACATGTTGGTGAGCATTCTTGCGATCCTGTTTGTTAGGGGGTTTAAAGGGCTCGTTCTCCATGCATCTTTGTTGAAATGTTCTTTTTTTTTTTTTTGCCTTTTTTGGTGAACGAAATGTTCTTTGATTTCTCGTAGTTTAATTTTTTGAAGTAAATATGAACTGGTCTGGGCATGCTAGTTAAGTAAATCTATGTGGCAGTTGGAACACAGTGCTTTAACAAAATAGATCTTTTTAATCTATGACGCCTGAAGCTTCCCCCGCTACAACACATCCTCACTTTCCTGGAATTTCTATAATGCATGGGCAATTGTGAATTCTAAAACTAGAGTATGTGTTAATTCCCGCAATTCTCGTCCCTCTCCTCCTATATCCATCTCAATAGATAGCAGGGGCTTAACCTTTGGAAGGCCTATAATGCCCGTTGTTGATGACATTTGATATTTGGTTATTGTATCATAATCTTTGTCCTACTATATACATGTAAATATGAACTAGCCTCTTTTCTGGGGAAAAAAGAGGTGTTTGCTCTATAGATTTGAGTGCATTCACTCCGGATTTTAATTCAAATTATTCCGGTAGAATTTTGTCATGCAATCTTGATTGATCATGATCCTTAACGCAGGTTACTTGGGATGAACCAGGTCTGCTGCAGAATGTGAAGCGCGTTAGCCCATGGTTAGTAGAATTGGTATCAAACATGCCAGTCATTCATTTCACACCTTTTTCTGCGCCAAGGAAGAAGCTGCGGCTTCCACAACACTCGGACTTCCCCTTTGATGGTCAATTTCAAATACCGACATTTTCAGGCAACCCCCTTGGGCCTAGCAGCCCCTCGTGTTGTCTATCTGATAATGCTCCTGCAGGCATACAGGGAGCCAGGCATGCTCAATTTGGAATATCTTTTTCAGATCTCCACCTTAACAATAAAGTGCAGTTGGGGTTGCTTCCAACTAACATCCAGCAGCTTGATATACATCCTGGAATGTCCAATGGCAAGATGGCAAACAATGGCGGGAACAATGAAAGCTTGTCTTGCTTGCTAACCGTGGGAAATTCTTGTAAGAGTTTAGAGAAATCTGATAATGTGAAGAGACACCGGTTTTTGCTTTTTGGTCAACCAATACTCACTGAGCAACAAATTTCTCGAAGCTGTTCTAGTGATAAGTTGTCTCAGAGTGTTACTGAAAAAGATTTGCCAGCCGAAAACAGAGACAAGACAAGGTGCAAATTGGGTGATTCGCAAGCTGGTCTTTCTCCGCAGTTTTCACCTGGGAAATCTTCTAATGTTGAGTATTCTTGGCAACTAGGCTTGGATAATGGTCATTGCAAGGTTTTCATGGAATCTGAAGATGTGGGACGGACCCTTGACCTGTCGTGTCTTGGTTCTTATGAAGAGCTGTACAGAAGACTGGCCAACATGTTTGGAATTGAAAGATCTACAATGTTGCGCCATGTACTCTACTATGATGCATCGGGTGCTGTTAAGCAAACTGGATTAGAACCCTTCAGGTACCGTTTGTGTTACTTTCTCTCATCTTAGTTTCAATCATCATCTTATCTTCACCAAGGACTTAAATCTGGCTCTGTCATGAATGTCTAACTTGTGTTAAGTCATATATTTATTGTGTTTCTGTTTCTCTGGGATCTCCCTGCAGTGACTTCATGAAAACGGCAAAAAGATTGACAATTCTGACCAATTCAGCCAGCAAAGAGTTTTAAGAGTTAAGGGTGAGAGCTTGCTATACCTTCATATTCCAAGTCGCCCCTTGCGATCTTATGGGGTCCAATTTATACTTTAATATTTGTAGTATGATCTGCTTGGCCTTTTTATGGACTATCAAAGTGGTGACCAAGAAGGGTCTGTTTTACAGATATTAACATGGAATAGATGCATCAAATGGAATCGAAGAGGCACTCTTAGCGTTTGTGCTTAACGTGGCGTGGCATGAGATGTGAGAAGAAATTGAAGGGCATAAATTTGGAAGCGGCTGAATATGAACTGAATATCTTATCAACGTTGGCATCTTCGTTTTCTTCTTAAAGTCCACATGTCCCAACAAATAATGATCCCATCTCATGTAAACTATTGTTTCCAATATTATAACTGTTATCATCATCATTAGCCAAGATTTCGTTTCTGTGAAGCCCTCTTTCTTTTCAACATTGTGCTCGCCACTGCTGTGTGTCTCCACGATCACCTTATTTGCTCTGTGGAAGTTGACTCTGATTATTCATGTGCTTATTGTGTGTCGGCTTTCGCATCTCCAATCATGATCAGGCCACGCCATCTGGAGATTGTACAAGGATGAAAATATTTAAACTTTTGGCCTTCGTTGATTTGTTTACTGCCCCCCGACTTGACGGTCCTCTGTTTGTGGGTGTTCTGAAACTTCGTAACTTCGTCCCTTTTAGCTTCCTAAGATAACCAATTGTGGAATTTACCGTCAGAAAATTATGAATCGAAACCTTAAGAAGCATTTAGTGGGGGGGAAAAAAAGTGAATAGTACCTTTTTGTACTCGGAGGACATGATGAGTTATCGAAGAAAGCGAACCCTCATAGTCGCAGGATAAAGGAAAGCTATGTTTCCTGCATCCTTTAATTGCGGCTTAGCTGTAAAAATCACTTATAAGCATGTTTTTTATAAATCAAAACATTTTTTTTACATATTTATCCTGTATTTTATAAATCATGAATATAAAAACTACTTATAAGCTATTCTAAATGTACTCTAAGTCGGATGCCTTCCTTGTCACCCTGTCAGTCATAAATAATTATTATCCCTCTAAGCAATTCTCAGAAACAAGAAATGATAATTTTTCTGTAATTAGTATGTAGAGAATTTGCAATACTTTCTTTTCTTAAAAAAAATGCTGTTAACATTTAATTATGAAAATCTAATGCATAGAAATAAATATATCCTAATAAACCGGAAAGCAAGTTATAGAAAAGATATGTATTATTCTAAGATAGAAATGTGTAATGATATAATATAAACCAGCAAGGCCGGTAGAGTTGAGGGTATCTAGGAGATTGGGATCTGAAAATCCAGAAAACATGATCTGGGTCTGGGCAGTCTGCAGTCTGTGGATCAATCGCTGTGGAATCCTCACGTGTTCCCCGGAAAAAATATTTAGAAATTCAAGCAGCGATATTTGATGTGCGACGGTGCATGAGGGGTCTTGAAGAAGAGAGTCTCCCGGAGATGTTGGAGACCGAGACGGGCTTGCCATTTGCCCAACCACCCTAAATCTAAGGGTTGTTTTAGGAGTCCCATGCAAAAGTCACACGTGGGGGCGTGTGGGACCAACGTTAAAAAAAGAGATAAAACAAGACATTCACGTGCAAGCAGACGCAGCGCCCCAGCCGAGTCGCCGTTTTGATGGTCGGGCCCTTTTTGAACATTTGACTCTCCCTCTCTTCCCTTCCTTCCCCACGCTTTGCCTCTAACCCCTATCATCAATATCAGTAGCTGGTCAAAAAACAAGAAATCGCTTCGGTTCAGCGAAGTTCAGTGATCTTTAAAAGAGTAATGACTGATTGGTTAGGGAGAATCTAGTCTTCAATCATCAGTATGATATCGTTGTATTAAAAAATTGGTCGTTAGTACCTAGTATCGTCATCAACTCGTAACGTTGCGACAAGATCTAGCCCGAGACGAACGATTTCTCGCCTACGAAAAATGAGGCAGCGTCATTGAATACTGAGGTCGATATAATATTAGAGGCTTTTAGTACTTCTCAAGCTTCTTGGTAAATACAAACAACGCGCGCCCAACGAGAGTCGATTATTTGTTTAAGACGAACAGGTCAAACCTTTGTCACTTTGACACTACTTTCTATTCATAACATAGTTAACACTCGAGAACTACGTGGGATTCATTCACGGTATTCTTCCAATTAATGCATCTATATATAATCGACGCAAAAGCAGAAGCCCTAGAGACGGTGTTTAGATCAAGAGGTAAACGGACCCAGAAATTTTTTTTGAAATTTCCATAAATGAGGGGGATACCCATAAATCACGTACAGGTGGCAAAACTTCAAACAATGAACAAGGCTTTAATATCTAACGAAAGGGAATCGAAACGAAAATACACTGTACATAAATCTGCTGCATAGGCCCCTGCGAACCTAGAATGGGGTTACGTTAGCCACGGTGCAACTATTCATACAACAAGTAACAGAAACAAGATTTGCTGCTATTCCATCTCACTCCAGAACAGCAACCTCTTGATCAACCCTCCAGTAATTTGCGTCATTGAATTCCTTCATTCCAGGTCCGCCCTCTTCAGAGTTATCCTTTTCTGGCACTTTCGGGACAACATTTCTTTTCAACGGTCCTGCTTCCCCGACTATTCCTTCTTTGAGAGCCTGCTCCATAGCTTTCTCAGTACCTTCTAATTCCACACCAACAAATTCAACATCCTCCTCAAAAAGGGAAGGTACTGGTGCCGATCTCTGACTCGAGTCCCCTTCCCGCTCACTTGAATCTCTAGTAGTTGACAAACCATTTGTAAGTGCGGATTCCCCACTTGAAGGTGAACAAGAATTGGGGCTGCCTAATTGAGATTTAGCAGATATATCGCTGTCAGAATCATCATGATCAACAAAAGGATTTGTGCTTGAACCAGAAACTTGCATATCTGATGGTTCAGCCCCTCCCACCCAGTCAGGTAATGGCCTATCCCCAAACAGGTCCTCATTTTCAGATGCCTCAAACCTGAAAAATCCCATATCATGCGCAGCACCTACCTTCTCACTTTCCGAGCTTAGAGTGCCGCCATTCATTGATTTGCGGTCACTTAATCCACTGAAGAAGTTTGTACTCAAGTTAGACGACCCATTTGTGGTATTTCTGTTTTCAGCCGATTCCTCTTCCTCCCCTACCACTACCTCATCATCACTACTGTTGTTAGCACCATTTGTAGTACCTCCATTCAAGTTAATCTCATCCATCATCTCAGATGATGATGTTCCCCCAAACACACTTACATTTCTGTCATCTTGGGATGCAAACCAGTCGGAGTTTGTAAAAAGGCTACTGCACATTAAAAAAATAAAAATACAAGAAGCCCTCTTATTTCGATATCAAAATGAAGATTTATAGAGATACACTAACACAGATCCTAAGCTTCATTACCGATAGTTATCGAGCAAAATGACGAGGGGAAAATCGAGCACCATAAAACAATAGAATTATAGAACTTAACCCGATTTCACAAACAGTTGAAATGCAAGAGTGAGTTTGAACATCCATAAACCTAAATGGGTAAAGTGAACAAAACTAAGTAGTTTCAGTGACAAATTGGCATAGAATCAATGGATAAATCAAATTTTGATGGTACTCAACTAGTCAAGTGTGTTGGTGTGATAAATTGGCATAGAATCAATGGATAAATTAAATTTTGATGGTATTCAAGTAGTCAAGTGGGTTGGTTCCCCTGTCTTTATAATTATAAAGACAGGAGAACCAACCCACTTCAATACCCCATACTACTTCATGAGACTTGTACTTTGAACTACCTAGGCAATCAATGTGTTTTCACTCAACAATACTTCCACTCAACTTCTGCACCAGCTCAGAACCCTTTTAGGGTAGTCCTTTCTAGAACCATTGACCACTAGCTTTGACACCAATTGACAAGCACCCAATTGGGTTGAGAAGCCCTCCCCCCAAAACTAGTTATTGAGAGAGAAGAACTAACCAATTTAATTACCCCATAAAACATCTCATAATACTCAACGGGGGATTTAGGCATTCCATATGAAGAAGGCTGAGGGAAAGAATGAAAACCCCTGCTTGATGATTTACAAACACTTGGACAAACAAAAAGGGCTAATAGAATATGCTGCCTCCCGTATCAAAATCTGCATTTCGTTCTTCCATAGTTGCATTAAAAAAATGTCCCTTTCCCAATATTATGTGACTTCACCCTCCACTATTCTCTGTCACTGTCTTGGGAAGAGCATAATAATTTGAGGACAGAAGGGATGACAAGTGGAAGATGAAGCATACAAGAAAACCTGGAAAGATATTAACTCAATACAGTAGACATGGTACTAGTCAATTAATCCTTAGCTAGATCAAATACCTCTCAACATAAATATCTAGTCATATACATATTGGAGACTGACCTTCCTTGATCATCACCAAGTCTTAGAGACGATATGACTACCTCAGCAGAATCATCACCAAAGTAGACATCCTGCATTTTGTGCAACAAACTTATCAATGCATCAGCATATCTTAAAAAAAAAATAGTAGAAGACCACAAGATAGTTTGTTTTGCATGGGACTCATTCAAAGGAAGGACAACTCATGCTCAAATGGTAAACTACAAATCACAGAACAAGTCAGCAATGTGCTTGACAGTTGCGCGGATAGCAGACCATAAAAAGCTTTAGTCACCCACTTTTCAGAAGGTAGACATTTTATTTTAACCAAGCTGGCTCTTGTTCTCCCAAAAAATGGCAAGATCAGCCAAAAAAAATTACTTTAGTCACCGAAGATCAGAGCCTTTACCTCATCATCTCGACCAAGTCCTCCATGGTCCTAAAACAAAGACAGTCAAGATATTAAACCACAATATAGGTTTTCCAGCTCATACAACCCACCAAATAATGATGCTCAACCCCAGAAGGAAAATCTGAAGAAGAACTTGGAGGATTCAAGAATGCACATAGATGCACACAAATGTGTACATGCATGCACAGATATGGGGAGAGGAGGCAGCCAACTACAAACCTCTTCATTATCCTCGTTTCCATAAATTTTGTAATTAAAAGCTTGGTTCAAATTATTGGCTAATGCTGCAACATCGTAATCTCTATTATGAAGCTCATCATCATCACTATCCCTCATCCTATCTTGTAATGCAGTGGGGCGTCTGCGCACACAGGAAAAATAAGATAATGCCAAATGAGAAAGGATTCGCAACTTAAAAGGGAGCATATAACGCAGACAAAAGGCACAATTAACGATCATTTGCACCAAGCCATAAAAAAAATAACAAGTAAACAAGCGCCACATAATTATTAAATATTACAACCCCATCCAAAATACGTTAAGTTATATATAATACTTATCATTATCATTATCACATAGTTTTTCCCATGCTAAATTAATGCATAACCCACCTCAACCTTAGGTTATGTGTAGATAACTTCCCTGACCCTTGTACTGGAGAAAAGCTCACTTTCGGTCTTCATTATTTATTCAAGGGCATTGGATCTTGCCTACTTTAATTCATCTAATTTATATCAAGCACAGAAAAATCTAACAGATATTACACTTCAGAAAAATAATCTTGGCCTGGCCAGTAACGCTTTTTGGCTTTTGCAAAGCACTTGAGATGAACAAATGAGACTAGAACTTACCCACAACCCCAACGATGAACATTCTCAACCACATTACGCTCTTGTAGAATTGTAGCTTGCCACTCATTCCACTCATTGTTTTCCTGCAGAAAAATTAAAGACATCAAGAAGTTTACCCTATCTCAATCCTTATGTAATGTATTCACCATGTCTCTGCAAACTTGTAAACATAGTTTTCTGGTTAGGTCTAGTCTAGTTTTCTTAGCACTGAAAAACATCAAGGACTCACAAGCCATAATTCTCAAATCCCTAATATAGATGAAAATAGGCCTTGGTGGAAGATCATTAGAAGTGATATGAAATGCAAAAAGTGAAGGCTACACAAGTTCTAAATCAAAATATCAAATTTTATAAAGATTAACATTTTATGGACCCTACACATTTACACAAATGGAAAATTTTCCATTGCTGCTGGTCATCAAAATTAAAAAACATGACCTAAATGTTGCATCAAGAGTTAAATATATTACTGACCTGAAGAAAGGCCTGTATGTGGCTTTGGTTATGAGCCAAGTTAACAAGTTTGTTGGCAAATCGAGTGATATGCCCAATGTTTCCTGCCCGTGGGGTCGGTTTGCCAGCAGCAGCTACTGTTGGCTGCAAGATCATTCAAGACTGCTGTTAAAAGAGGTTATAACTGTAAGTACGATAATTGAAATGTAAAATATTATGAATTACATCCAATTATGTTACTCCAGCTTAAATATGTTTTCATTCAAAAACAAAGGTAAAATACGATGCAAATTACAATGATTAATTTCATATTTTACTGGTGAATATCTTATAAGCCAATTACGGTTCTTTGCACCCTTAATTAAAGGTTTATTGATTGTGACTCAATGGCCAACAGTGTGCAAGGTTGGCATTAAACGGCCAAGATATGACATCCCATCCATCAATTTGATATCATCGGCTTACCTGATCACCGTCGCTATAAAAAACAGGATTTTTATCCGCTTGGAGAACTTTTCCAATTATATCACACTCTCGAAGAAGATAATCAACAACTTCGTCAGTTTTGCTCTCCAAACACGATAGTATTATACTTTCTACATGATGGTGTAATGAGTTATTGAATGGATATCTGTATTGGATAAACAAAATAAGGCAAGTGAGAACCATGTCATCAGTCAAGTTCAGAAACTTCTACACAAAAGAAATCAAGATTTTGCCAGGCATTGGCAACTTTGCCAAACCCAATATCATTACAATTAGTTACTTACTCAAAGAAAAGATCAATAACTCGTCGAATGATTCCTGAGTTGACTAATTCTACTTCGGCCAATTCATTCCCGGCTTTCAAAAGCACAGCAATAAACTCAACTATCTGAAATATATAGTAGATAGGTCAAAAACAGAAAATACATACATATAAATACACGCACACACAAGCAAATATTCAGACCTTGTTAAACTGTCCTTGAGCAGGAACATGAAATGATTAAATTACAACGTACATAAAAGGCAATCAAACCGTAACATGATTTGCCAAAGACAGCCATGCATGACAAATTTACAATAAAATATAAACTTCTAACCTTTAATCGATGCTTCCCAAGAGGAGGCCTTAATTCTCCATATGTTGTGGGCAATACCTTTTCATCAGATGACACATGCAAAAGTTTAAGCAACTCACCTGCAGAGAAAACAGTGAGATTTTGCACAGAAGAAACGGTGGCCATGCCATGCTCATACCTCCTATTACATAATAATCACAACTCATCACCACCAAGCTATGACCCCCATTTCCTTCAACCCCACATTGAAAAAACACTCAATAACCCAAGAGAAAACGGATGGCAAATAAGATGAATGAATTAATCATAATTTACCTACTAACAATACAATAGAACCTTAAGCACATACAATCCCTTGTACTGGAGAACCTCCAGTAATCATTCCTACGGAATAAGCAACAAACCTATTTTCTAGAGGCAAATCCTATAACTGCTAGAAAGCATAACTCACTACTGGTTTTAATTTAAACAAAACACATAAAAGCAGAATTTTTTTTTCCTAGTTTTACTACAATGCCAAACTAAGTTTAGTCAAAAACAAAAAAACAAAAAACAAAAACAAAAACAAGATATCCACAACAATACATAAAACACAGGTAAAGTATAAATGTATCTTTCTCCTTTTGAGGGATCTTCCTTGCATACCTCCTCCATGCCAGAGTTCGTCCTGTTCTCAGTTTTCTTAAATAAATAAAAGGAAGAACGTGTATACACCTAGTAACTTGTACTAAATTGAAAAACCTCGCAACCTTCTCTGAATAATAACAAATTTCCTCAAGTTTTATTCATTACCATTCCAAATGTCATGTATTACATCAAAAACCCAAATTCAAAACATTTACAAATATTCTAATGAAAAAATATCAGAAGATGCAGAGCTTCAAATGAGTTCATGAAGAAATTAGTCAAATTAACAAGAAGTTGTGAGCATATAAACGCTCAACAACACGGGCATAACACAGAAGAAACATGAATTAAATATTACCAAGTTTTTGAAGCATTGCACCAATAGTCTCTGGATTAACAGGAACTGAAGCCTCATACATGTATTGACTACGGAAAGAATGAAAAAGGGAAGCCAAGCTTGCAGATCTCTTGGAATCCAGCAAAGAAATACATACGGAGAGAGAGTAAATGAGGCTAGACTTTGATTGTGAATATTCCAAAGCATGATCCAAAATTCTTGCCACAAAACTGCATGTTAACAACGAATTAACAATCAATACATAATTAGTATTAAATAATTAAACAATAGACTATAAAGCCTTGCACTACGCACCTTGGGCTTGAAAGTTTAATTGCTAGAGCTGATGAAGCATTTCGAGTTATTGTACACAATGTTTCAGCTGCATTAGCATGAACTTCAGGAGGACTCTGGTTCATTGAAAAGTTGTTACACACATTACAACAAAAAACACCACAGAATTTACAGCGCCTGTTTTTCTAGCCATAGGGCATCTTATTTATACCATTTTCCTTGGTTAACAATAGTTGTAGGTTTGCCCATATCCATCAGTTGCTTAATCTTCTTATTTCCCATAAGGAGAAGGTGATGATGCAATATACCATTTGTATATGCTTAATGAATCTACCTCTAAAATATATCTTCTGTATGCATCTCCGATTGGATGATCCATTAAACTGAATGGAAGAGAATTATAAACTGATCATTCTTTCTATTTTCTCTGGAACATTTTCAATAGAAGGACTCTTTATAGAACCTTGTTTTGTTCCTAGAAGTCTTTCATGTGAACAATTAGGAGATATCAAAACACCACCAGCGTGGAATACATGGTAAATTTGTCAACATTCCTTGTCTACTGACCGAAGAATAAATGTGTCCTCCACCCCCCCTACCATACATAGTGAACATTACAATATGTACCACATCAAAATTATGAAAGTTACTCCGAAAGACATATAATATCTAAAGAAGCCAGCACCAAGAACGTGGACAACATGCAACTAATAAACCAAACCCAACTAGAGCGCTAGATGAATATAAATCTAGAGAGATCTTCACTTACAGATGGGCTCAATTTATCAACAATCATCTCCAGCAGGTTGCTCTCAACCAACCATTGTATCACATCTGTAAAGTTGGGATACACATGGTCATCAGCACCTACTAATCGAACCAAAACCTGTGTAGAGAACTTGTTTCAGAAACCATTTAACAACTTGGCAAGATCACAGCACCACTATAAGTACCACTGAAAGAAAAGCTTACCTCCATAATGGATGTAATTCCTATCAAATCAACCAGTTGCTGAAAAACATTCTGATGGGCCTGCAGAAAGTATGTCAGAGCATAAACAAAAAATAAATTCACAAGACTACCACTTATCAGACAGCTTAATGGGTTGTCCGATATCGACCAAAGATTATTTCACAGGAAAATGTCAAGAAGGCAATGCATATCTATATCTGGAGCTCCAGGTCTCTCCTTAAATCCTACTACAAAAACTTGCTTATTTACTTACTTGAACATAATTCATCAGAGGAAGAGTTTTCCTAATCATTAGGCAAACAAAAACCTGAAAAATGACATAGAAAAGCGCATCAATCTGGTGGTTTATCTTAATTTAAGAAGAGCTGTGGTGATAAATGTCATAAAAAGAACTTTCAGCACCATAAGTGTACCTTGCTAAAGTACCCAGCCAGCAAGGTGCCATGAGGACGGTTCGGCTCCAGGAAGGAGAATAGTAAGTTCATTAACTGTTAAGAGGAAATGGAAACAAAAATCATTACATATATACCATTAATACAGAACTTCAAGCTTTATAAAAATTTTATCATCAATGAAATAAGTACATACCTCTTCTTCCTCCACCAAAGTCTTCAGAATAACATCAATTTCACAGGTAAAAATCTCACAGGCGATGAAAGGAAACCTAAATGGCAAATCAAATATCAGATTAAAAATGGGAGAAATGTAATTTGAAATCAACATAAAAGATTTAACCAATTATCAGTTCAGAAGAAGACTGCATACTTGAAGGCCCGCTTGCTTTCAGCATCTTCTGGTGGTTCTTCAACAATGTAGCGTAGCAATTGCTCAACCTGAGCTCTGTCCCTCAGACTAGAGGGGCAAAAAACATAACCTTTAATGGAATCATCTTTATTATCACATGTGTGTATTATGTAATTACATTTTGGATTAACAGAGTATGGAAAATGTCAATCATGTTTGTGCGGATAGAGAAAATGTGCACAACATACAAGTTAATGAGGCGACTGTTTAAGGCCTTGCATTCTTGAATTATTTCCTCTTCATCTAGAAGCTCTTCTAACGTGAAATTCTCCTGGTCTAATATTGCCTCCACCTGTAAAGCACCAGAAATGCAAAATGTAATTCAGGAATCACTAAAAGAGGACAAAGGAAGTAGGTAGATGAGCTCTCTGAGCTTAAGCCAGTTGAAGCTTTGACCATCAATAAGGCACCCTCTGTAAACTAGTCATCTACAGAGAGACCTTTAATTGGAAAGTTTGACTCTCTTAATATCAGTAACCCGCAGTTTAAGGAAACATGGTAACTTTAAAGGTAAAAGCATGTTGTTACAGTTTGCCTTCGAATTCAAATAATTATAAAATAAATTGAGTATATTTAATTGGAGTAAATCTCGCGACTTCTACATCCCATATTTTGCCCACAGTAATATCCAATAATAGGGAACCTTCGAAGTAGATAAATGCTGTCTTGGCTGACAAGTGCTTGGAAAGATGTTAATAACAGAAAGTACTCAGTAATTTGCCAAGAAACATCAATGTCTTCTAATTGAGATCCTCCCAATAGAGAAGGGCAACCAAGCAGATTCAACCAAAAAAAAAAGACCGAGGCAGAAAGGGAAGTGAGGCACACCATCAACTGCTGTAGTTATAACTTATAAGCAAAAAGCACGAAAAACTACGACAGTCGAGGTCGATCCGGGAAATGATACCATGATAATATGCTTAGCATAGCGGAATAACGATTGATATCAATTTTAAAATAGGTGAATAAAAGCCGTTTGAAGAGGATAACTAACTGACGCTTGAATACCAATATATAGTGCTGAGGGGAAGATAAAACTGAACTACGGTTTAAATTAAGTAAAATCAACGTCGGACAGTGAATTAGCAAGGTGATGAAGCTCAAAATAAGAGCAGAATAACTTACAGGAGAGGAGGCAGATAAAGAAGTGAGCTTCCAAAACATGTCAACGGAAAATATTAGGAGAAATAAGTTTAGCAGCAGGGGAAGCAGGAGCTCCCCGGGTCTAAGCCCTTGGAAAAAGAGGCAAATTTAGGTCAAGTCAGGCGAACATAAAACCAGAGGATTGGAGAAAGGAAGGGAAGCACGAATCCTAGAGGGCGCTGTAAAGGCTATAAACCCTAATTTGGTGGGAAAGAGATCCAAAAAGATGCCAGACCGTGATGAACGATAAAGAAAGGAAGAGAGGAGCCCCAAAAATAATCGGAGCTTCTATAATCGCAAATGGAGGGGAGGCGCTGTAAGGTACAAAACTACAAACGATGTACTCCAGAAGTGCCACAACAACCATCCCCCGTCACATAATGGATGCACGTGGTCGTCTTCTTTTCTTTTCTTTGTTTACAACATACGTGGTCTACATTTTTTGTTCCAATTGCTCATGTAACTGCAATACTCGCGTTTTCTGTGGTTGCGCACATAAAAATCAACCTCGCGCCATGATTTCTTTTCGAGTTCTTTTTAGCACTCACCTTATACAAAAATTGTTCGCTGTTTAATAAAGAAACTGTGGCCGTTTATTTCGGTTTTTAACGTTATGGTAGTTTTTCCAACGTAGCAACGGATCTAATTCAAAAGTTAAGAATTTGCGAATTAGATACGGGGAAGAACTCTTGAAAATTTGATATTAAAAAGTAAGTAACTCTTAAATTTTTTTATATTGTTTTGCCCAAAAAAAATTTATTGGTGGATAATTGGAATACTCTTCTGATCCTAAATATAAGACTTTTTTTAATATTATGAAAATAATATTATATTTAGGATCAGAGACAGAGAGAGTAACATGGAAGGTGTTTGGACATTTTTAAGGTGAGGGTTTCGACATTTTTAATGTGACAAATAAAAATGAAACAGGTTAAAGTTGATAAAAGCAAAATAGTTCACTCATTATTATCTCTCTTTCCCTCGTCTCTGAAACAAATAAAAGGTCGTTGACCCTCGAATCACACCAAACGTTCAAATAAGAAAATTAAAACCTCTCCTCTTCGTAAAGCTCCCGTCTCCTATCTCATGTTGAACTGACGTTGAATCAAGGCTCTCTATCTTGGTGACAAAATATTTTATATGATATTTATTTTATTGATTGAATATATATAAATACTAAACTTTATAAGTACAATTTACATTTTTATTTTAACAAATTCATTTCCACTGAACTAACCTTTTTGGGGCTAAAATTTAATTACCCGCGTCAAGCGAGACTAATTCAAATGGCAAATGCAAGTTATAATGTGAGCGTGGGTTCAAAATCATTGTAATGAAAAAATTACTTTAAAAGGATTGTTGTCAATTAAACTAAAAATTTCTCTCCATGCTCACAGATTAGTGTATTAAATTAAATTTAAAATGCTAATAAATTGTATTATTTTAAGTAGTTCAAGAATTACTTAAAATATACTGTATAATCATAATAGGTAATGAATCAAATCTAATTTTGGTGCGATCCACTCTTATTAATTATTAATTTTTTCTATTTGAGGCTAAAATTGAATTTCATTTAATAATAATGCTCTCCATTTAATTTAATATATTTAAATTCTAATTAAGATATTATTTAATTCTAAAATTAATTAATATATTTTTCATTTGAGTCTCCTTTTAATTATAATGCCCCCATTTAATTCAACATATTCAAATTCCAATCAAATTATTAATCAAATATCATTAATTAAATATATTTCGATCTCATGATATTATTATACTCAACTCATTTTTAAACAAATGGGTATTACAAGATCTTAAGGTTACATTTGATTAGTGACAGTTGGTAGTTGATTTCACCAATAACATGCTCATACTAGCCATCATATAGTCATATTAAAAAATCCTAAACATCTTGATGCATACAAAAAAATAAATTAACAACTTGCGTACAAAATACTTTTTTGTTTCAAAATCTTTTAAAACAAAGTTTTTATTTTTTTAAAAAAATCGTATTTTAAAAATTCTATCAGCCTATTGATAATTTCCAAGTTATTCCTCAAAATATAATTTTAAAGTTTTCCACATTATCAATATAACTAGAAATTTCTATCCCTTAGTATATTTGATTATATTTGAAACTAGACAATACTTATATCAAGTTTTTTATATTTACTCCGTCAAGTTTTCTAATAATACACAACCATATGTTCTATTTTTAAAATATTATTATTTAATAGTATTTAATTATAAATCCACATAAAATAAAATCACATTTAATAACGATGCTCCCATTTAATTTAATATATTTAAATCCTAATTAAAATATTATTTAAATCAAAGTTAATTATTAATTTCTTCATTTCAGTCTCTAATTAAAATCTCATTTAATTATAATATTTTCTATTTAATTTAATATAATCAAATATCAATCAAGATATTATTTAAATATTATTAATTAAATATATTAAGATCCCATAATGAGGAACAGGGTATTGTAAGATTTTAAGAGTATGGTTAAAGTTGACGATAGTTGAGTTGATGTTAAGTGCGTTGATACATTACACAAAACGCCCGGGGGGGGGGGGTGGGGGAAGGTTTGTTGATGCAAACATAAGGCTTTTACCATGCCGTGAATGGAGCGCGCGTGAGTTTTTAACTGACCGGGAAAGTGAATAACCGCCTAGATATGAGCGCGTGTAAGCAGCTAATTACCCGGGAGAAGCGGTTCTTATGCTTCGGCTAATTAATCTGTAATCGAAAGACCATCACCCACCAGCTGAAAGCGTGCTGCAGATTCAAACCAAATCTCTTTTCTACAAGACGGATCTCGATTGCGGAGTGTTGGAGTTACCCTGCTCTCCAAATTCTGGTAGGACTCTATCTTGAAGAAAAATAATCTGAATCACGGGCGGCCTTGATTCTGGTTGGCTTACTAACATTGACTTGAGATTGACAATTCGCTTAAAGAAAGAAATTAAATCCTTTTTTTAAATGCCTATAGAGTCAACATTTTTACCATTCCAACTAGGAACCTTGTTCTATTATATTATGTTTATTTTTCTGACATTCGACGGTGGAACTAATTCTTAGATCATCGGCAATAGATTGGTTATTTATTGCCTTTCATGACTCTGATCAGATTTGGTACATGTGAGAGATTTTGTGACTGCGAGAGAATTATGAATTGAAGTTTGTGGGGGAGAGATGAGTGTGAGCCATGCTTCGGTTCATCCCGTTGAAGAAGTTCCTGCAACTGAAGGCGAAGGTGGTAACGCTCCCAGAGTCAGGATGAAGGATATCCAAGGTATGCCGGGCACGCCGGGTGGGCTATGCTTGCGAATCTCTCAGTTTATTTTCGCTGCGGCAGCGCTGTCAATCATGGCTTCCACCAGTGATTTCCCTTCTGTCACCGCTTTCTGGTAAACTTTCTCAAGCGCTATTTATTCCTTGATCCTGCGCTGCTTTGACTATGATAGCTGTCCTTCAAATCGTGACTTTCCAAATCTTGGCTCAAAAGAGATTCCAATCAGCGATTGGACCTCACGGCAGCGAAATAGTTTTGATCTGCTTCCTCATTGATCGAGCTCAATCTTGTTTACAGTTCAAATTGTTTCATTACAACAAGTGGAATCTCGAATTTACTTTTTATCCGAACGGCGGAAAAAATCATTTTTTCCCCCAATCATGAAGCTTCAAGAACTATGCTTATAAGCATGTTTGATATAGATGAACACGCAGGGAGGAGATAAGATTTTCCCTGTAAGACGCCTGCTATAGTGCATGCGGCATAATAAATTCAGTCAGTTTGTGTCATTGATGGATCTGCTTAGTTATAGACCGCATCTCAGATATTCAGAAAAGCACCCCAAGGCCAAGGGTCCTATTGTGTTTTTACTTGAAACATAGTCAATCGGCTGGTTATTCTTCATATCTCGCTTCTTAGATAGCTAGATCAAACAATGTAGTGATGGTGCATGATTAGTTAGAAATAGTGATGTTTTAGGTAATTGCTTCTCAGCAATGGGATTGGAAATAATAGAGTAATATTAAGAAGATATGTAATAGGGCCTGATAGAGATGGAATATGGCACAATATAGTAAGTAAAACAGCTGTTCGTTGAGCTAGAATGGAACTAGTCTAACATTTAAATAACATTCTGAATCATTTGATTTATCTAATTTGTTTGATTAAATGATTTACTTCTATAAAGCCTTGCATTTATTTGGGCACTTTGCTGAGTGGACTCACTTGACTGTACTTGATTCCTTGTTGCAAGTACACCTCTTGTTTTGCAGCTTAGATGGTCTCTTTACTATGGACTTAGACGTTTTAAAATTCTTGAATGAATGCCCAAGCGCTAAAAAAATAGAATTATGAAGGTAGTTGTGTGCTTCGGTTGACTCATTGCAATACCACTTCTGTTGTCCATCACTATGTCTCATATACAATTGGTCTCTTCAAGTTTTGTTACGTTGGCTTCCTCACTTGGATGGACTTTATTGGGCGGTGTGTTTTGGCTGGTTAACATAATGAATGTTCCCTCTCCTTATGCCATACGGTTTTTGAAATCATGATTATGTCATATAAACAGTCTGAGAATGAAACGAAAAGATCTTGGTAACGACCCAGATATGTGGCTAATGCTCCTGAGATATCAATAACTAAATGTACAAACAAATGAAATTGAATTATAATGCAACCTTTCTAGCTCTAGTTGTCGTGTTACTCTGTTATATCAGGGTCTTTTTAGACTAGATGAATGTTTTTGGCTTTCGGTTTTATAGAGAATATACCATGTTTTGGGTCATAAGAGGTGAAAGCGGATCAATTTTTCCTCCGTGCTTTCATCTTCTGCCATTTTGATGTTGTGACAGCTGTGACATATAACTTTTTTCTTCCAGTAGTACTTTTCTGTGACATCTGATTGAAGAAATCTTGGCTTTGTTCTTCGTTCTTATCTTTTCTGTTGATGATTTGTCCGTACTGTTTGTTAAAAGCATGCCATTAAAGATAAGTTGCAACATTTCTATGGCACCATTCCTATTGATTCTCCCATTTTCCCCCAGTTACCTTGTTGCGGCTGCGTGCTTACAGAGTCTATGGAGCTTCTCACTAGCTATTGTTGATGTGTATGCTCTCCTAGTGAGGCGGTCGTTGCAGAACCATCGAGTTGTCACTCTGTTTACAATTGGCGATGGGGTAAGATATTCTGTATGACTTATGTTTTATTATCCTGTTGATTTGAGAAGAACTGTAGCCTGTGTGTATAATGCAGGTAACTTCCACGCTTATATTTGCCGCAGCATGTGCATCAGCAGGGATCACGGTGCTTATTGATAATGATCTTGGTAGTTGTTCACGAAATCACTGTGTACAGTTCGAAACCGCTACAGGCATGGCTTTTGTTTGTTGGTTTACCACTATCCCATCATTTCTCCTTAACTTCTGGTCCATGGCGTCCCAATAAAACAATTAAAAATGACACTCACAAATCTGTAAAGCTTATAAAGTGTGGCAATTTGTATTTAACATATATTGCCTTGTACATTTTTGCAACTCATCTTCTTTAGAGCTTGGCTGCCTTTCGATTCTGTATAAATTGTTGCATTTTGATATATGCACGCGAGGCATATGCATGGGAAATGGCCGGTTTGGATCAAGATGGATACTTTTGGTGGATGGCGTTTTCTGTGGAAACTCTGTAAAGTTATCCTTCGTGGAGAGATTTGTTACATATTTTATATGTCAAATAAAAACATGAACGAAAGCCAATTGGTGAGAGTTTTCTTCAGCAGCTGATAATTTCCGATTATTGTTCAGCTTCAGCAGATGCTATCGATGGTAAGATAATACCCTTCTGCTGGTAAATGATTATTTGAAAGCTTCTTTTTCCCTCTTTGGTCATATTTCTTATTAGACAGAAACCTGCATCCAGCAGTTGCAAAATATCATGTCATTCTTTATGTCAAATTCCCACAGTTGGAAGTGCTGGAGAACTTATTCGTAGCCAACAGGACATAAATCATCAAAATTTCACCTGGAGGTTGATTTGGACAAAAAGGCGGGATGGAGAAAGAATCAGTAATTTCTGTGTTTGTAACTTGTAAGTCAACAAGTTTCCTATATTTACCCCTACATTCTTACATTCGAGTCGATTGGGTAAAAGAAAGGCGTAGAATACGTCAAATGAATTTTCATACAATCAAAGAAAGCAAGTGTTACTATCAGCAGCAATAATTCTCAAGCCGCCCCCTCTTGGACGTGCAGATCCCTGATGAAATGACAAACCAAGTAAAAATCCAGCCATTTAAAGAACCAACTTGAAAGGATGAATCACAAACTGCAGATAACTTGGGAAATTCTGCACACAACGCCCTTGGTCTCATTCGGACTCATAAGGTGATGTCGCTATAACAGTTGTTTCCGGCCTGATTTGAAAAGATGAAGAATGGCAACGACTGCAAATTGCTGTCTAAAGGAAAAGCTTAAAAAACGAACAAGGGAATATGTCTCCTTGAGATAATAGGTTATTTAATGTGATAACACGGAAACAAGAAGGCACCAATGATGCGTCACAGAGAGCTGCAAAGGGAAGCACTAACCACATCTCCATATTCAGTACTACCACCTTATTACCTGCCACTGATATTCTTATTGGCTGCAAAATTTCTGTCTTTAGAAAAATTGTTCTAATGAAATGTTGTGCGAACACAATTTTTCCTTCAGAAACATTTCTGTAGATATGAAACATTGTAAAAAGGTCTGTTTCCGGGGCAAAAAAGGGAAATTCTCAAGCCCCCAACAAGAACATATCAATGGCAAGCAACAAGATGAAACCGTGAAAGTGGCGTTGAGGTTAGTGGCTTTCACTGCAACTTTCTGCCATGGTGATGAAATATTGTTCACTGCAACTTTCTGCCATGGTAAATATTGTTCTAGATCCGACCTAATCCTTAAAAAACTTGGCTCTCATAAGAGGTGAGATTCGATAAATAGCAGAGAAAATATAGAGGGAAAATGCTATTAAAAAAAAATAGGAGAGAAAAAAAAGAGCAAATTGTGCCATAGTGAATATGAATATGTGGGTTTTATAAAATGAAAATAGTAAACTTTAACGAGCGTAAAGCGACAAAATGCAAATTCAAATCAATGACAATTTAAATAAGATAAGACAGTATAATAGATTTTAAATAAGACAAGACAGTATAATAGATAGATAGATTATATGCTTTTCATTTTTAATTTATAAATGAACTAACCAATGAAAATAAATATGGTCGCAATGAAAGTTTGGAAATATACATCTCAGTAATTTACATTTTTAAAATAAATTAACTAATAATGGATGTTATTTTTAAAACTGCCTTATGAATTCCCGTTGCTCCAGCTAATGGGGCATCGAAATCTAGGAACTAGTTAGATACGTTGCCGTCCTCGAAACAGAGATGACGCCATGTAATTGAACGCAGAAGCAAATTATATGCTAGACTGCTCTTCAATCTCAAGAGATTGGAATGATGCTGTTAATCTAACTTGAGCCAACTGTCGCATTTTAACCAGACAAAATGGGACCACCAAAGGAATAAGGTATGGTAAGTGTATAACATCATTCCTATTACAAGAAAAGATAAGAAGCAAGCTCTACAAAACCATGACAAAATCCTCACGAATTTTACGTTTCAGATTGTCAACTGCTCCAATCCCTGCACTGTCTGCGACTCTCTAGCTTTCTCTCCAATTACAGCTGGAGTTTTATCTTGATCTGTCTTCTGGGTGGCACCAGGTTCATCTTTCCGAACAGCATCCACGGGAACAGCCTGCCTGATATTGACAGTAGGGGCAGCTTGTTCAGGCAGGGGCCGCCTCTCTTGATGGAACCGTGCGGCTGGTGGAGGAAGTGGTGGTGCAGCAAATACAGGGACTACGGTCCTTATAGACACCGGAGGCGGAATACTCTGGCAGGGTGATCCCATCTGTCGTATGGGAACATAAGGTGCTGCACCAACCGCAGAGAACTTCAGGGGGCGGGAACCTCGATTTTCTGATGTGAATTGGGCCATGGAATTGTTATTGGCTGCTGCTGCAATTGGAGGCCTGCTTTTAGCATTTCCATTCATTGTTGTCAATAAATGCCTGTTTCGATGAGCAGTCTTCTGGCAAATCAAAGGAAGAATCTTTGATGTGGCAGCCGGTGGAGGTTGGGCTCTGGTTGGCCTGGGATTTTGAATCTGAAACTTCCTAGGAAATGTGATTGGAGAATTAGAATTTGACATAGCCATCATTTCCTTATGACGGTAGTTCAGTAAGGCCCTTGCTATTGTGATCTGTTCTAGTTCATCGCTATTCTCTGGTTCAGAAGAGGAGCTTGCAGTTTCTCTAGCCACTGGCAAGGATGAAAAATACGTCAGTCAACGTCTAATCATTGTTGTGGGAGATGTTAGATCAAATACATAGGAAAACGAAGACAGCCATTCAAATTGTTTCAGGATCGGGTCAAAATTATTCAACAAAATGGCAAGAATTACAGCAACACGACTGGTTAGGAATTATTTAGTACGGTTTAGTTATAACGTGGTTGTTCAACTCTGTATTCATAGGGCTAATTGATATAGAGTTCTGCATATTCGCATGAAATAAATTATTTTCACATAGAAAAGTTAGCCGGAAACTTACACTGTTTCAGAGATGACCAAGCCGCCATTGCTGCATTTTTCTCTGCTTGTTTCTTATTATTGGCAGGTTCACCTGTAAATTTTATTCCAGCCAGTTCTACTGTCCCAGTAAAAACAGGTAAATGTCCTAATCCTGACCTAAATGTTGTATATTGAGGCAATGGAGCCCCAACCCTTTGTGCAATTTCCTGCAAGAGATTCTTGTAGACTCCTGTCTCATCCTGAGAAATTGCTTGTGGTAAGGATAATGAAGTAGAACTACCAACAAAGACACAATGAGTATTGTGGATACATAACAAAGGACCAGAATCCAACACGACATTAAGAAAATAATTTGAATGTGCATACTCCAGGAATGGGCATAAAATAAAGAATATGATAGGGAGGGAAGAAGAAAGGTCAGTGTAAACATGGCAGAAAAAATCGGATTTTCTTCACAAAAAATAAATTTACATTAAGAGGGATCGAGAAAACATTAAGGGAATCTGAACTAAAAGTTGACAGTGGTCAAACATTTCACAAGTTACACCAGAGAATAGAAAGGTCAATCTCTTTTAAGAAACATTGGAAGCGATTGCTGACTCGCAGAAATAGGATTGTGTTCTGGAAGAAATTCCTACTTCTGATATATATGATGATGACTCTTCTCCAAAAGACGCACCATAGATGCTGGACATCAAATTTTGTTTATGGGAAGAGAAGGGGGAACGCAGAGCTAGTAAACGATAGTTAATGATCCACCAAAAAGTGGTTCCGTTGCACCCACTAATAATCTAACCACGAAACTACGCACAATCCCACTGTACAGCTACGTATGAAGCTTGGTGTTTCAGAATTACAGTGAACTGCTTAGAAAATCCCACTGCCTGTAAAGCAGAATCACGGAAGACTATCAAGCACGACGCAGGACTGAACAAGCTTCAGCTCAACGATTCCTTTTAGACAGGTTAGCTAGAGTAACGAGCTTGATTCATTGTGAATGTTAACAAGAAGCGTTCAGTTTGTTCCAGAATTTTCGCTTGACAAATTAAATAACCACGCTAAGAGAGAACAAAATGATCGAAGTAGAGCAAAAGCGGAAGTAAAGAAGCCATTGATAAGGAGAAAATGAGAGAGTTAAAAACTGACCAAAATCCTAGCAGCAAGGGAGTGTGAGGGGCCCCGGCTAGAGAGGGAATTGAGAGCAACCTCAGCGGCCGAGTGCTCGGCTTGGCGAAGGGTGGAGCAGTAGTGATGGCTGTCGAAGATCTCGCCGTTAAAGTTCACGGTGGCCTTGAACCTCGGCGCGTGATCGGGACCTTCCCGAATGCACGTGTAGGAAGGGAGGTTGAAGCAGCTCCGTTGGGCCAGCTCTTGAAGCTGGTTCTTGTACATTTCTGCTCCGCAAGCTTCCCAATTTCTCTTCCTCAAGCAAGCGGCTCGCCCAGGGAAATGGTAGCCGGAGCCAGATCGGATCAGCTGGTTCGTCAGCCCGGGACGGTAAAGGTCCGAACTATTCCTCTTCGTGGCGCAAGTAAATTCAAAGTTTGAATGGTTTATTAGGTGCAAAAATGGAGAAGTTCAAGGAGGAAAAATGAGACAGCATTTAACAGCGGCCCCAGGGGATGAAAAGGTAGCCTGGGAGGAAGATGAAGTGAAAGGGAGGGACGGAGGGAGGATTAATTTTTCTAATTGTTTTTGTTAGTTTATGGAGTTTTCTCGTTGGGGAATAATATTATATTAGAAACTTATTTATCGCTTTCCTTTTGAGTCAATCCCGCGTTATCGTTTTTAGAGTTAATTCTTAAAATATATTGAGTTAATAATAATAAAATTGACGCTTACTCATACTTAAAAATAAATATTGATTAATATGAGAATCTATTTTCAATTGATTTTATATAAAAAATTTACAAGGAATCTAACCGTAATTAATTAATATCTTGAGATCTAGCTATTATTTTTCTCTGCATCTTTGTTTATATCTTTTGGGGTAACGTAGCTTTTTTTTATTTTGAAAACAAATACTACTATGTTCCAATACTTTATTTTCATATTCTAATTTATGTTATTTTATGAAGCTGATTTAGATGTAAAAAGGGATGAACTCAAGTAATTTTTTTTAGGTATGTAAGTAAGAATGGGATGGGATATGAATACAAAATTAAGGTTCGAGTTTTCTTTTTTTTTTTTTTTTTTGACCAGCAAGGTTCGAGTTTTCTAATGTTAAGAACAAAGGAGCTAAAAATGAATGATATAAGAAGAGTTGAAGAAACTGTGTGTGTGTGTCTTTATATGTATATGGTTCTTTCTCTTTTTTTTTTTTTTTAATAACCGGGGGTGAATAGAGCATGACGGGGCATTGTCTAATCTGTAATTCCCGATTACCAATTAGGACAAGACTGAGCCCACGACCTGGTGGAGTGGGCTACTTTTGTGGATCTCTCTAGCCCTTGAGCTTTGCCATCATCCAGAAGCAGCCCGATCTCCGGCCCAATAACTTATTCATGTTCCTCTCCTTGTTCTTCCCGCCGCTCGCTTCCATACTGAAACTCAATCGTGTCAATTAAACAATATCAGATCTCATTGCATAAAACAATATAAAATTTTAAAAAAATTAAACTTGAAGTACAACCCAAGCCCAGCTCTCATGCATAGCATGAAGTCCCGAAAATAACTTTGCATTCTTTCGTAATTTACTAATAGAAATATTATATTCGGTCTCCTATATATACTCACATTCATTTTTCTTAAAAAACAATAAGCATGGTACTGGCCAGTAAAAGGTGGAAGAGGGACAAATGCCAAATATTTGCAAGTTTTCGTGGGCACAGAACAGGCAGGGCCAATGTTGCGAACGTTGTGATGGTTTTGTTTTGGTGAGGGTATTGATGGAGAGAGATCATTTAATTTGTTGGTTGTGGGTCAGTTATCCCAGTATGTGAACCGGGTTTGTGGCTTTACATTATTCAAGCTGACTTTACATAATTCAAGCTTAAAGCTTGTCTTTGCAGAGGGTCTCCATTCGGTGTTCCTCACCTCATCACCTGATGAGCAATCTGAACGATCTGGACGGTCCATGTTTAATATTATTAAATAATTATTTTAAAATAAAAATTATATTTTTAAAGAATGATAATTAAGAGATTATTTTTATTTTTTATCCTATACCTATTAAAATAACTATTTTTAAAAAATAAAAATAAAAATAAATCTAAACCGTCCAGATCTGATGAGCACCCAGTGTAAATCCATCTTTGCAGTCTGTGCGCTCTGGCCTCCGGATAATGCTGTCTGTTTGACCAAGTCATCACGAATTAATAATTAGACCGAAATAATAATAATAATCATCGTCGTCGTCGAACCATAACATATCTGTTGGCTGAAAAAAGAAAACCAGCATATGCAGATAACAAACAACTGCGCGTGACTGGGGCCAAGTAAAAAGCCTTTTGACTTTTGTTACCGGAAAACTGTCCCAAGATGGTGGGATGCAAAGCTCAACCACGGGGAATGATTTATTTTGTGACAAAATTCATATACTCACATAACATAGAAACAATAATATAATATATATGCACGCTATTTTTTCGCCAGAATATATATGCACTTAGTCTATGCATTAACCGTATATGAATTTTCATTTTGCAATACGCTGTACCTGCTTTCTCTCTCTCTTTCTCTGTGTTTTTGCAAGTCAGACAGGTCTCATTGTTAAATATCTCATGCATGCACACTAAATACTGTTAATTTATGCTAAGCATTTCAAAATTTTAACTAAATCAAAAACAAATCAACATATCATGCAGATCCAGTGCATAAGATTAGGAAATAATCAATTTTTATTCATATGGACGACATTATAAATTTACATCAATGTTTTCAAGAGGCCATTGCACCAAATACTCAACACATTGTTTTAAAATGATTTCAAAAATGTTGCAGGTAAAGGGACCTGACAGAACTGTAGTTAAAGTTGTCATTGTTCTCCCCCCCGGGCCCCCCCCTTCTTTTTGTTGACGATAATCTTTGTTCTTTGTTTATAATACTCTATCTAGCTTTCATCTGAACGCATTAGCTCTCGTCGGAGTGTCATTACTCAGACAAACTTTGGAACTTTAATGGTTTTTGAAACTAGCAAGAGGGGTCTCTAAGTATGTTTGATTTCATGTTAATGACCTATATCATGCATGGTTTTAGTCAAAAAAACTCTAATTAAAATCATGATTTTGATTAATTCCGAGGTGAAATCAAATACATGGTTTCTGTTTAAAAGATCCAGCTGATCTGATCAGCTAGGTGCGTCTATTCATATGGCCATGTAAATGTGCTGTTCATCATCTCATAAGTTATACGCAAGCCTAAGGGAAAGAACTTGTCATGTGTGCTCAATCACGACGATCAGAAACGTCTGGGCTGGAGATCCGCTATTTTATGTCTATTTAACTCCCCTCATGTATGTGCGGGGACCATGATTAATTCTTTCCAACCTAATATATATAAGAACACTTTCGCTTCAGTGTTCTTTCTTCTCCCTTTAACTGAAGACAGCAATATAATCACGCACTGTAATTCCGTGTTAAGCTGAATCGTTAAGAAAAATTCCGTTGAATTATTACATTATCTCACCTAAAAGGCAACACATCAACATGTGTTTGTGTGAGACGTCCTCACATGTCTCCTGGAACACACAAGTACAAAAAAACTGATACGTCACTTGATTTTATTTGAAAACCAGAAAGTGGAGGACCATAAGAAGTGCAGATATAATTAATGGTTATTAACGTTGTATTCTACTCCAGTGTGAGGCGTACGTGATGAACAAAATCTGGGGCCCAGATAGGTTAAAATAATAAAATAATCCATCAATTATCTAGTTCACTAGTGGAAAGTAGATAAGAACAACGAAAGAGGACTGCCAAGTGCAGGCAAAGCTAAACAAACTAGAAATGATAACACAATAGAGCAATAATGAAGAAACACGGACACACAGCAGCATCACATGTAACGTGGCAACGTTTTCTGGAAAACGACAGAGAGCGGATAAAGAAACCTCCCTTATCCACTCCACACCAATCCTCTGTCTTTCTATTTTGAGAAAAAAATCTTCTGCACATAGGTTTCGTTACAGTCACTGAAGTAACCAGGCCGGTTCCAGTGGCCCCACATGTTATGGAGCAGAAATACTACATAGTAGTACTCCTTTCAAAACATCAGCAAACCAGAAAAATTAAATATATATCAGGGCGCTGGAAAACAAATCATACTAAGGCGGTCTCAAAGTGCACGCGTAATTCTGATCTATAATTGGGATTTACTTTAATTTCCAGTGCATGCAAAGGTATATCCATGACCACCAGAAAAACAAAAGCAAGACTCCACGACAAATTAAAGCGAAAACCAAAAACCCGCCTAAGGAATGAAGAAAGATGGATATATAATTCGGTGGCTAGTCTTGAAACCCAGTTTTGGCCCAAACGGAATTTCGGACCCTGCTCAGATCTCGGCCTTTGAGAGTCCTCCCGATTCCTTCCTGCACCGACATGGAAGCCATCCTGGTGTTGGCTAGAAACTCATGCGGAGGCACCATCGAACCTTCGTCCTGGACTTGGTCATCAACCTCGTCCTTCCCACGATTTTGCCTGTACTGGTTTCCCAGGATCTTGGACCAATCTGGAATGTCGATTGGCTGGGACGACGGATCTGATGATCGCCCCACTTCTAGCTTGGAGGAACATGGCTTGTTGGGCATGCCACAGCCTTGAACTCGGCTCTCATCAGGCTCCACGACGACGGAGCTGTGCAGGTCAAGCTCGTGGAACTCAAAGGCAGAATCGGAAGGCGTGTGCATGTTTGCGATGTCTGTGGGATTTGAGAAAAAGCGATAACTTGGTCTGCCCAAGCAGTTCTTACTGCTGGCCATTTCCAGTCAAACTTAGTTGATCGGATCTCTATGGCGCTGGTTCGTGTATGTAGTTTCTCGGTCTCTTCCTTGCAGCGATGATTTACCAGCTAGTTTTGCCCGTTCCAGGCCCCCCGGCTTTTATTTTGCTTTTTATAAAGTTAGTGTTGCTTTTCAAAAATAACAAAACAAAATGCCTAAACAACAAATTAAAAAAGGGTGGAGCTGTTGCATCTGGATTTGGATAAGGCTCCCGAATACATTCTTTCCAGTCATATTCTGAAATTGTCTTGACTATGTACTACTATTTTTCAAGAAAAATCAGTCCCAAACGTATTTGTATACTTGCCCACAAATTATGATATTTTAGACGCTTGACTCTCATTCACTATTATTACATTTGTATTTGCATTGGATAGGATGCCCGAGTTCTAATCCTGGTCGGAAATATTATAAATCTAACCATGCATTTAGGATATTATTACTGAAAGGTACGGTCTAACGCATGGGCGGTGTGTGTGTGTTGTGGACAGCTAGCCATCGGTGTCATGAATTTAGTTTCTTGTGGATAAGATTTGACATAACATTTTTCAAGACAACAATACGTACATGACAAATTAATTAGTCGCCTGTGGGCCTGAGAGGAGTGATTTATATGTAGAAGAGAGGCGTTCTTAGGGTTCTTGCTGATATATAGCTACAGAGAGTGGCTGACAGGGATCCTATATATGATATATATGTTTCATGGGGCTTGCAGGGCCAAACCTCTGATGATTAATTGGATATGCCCCACACCATGTGTGGCATTCAGATTAAAGCCGCCCAACCCCTCTATATTATGTATTCCTGTCCATATCAATTGAACATGACCTTCTTCCCCCAGTTTGATTTCTTTCATTATTTGTCCTTACTCTTTTGTTTTTTCTATCTCTACTCGCCCCTCTCCCATTCTCTAGCCCACAAGCCTGCGCAGTGGAAAACTTTGTTTCTGAGGAATGAAGGAGCTCAACATTGCCGTGGCCCCTCAACCTCTGCATATGTGGCCGAACTCTCGTTTCAACCGTTCCACTGGCAATATAATCCTCATTCCGGCTTCCGTGAAGATCAGAGATCCGCCGGAATGGAATATATATATGCTGATGAGAAGAACCAGATCGTTAATTTACTGCAACCACGATCTACACGGAAAGAAAGTAGAAACAAAGGAGATAACATGGCAGCAGGGTTGGTATTGTTTTACGGTGGGTGATGGATTTGGTGTGTTTGTGCTTTCGGGATGTCACTTTCTTTATTTTTTTTTTATATTTTTTAAGTCATTATCAACAAGTAAAGATCGTTATTTTACCATTTCTGCTTTGAAATATATAATTTTAATAATTTTAAATTTATTAAAAATACTTCAAAACATTTTCGTATTAAGGACATTATCCTTAAATGTCCATCCATTATCATAATATGCCAAATTACTCATCTCATTATCATAATATGCCTTTCTTTCTTTTTGTTGTTACTCAGAGTATCCTCCCACCTGAACCATAATATGCCTTTCTTTCTTTTTGTTGTTACTCAGAGAGTCAGAGTATCCTCCCACTTGAACGGTAAAAGACTAATTTCTCAGGGTACTGTTAGACGTCTTAACAGGGATCCCTTCCAATAATGTTTGTTCTATACACACCGTCCCAAGAATCAAACTCAAGACATGATGTTTAAGATATTCAAGTCCCTGCTACTTGGACTAACACTTGTTGGGTATAATATGCCCTCTTATTTCTATATTTCAATTCTCATAAAATTATTTTAATCCAAACAGGTCTCAGTGTTTTAGGGAATGGGAGCCCAAGTTATTTGTTTTGTTGTAGTCTTTGTCCGAGGCCCACTCATATGAAAACCGCAATGGGCTTATCGATTGGGCCTACACAGCGAGATGTTGTTGGAATTTGAAAGCAACAAAAAGGGCAAAAAAAAAAAAAAAAGGCTAAGCCGGGCATTTCCGCTAATGGGGTTCTCAAAACCCTAGCTAATATATATCTCCTTCTTCTTCGCCTCACGGCTTGAAGACTGAAGCCCTTGCTCTCTTGAATCTGCAGCCGCAACAATGCCGCCGAAGTTCGACCCCTCACAAGTTGTCGACGTCTATGTCCGAGTGACTGGCGGTGAAGTCGGTGCTGCGAGTTCACTCGCTCCCAAGATAGGTCCACTCGGGTTGTCCCCCAAAAAGATCGGAGAAGACATTGCCAAAGAGACTGCCAAGGACTGGAAGGGATTGAGGGTCACCGTTAAGCTTACTGTGCAAAACCGTCAGGCGAAGGTGGCCGTGGTGCCCTCTGCGGCTGCGCTTGTCATCAAGGCCTTGAAAGAACCCGAACGAGACCGCAAGAAGACCAAGAACATCAAGCATAATGGTAATATATCTCTCGACGATGTGATCGAGATCGCCCGAGTTATGAGGCCCAGGTCGATGGCCAAGGACCTCAGCGGGACTGTGAAGGAGATCCTGGGCACATGCGTCTCCGTTGGCTGCACGGTGGACGGGAAAGACCCGAAGGATTTGCAGCAGGAGATCACTGATGGGGATGTTGAGGTCCCTCTGGACTGAGGTCTTCCTTTTAATTTTGGTTTTATTAGTACTTTTCTCCACATAAATTTCGAGGAACAGTTGAAGTATGTGTTAAATTAAATATTTTGGGCGATTTAGATGAGCTGGAGAGATTTTATGAGCTAAGCTAGACCAGGTTGCGTACTTCTTTACAAGGATGATAATCTATTCTGATGCAATTTTGTTTCATTTCGTGATCAGAGTATTGCCCTGCTTAATCGCCATTGTGTGTTTGTTTTATTTTGATAGAATTATGCATTGTCTACTGTCTCAGTAATGCGATTTGGAATCTGATCGTTTTTGATATCTCAGAGGTCGTTGCAGCTTCTTTTCAGAAATGAGATTCATTTCCACCATTTGGTTACATCGTAAATTACCACAATTTCACAGGTGAACAATTTCGTTACTGCAGTCCTTTTAGTACTCTTCCTGTTATTAATATAGGATTCAATTGTTGAGTTATTTTTTGTCCTAAATATAACACTCATTTATTATATTTATCAATTTTCTCTAAATTACCCCTATAGATACTAGAAGAAGGAAAGATGATATTAAGAAAGATGATTATGATGTTTTAGAAAAAATATGTCAGATTTCTTATAATTATCTAATTTACTTAACTTCTTTAATCTAATCAAATTAGTTAAATGGGTCTTATATTAAGAACCGGAAGAGTACTATTTACGCTCTTGTGCATTGTTCATTCCGGATGGTTAATGCACAATATCGGGGCTTTCACCTGGTGGTCTAATATCCGCCCCGATTTTGCTTGGGTAGGGTATGCTATTCGGATGAAAAATTATTGGAAGAATTGGCATTTAAGGGGAATGGCATCTCTTCCAGTAAGGCAAAGATCGGAGCATTGGTTTAGCCTCGTGATTTTACATTTTTTCTATAAGAAATGGTTAGTTTTTGGCAGTGTTGAATGTTGAGCAGCATACTACCAATTTCATGCTGTGAGAATATTTATAATATAATATAACGTTTTCATATGACAAATGTGGAGTTTTAAGTTTATAGGAAGATGCTTTTCCGGAGAAATTTGTCCGACTGTGATGTTACTGCATTAGTAATTATTGGCCGCTTTTCTTTCAATTTTAACTGCCATTTTTCAGGGCACCTCTGTTAGTTCCAATTTGTTCATCCTTTTGGGGAGTTGATAATTATGTGCCGCATTCCCAGATTTCCCATGATTGGTCACGAACAGACTTGGGGGGTTTATTCTGATTAGATTTGGAGGGCACTGCTGTATCACCTTTTGAAAAACCACATTTTACATCCCACAGCTAAAAGCATAATTACACAATTGGCACACGAACTTGCTCGGATGATGCATTTCCGCGAAATCTAGTTTCCCTTGAATATTTTAGTTTCTATCACTTGTGAGCTTGTTTTGTTTGCCTTTTGCCATATGCGAGACATTAAGTTGCGCGGTAACTAGAATATATGCCTGTCCACGCGCGCGCGCACGCATCTCAGATTGCGATGATAAATAGCACCGTGCGCCAGTAAAACAAGGTGGAGTCGTATTTGCTTTGCAAAATAAAAGTACTGAAATAGTAAAACGTACATCTGAGTCTGGTATTTAATGCAGCATTGTCCGTGTTGCCTTTTTTCCCCCCTTGCCGAAAAGGCAAGATTAAACTTGAAGGATAAAAATCAGAGAATTAAGATTAAATACATAAAAGCAACAATTAAACTAAATCTAAAGAAATGGGAACTTAACAGAAGGTAGGAGGATCCTGAAGTAAAGTGGACCTGCATGTGCATCTTTCGCAAGTGGGTCAGAGCAAGTCAAAGCCTCTCTGCGTATGAAGAATTTCCAGGCCCCAATCAGCAAAGATGAGGGGCCTGGTCGCGGCTATCCCCGCTCTTAGAGGATGGGATGCACCACTAGTCACAAGTAGGACATTCAAAGCTTGCGAGGAATCAGGGTTGGTTTCGGATAGCATATAATTCAGCTCCAGTACGAGAGTTGAAGCCACGCTAGCCAATTGTCTCAGTCGTCGCGGATAATCCCTCCACGAGGTCCAATTCTCTCCGTCTAATCTAACATAGCCAACAAAATAGGTGGACGACTCCATCTGGATCTGGTGCTTGACCGTTCTGAAATCTGGAAAATTTTACGCTTCGATCTGCCATTCACAGTTTCCTCCATGATCTCTGTACCCTCTCTTTCTTGCATCGGTTCTTCCTTATAATCCAACAGCTATACCGAAAATTCTCATTCATGGCCATCTGGGGCTGGGATGATGTTTGGTATTCCATTTTAGCCAATCACAGAAGAACACGCGCATATATGTAAAGGTTTAATTCCGTGTTCTTAAGACCGTCACCACCCCTTGCAATTTTGCCCACACCATGACGACTGTCACCGTGCTCGCTCTCCATGCCATCCGAACGCATCTGGTCCTTCGTTTTCCGTCCCAGCTTTGCTGTTTATCCCATGTTTCTGTTGGAGTCAGTGCCCGGCTCTGCCAGCCAACGTTTTACGCTGTCAGTTTCTCTCAACGCCATCAGGGATAAGGCATAAGATACCAGAAAGATGTATCTGCCGTGCGAAATAAAAGTACTGAAATGAGTAAAATTGGACGCATGGTACTTATCCCTAGCCTTAATCTAATTAATTTTGAATAAGGACGGTGGGCTTTTGAGACCCGAAAAGCCCATCTATGTGAATGGGCCGAATAAATAGATTAGTTCATTGGAGTCGGGGGCCTCGCCCCATATCCCTTATGGAACAGCTGCTAGTGTTTAATTGGGACATCCGTATTTAATCTCAGAACCGCCCAAGTACGGTGCGCCCGCCCTCCCACCTGCACGTGTTCTTCTTACACACGAATCACACTTGTCTATGCAAAGGCCAGGTCTGCTCTTATGCAAGACATGGCATTCCCCTGATTAAACTCATGCAAACAGCCCCATGATATCCAAGGAGAAATGTGATTGATAAATTCATGTGTTCCCTTTAACCTACTGTATCTCAAGTGCTAAATTAGTGACCCGTTGGGCAATACATTCCTCAAATGTAGGTTTTTTATTCCTCAAATGTAGGATGTAAGCGTAAAAGAAAGGGAACACTGTCTTGAGCAATGCACACTAATATTTCAAATGGAGCATTCTACCTGGCCAGCAAATCAAGGGCTCGTTTCTTCTAATCAAAGAGGGGAAGCGATTTTATTCTTCCATGACTTTTTCCCTGGAACGAAGCTGAGCCACATGCGCTTGGAGGCGGCGCAATTATTTGAACGTGAAAACATAAAACTGGACCGGGCAGTCCGAGTCAGAGATGAAGCCAATGTTCGGAGGCGCAATGATAAGCTAATCAATATTAACGTACTTGTATGGAAATTAAAAATAAATTGGAAGGCAGCCGCCGACCAGTGGAAGAAAGGGTCATCCCCTCATCCTCAACTCAATGACAAGCTGAACAATAGTTTTTTAACGGATCACAAGCTCAGCGTCCAACACGTGGTGCTCTCCTGCCCACAACATCTTAATCACTACTGTTTGAAATTTCAAACTCATATGAAACTGCTTGGAGAGGAAGGAGGAGGGGCGGTTTCAATAATGTCAATTTTCATCCATCGCCTTATCTTTTTTCTCTTGTCTTGTACCTCAAATTCTCACAATGAGCATCACACCGGGCTAATGGCATATTTGTTGTCCATGTGCCTGGAGTGGTTGGAGAGACTCTGCACAATCACGCACACACATTTCTATTTCCAGCCACATTGATGCCATAACCTTGACAAGTCAGCCTGTCATCCATCGCCGCGTACTATATTTAATAGTGACCACTGCCTAACCACTGTCTAATTATTGCACTTCGTCAAGTTACTCATTATTGAATCATTTTGTATAAATTGATGATTCTTTTACTATTATACGCACAGATCTTACGCCAAGAAACTCGATCTTTAATACGTAAACTTCTCTGTAAAAAAAAAAAAACCCCTCCCCCCCCCCCAACAAAATTAACTGACAAATTCATTTAATATATAAGGTTTCATATGTAGTGCAAATGAGATCACTATTCCTTTCCAAATGTGCAGGAAATCTTGTGACTCTGAGCTGCGTGACGTCCCCCCCCCCCCCAATATGACTAAACATTGAACATTATTCAAAATCTTACACCTACCAAAAAGTTGAATAATCATATAATCAATAATATTCTGAAACCTTTGCCTTTTGCCTTGCATGTATTCTAAATCCAATCAAGTATTTGCATATAACTACTCACAGTTTGAAACTCAGTACTTTTCCAAAAGATATAGTACATATTAATTAGGAAGTTGAGTTTACTTAGAACCTAACCCCATGCTCGTCATTCCTGTCATAATGAAGCTTTACAGTCAGATACAAACAGTGGGCTCATGTGTTTTGGAGAAGCCATTTGATTTTGGTCGCGTCCAGATAAGTTCAACTGGCATGCCACCAAAAACAAACATGACAACTACCTTTCCTCATTCTCTCATCAAACGAATAATTAGCCTACTGAAAACCACGTCGAACCTTTTTTTATTATTTTTAAGGATATCGGATAATAATTTATATTAGTAGTCTCTCCTGTCATCTCGAAGTTCGAGATATACATATCATGGTCATATGTCTAAACCAACTAATTCAAATCTTCAAAATCTTAACAAGTTTTTGGCCATGAAACGGATTTATTCTACTGTACTGGATCGTTACGTTGTTAAATGATTTGAACAGAGTGTGAAGTACACGTAATACAGCCATATATAGAAGCCTTATAGACCGTTGTGTTGCTCAACTATTTGTGATTCATAAGCATTAAAACGTTCAAATGTTGCTGGTTGCGTTATTCGAACGTTTTTAGGTCATGTAGGACCATAGGAAAAAGCTAATGACTAAATTCCAAATGAGAAACATAAGGGGCGGGGGAGGAGAATGTTATAAGTCCCATGTGTGAAAATTTCACGTGGGCTTTATAAGTTTAATAAACTCTTTTTTTAAAAAATTAGTTTTTTGGGATTTGATTTTTTTTTTTTAGCTTATCACAGATAAACATATTCAATTATTGATTGAGAACCGTTGAGGGGCTGAATGGGGCCCATTGCAAGTGAAATTACGCTAATATGGACGGCAAAAAATTGCATTATTCTTATTTTTTAATCATGTCATCGTCTTGCCATAGATACAAAAAATAAACCAAAAAAAAAAGAATTCTAAATTAATCATCCCATTTTCTTACACACTCTTTCCGTCTCTCGTCCGTTAAATACCCCTTTTTCCCCATTCATCCTTCAATCAAGCAAACGAATACACAACCAGCGCAGGCCTAGCTTGTGTAGTTCAAACAAAAATGGGGAAAGACGTGGAAGTAGCAGAGCAAAGAGAGATGACGGCGAAAGACTACCACGACCCGCCTCCGGCGCCGTTGATCGACCTGGAAGAGCTAACCAAGTGGTCACTATACAGAGCCGTCATAGCGGAGTTCGTAGCAACCCTTCTCTTCCTATACATAACGGTGCTGACCATTATCGGGTACAAAAACCAGACTTCGGGCACCACCCCTGAGGCCCAGTGCGAAGGAGTTGGCATCCTTGGTATCGCCTGGGCCTTCGGTGGCATGATCTTCATCCTCGTTTACTGCACCGCCGGTATCTCTGGTAAGACGACCAACCACTGATCTTGCGGTTGACCTCTCAATATATTATGTATGTAACGCCGTATTGTTACTAAAGTTGAGCTGCGTACGTGATGCAGGAGGACACATAAACCCGGCGGTGACATTCGGGCTTTTCGTCGGAAGAAAGGTGTCGCTGATAAGGGCGGTTTTATATATCTTAGCACAAATGGCCGGTGCTATCTGCGGGACTGGACTGGCCAAGGGCTTCCAGACAGCGTACTACGACAGGTATGGAGGTGGGGCCAATTCCGTTCAAGAAGGTTACAGCAAGGGCACGGCTTTGGGTGCTGAGATCATTGGTACCTTCGTTCTCGTCTACACTGTCTTCTCTGCCACTGATCCTAAGAGGAGTGCCAGAGACTCCCATGTTCCTGTATGCAACTGATCATCTCTCTTCTCACTTTAATTATATTTCTTGGTTTACTTTTGTTTTGATCGATTTCTCTATGTTAAATTTGAAAGGTCTTGGCACCACTGCCCATTGGATTCGCTGTGTTCATGGTTCACTTGGCCACCATCCCAGTTACCGGCACCGGCATTAACCCAGCAAGAAGTTTCGGCGCTGCTGTTATCTACAACAACGACAAGATCTGGGATGACCATGTAATTTTCCTAACCATTCCGTTTATTATTTCAAAGGAAAACTGAATAGGAAGTTTATGTGCGCGCTTAATTTTGTCGATCTTTTGTGTTTGTTCGCGTCAGTGGATATTCTGGGTTGGACCAATAATTGGAGCTGCGGCGGCTGCAATCTACCACGAGCACATTCTGAGAGCTACGGCCATAAAAGCTTTTGGCTCTTTCAGGAGCAACGCTTAACATGATTAAGCCAACCCAAGGCTTTGGTGTTTCCCTGAAAACAATGACAATTTGATCATTTGGAGGGAGGAACGAACAAATGCATGTGTGTTTTCTGCGGGCCTGATCTTTTGCGTTTCTTTATTTTCTTTTTGTTTCATGCTTTAGAGGAAACTGCCAAAAGCCAACTGTAGATAAACATGTCCAAGGGTGTATTTTGTATCCCCCTCGTGTTTTGAATATGGGTTTTTCTAAAATTTTGGTTATAAATTTTCTTTGTGAAATTGGAGCATACACGAATATAAAATGTGGGGGCAAATAAAGTGCGTGCATGAACCCCATGTTTTATATTTATCTCTAATTTTGCAAAAGAAATTTATAATTAAGAGATTTTAGAAGAATCAGACTCTATCCTTTTCCTCTATAAATTTCTGCATTCCTCGTGTTTACTTGTGCCAATGCTTTACTCCTTAGTAATTTATTTTCCTCCTCTACTTCTTCCTGGTGCAAGTTAATATGTACTCATCTTCTTCCCTGTTAAAGCTAGCAATTCCCGTGTGTTTCTACAAGTTTTTTTTTTTGCAAACGTTTCTACAAGGTGTAACGTCTTAATTTGCTCTACCAAGAAAGGCCAAGGCTTCGTCGTTCAGTTCTCTTCGGATCTTCTATCCGGTCAAATGTTAGTTCCGAAACATGAAACATCTCACATGCCTCCGGGTGAAAATGGAGGGACAGACAGATAATGAGTGGAAGAAAGTAACCTTATCCAATACCAGAACCGGGAGAGAAGAGAGAGAGAGAGAGCTATATTTATCCACTTGAGATACAGGAAAAAAAAATCCTTAGTTCTCAGGTTAAAGCTCAATTTCCGGAAGTTTGGTGATGTTTTCTCTCGTGTGGTCCAATTAGTTAGGTACGTAATAGTGTTCATGTCAAGCTGGACGCGGACTATAATGACAGAGGAAATGTCACATGGAATGGACAACATAATACGGTGTCCTTGTTGCTCGTAAATTAAGACACAACATGAGGACGGAGGTATACGTGCAAGCCTACAAGCATCTTGAAACTTCCAGTTCACTAAATGCAACTATCATTCCTCTCTCACAATCGTGTGATTTTGGGATGCGATGCCGTGCTTTGGATTCTTCTTTTTCCTCTCCCATCTGTGACCCTGGTGTGAGGGAACTATTAAATTAAAGTAATGAAAGAAAAAGCCAAGCCACACACGTCACACGACAGCCGACGGCCTTGGGGCTCCTAATTTGAGTAACATGTCTGTCATTTGGAAATTAATAAATGACAAGGCGTCTCATGCCTGTCCTATCACTTTATTGTAAATAGCATGTTTGGTCAAGTTTAGCTGTTGATGGGGAGCCACCATTAGGCTTCCATTATTGAGCTTTGAGATACCGTGGCCACAGCTCACATGCAATCTCACAGATGTCACAATCCTCTTGGTTATTTTTGTAAAAATCTCATAGGTTTTCCTTTGAGGAATTTTAATATCATTAGATTATAATTGAATGACTAATATCTCAATTGAAACTTAACTGGGAGGGCTCAACTAAGAAGGTCTGAATCCATAAACTGCACAAGGCAAATTTTGTGATTAATCTCCCTCACACACACTCGGACTTCATATAATTTTGAGTTTTAATTTGCTCATCTCTGAATTCCAGGGCTTGTGGCTTATTCATCTGATTTCAACGGAGGTATCCAAATTTATGTTAAGAAGCATTAAACCAAAGGATCATCTTTTTGTTGGAGCCGAGTAATTCAATTTGCTGTCTTGGATATATGAGAGCCAAAGGACACGTTTGATGGAATTCCGTCGTCCTGAAACCAAGTTTCATAGTCCCAGTTTATTCAGCAATCTCTGGAGAACACCGGGGGATCTAGAGTTTGCTTAACAAAAGATATCAGAAGGAATAGTTAAATGATAATGGTGAAGCATGTTGAATTAGCTATTTACCGCTGATACCGATGTTACAATTTTAAAATTATATAAACTGATAAATTATTTAACATGACATAGGAATATTTTAGAAAAAAAATATTACATTTGCATAATTAAGTAATTTATTAATCTATTCAAATTAATTAAGTATTTCTTACCGTAAGCATTGGAAGAGTATAACTTATCATTTTGAATCCTTAAGCATCGTTTACTGAAAATATTACACACCCGTTATTATGAGAGTGAACGCACCACAAGACCGGACAAGTTACTCCTTCGCCGCGCAGCAGAGGCATCTGTCTTTTAAGTTATCTCCTATGGCTCCTTCCTTCTTTTTTTTTCCTTATATATACAAGCAGAAGTTTAAATGAGTTGAGTTTCAAGAGCTCATTAAAGTCAAAGCATATGTTGAAATTCAGAAATCACTTATAGGGATTACTTACAGGTTACCACTAACAAGGTACTTACATTAACAGTAAGATTTAAACTTACGATCTTATGAGTTATGAATCAACTTCTTACTAGTTGGCTTAACTTTTGCTGGCAAGACGGCTCCTTTGTTCTGTGGAGCTTTCGGTTCAAGGCAGTGAGGAAGAGGGTTGAGCCGAGGGGCGTTTTTGTTTCTAACCCAATTCATGCTAAGGCCCAATCGCCTAGAACATGGGCATTCTCTTTGGTTTCAAGCCCAACAAGACAGCCTCAATTTTAAAAGGTTCAGTACAAAATAATGAAAATATGATGTAACGGGAGAAATACAATGCAAGAGAAAGAAGGCACCACACAACTGTGCATGGTTGGCAACAAAATATAACAAGGTATGCCTATGAGTTCTGCTTGCACTTGCACGCGCCTCGCGCATTTGCAATAATAATACGAGAAAGGGGCAGCCCAATCACGGGAGAGGCTCCCCCATTATTATTATGACTCATCACTTCTCTCTTGCGTTGCTTTCTGCCCTTTGCTGCCCCTCCAAGCTAAGCTAACCCTCCCTTCCACTCCATGCTTCACCCACTTCTCTGCGTTCCCCCAAAGCAAAATACAATCAACCCCTCCTCATTATGTATTCTACTCATTATTCTTCATTACTTCATCAGTACTGTGACTTAGCCTCATGTGTAGAAATCATGGCCTTCTTTGAGTGGATGATTAATGCCTTTTTTCACTGTGGATTGCTTAATTAATTATCTGACACTTGCATCCCCTTTGTTTTTCCCCCACCTGCTCTTCCTATGTTTTTGAGTATGGCACTCAATTACATGACAACCCACTCCACTGCCAACATCATTCTCAGAGCCACGTCCGAGCCATCCGCTCTCAGGCAGTGTACTTCATATCACTTCATTGCCTTCTTTAGGACTTGAACAACTTATTGATTGATAGTCCTTGAGCGTGAGGGTAGTTTGGAAATTAAAACGGTTCAATATTTCGAGTGGCAAGGGGCCAGAAAAAAAGAAAAGGAAAAAAGAAAAAAAAGAAAGAAACCATAATTCTGTTCCCCTTTCAGTAGGCTGCTTTTCCCCTGCAAGAATTGAATTCCAAGTAACAACCACTTACTTGGACCTTATAAAAGCCAGTGAAGCCCCTGATAAGCTTTCATCCCAAAGCTTCTTCATTCTCTGCTTTTCAAGTGTCCAACACAGAAAACAAAGAAACAAGATGAGTCCGTTTGGCTTCTCTCTGCTCTTCCTCTTGTCCCTGACCCTTGTGTCCATTGCTGCGTCCCAAGAACGAGCCCCCCACGGGCTTGTTAATGAGAGACCCGTGGCTTTTCCACCATCAGCATATGACTTCTTCCATCCGAATGCAAGAAAGCCTGAGGCAGGAGACGAGTGTTCTGCATCCAAATGCTCACCGCTTCCAGAAGCGGCTCAAGTGGAAGCCACTCAGATATATGAAAGCAAAGCCTTGGCTTCCCAGAAAGGCAGAAAGCAAATAGGAGCTGGAGGGATTGCTGGCATTGTGTTTGGCGTTGCTTTTGCGGTGCTTCTTGCAATGGGAGTCTACTACGTGAGGGTCAAACGTCAAGCCAACATGAGTCGAGCCAATACTGTCCAACCTCAAGCTTGACGAGCTTTTCTGCATTAACTTAGAAGTCTCAGCTTAGTAGCAGGGAATGCGTCCCTGCCTCTCTCTATCTCACTTTCTTATCCCTTACTAGTAGTAGTTTGCTCCTCTCTAATTCCAGTGTGATGGTTAGCCTGTGTATCTATGGTTATGATAGTGACTCATTTGAATGTCATTAAGATATCACCACTGCTGTATGTTTCTGATGCTCACCTGTCGGTATGAAGATCAACAACCGAATTGGGATCCTTCAGGACATAATTGTAACTATTTTAAGCGTTTCATAGTCATACTGGGGAGACAATAGACGCAGGAGTCGGTTAAATAATTATAATCCCTGAATGCTAAAACTCGAAATTCTCTTTATCATCATTATCACATATCATAGTCGAATACCGTGTATGGCAGGCATATCAGTTTAAAACATGATTTTTTTCTGTAGAAATTATCGGCCAAAGTGTCTTAATTTCCGCCAGTCAAAAATACATTGAAAAGAAAGAGAGGGACAATAGGGAGCAAAAGCAAATTCTTACGTTTACTTTAGCTTTGGAGTTCAAAGATTTTATTAGCTATACTTTCACAGAATTTGCAATTTTTGTATTTGCCAGTGTATCAAAAAAAAAAAAAAAGAATTTTTATTTGTAAGGCGAGCGAACCGAAATCAGAAACATTGAGGTGAATTCAATTCTGGTGCGTTATATCTCTATCGAATATAATTTGCTCCATACTTGTTCAAAATTTCTGAAATCTTGTTCGAATATGAACTCTTTCACGTGACTTTCATCTCTTATAAACTTACGTTACGATCTGTCTACAAGAAACGGCAGATGACAATTAATATTAACAGAGTGCCGACCAATATGGCAATATGTGCGTTTCGTTGACGATAGGCGCCTGCTAACAAAACGCCCCTCCAGCCATTCACCCAACCCAAGCAAATCCCGCTTTAAAAAACGGGCATCTTGTTGCATATATTAAAGCAGCGTGAGTACACAGGACACATTGTGATGCATATCCGTTTAACAATTCAGGATATCCAGAAGATAAAGAGAAGATCAAAGAATTTTATGTCCATGTATCACACAAAAGTTGAAACAGAAGTTGAAACACTAGTGTAAAACAGCACTCATCAACCACTTCTACCATCCACGTGAACTGAGAGACTTTATCAAAGGCCCAAATGTCTGGTCCACAGTTTTGTTCCATGAGTGTGCCAATTCTGAACGCGATTTCTTCCCACATATGGGTTCTCTAACCTGTTGGAGCATCAAAGCCAAAAGGACACGTTATAAAAATTGCTGAGCAAATCAGGAATTTAAATGCACAGAACAGTTAAAGTGCCCTTCATTTGTTAATGTTATGTTCCCCAGGCCTGCGGTCTTTGAATCATAGTGAAAGAATCCATTCCTTTGTAAGAATTAAGAGTAAAGGCAGACATGGCATTTTATTCTTTTGAAGGGGGAATTCTTAAGCCGGTTTGGTTTCAATTTGAATCATAGTTGTAAGGCTGACAACATAGGCAAACTATAAACACACAGTAAGGACATGCTGATAGTGCTACCACAGAATGCATATATCCAGCTTTGACCAAGCTGATACCACGCAAATTTAACTTAACGTTTGACCATCTGCAATTCTGCATCATAAATGGTAAATCTCACTGTAGTCTGTAGTAATTCCCACAAAATTCGATATAGGGCAATAAGGTGATAGTCCAATTCTCTGTTTTGGGCTTTTAAGTAGAATGCGGAAATTGTAATAACTCAAGAGGACAACTCTACACTAAAATTCACATGCATGTTCATGTAGGTTGAAGCAATAATACGCAACGTCCCATCTTAAGCAACAAGGGTAATGCCAACATATGTTGCAACACCAGCCCAAAAATCTATCGCATTTTGAGCTAATATGGAAATGACAGAAATGCTCTCAAGGTGTTTCTCGTTATTCATCAGACATAGATTCAAGTAATGTGCTTAACATAAACGATTCCATTTTTGAAAGTGATAATACTCAACCAGAAACCAATTAAGATTAGAAAAAAAGATTCCTGCTTTATCATCTTATTGTGAACTAACGATCTATCCCAGGCACTTTGACAATCCAATGTATCATGTCATCACATCATCTTCAACATATGGCGATGAAAATTTTGAGCTTCCCTTTCCATTCGGTAGGTATGATTCTATCAGTGAACTATATTTTAAGAGTTTATTATGCAGAGATATGATCGAAGGCACACACCCAAGATAATAATACAAGCAATACATAAAACAATGGGAATATAACAAAAATCGAAGTTCTTTTCTTTGCACCCGCATCTTAAGATCTAAGCTCGTGGTCATGGTCATCATTGTCCAGAAAAACTGACGCAATTGTTCAACTAACATTCTCCATAAATCTAAGCCATCTTCGAAGTGATAAAAATCCACAGCTCAAAAAAATTCAGCCAGGAACCATTCATCAAGCTGAAGCAGAGAACCATCTCATCTATGTCAATTGGATTTCTATTCGACAACAAGTTAATAGAAATGAGGGACTTATAACTAGTTGTAACCATGTGCATCGGTAGAATCGAATTTAAACAAGCGTCAAAAGGGAAAAAGACATTGGGTTTACCGGAGTGTGGTGAGGAGACTCGGATTGAATACGGGAAATGGAATTATATATTTGTCTGCGTTCTTCAAACACAATCGACCCTGTAAAAAGGACTCCCAGTGTAGCCCCGAGTAACCGCTCCTTTGTATTTCGTAATTGCGGAGAAAGAAATGAAAATGGGAAATTCAGTGCACCAATGTCGGTAGAAGGGGGGAAAAACACAGAATCCTTATAGTTGATCATACAGAAAGAAATACCTGAGCAAGAATGCTAATCATGGTTGGTTTTCCTGCAACAGATTAGCCAGAAGAGAAAAATGGCCAAGCTTTTCAATTGCAGCTCCCTGCAGAAGAGAGAGAAGAAGAACGGCGGAGGCAGCGTAACGAATTTCATTTACTAGACTCGAATATTGGGCCTTCAGACACGGCACTCAATCATTGGGCCTTTAGATACTGGACTGGAGACACCTCCAAATTGTTAGCGTCCATCCATGTACAGTATTATTTAATTAATTAGTACTCTTTTTATCCTTAATATAAGACTTATTTAACTAATTTGATTAGATTAAAGAAGTTGGGTAAGTTAGTTAATTATAAAAAATATAACATGTTTTTTTCTAAAATACCATAAACACCATAATCATTTTTTTAAATATCCTCCCTCCTTCACTTACTTGATTATAGTTGAGAGAATATTCATAGAAATAATTTTAAAAAAATTGATAAATATAATAAATAAGTCTTGTATTTAAAGCTAAAATTAATTTAATAATTAGATCCTATATTAAAAAACAGAAGAGTATATTATTTTCCACCGGAAACTATCGTGGGGATCATCGTCAAATAAATACCATCAACATTTTACATAATCTAATTATAAATAAATTATGATTGTAATTACCAATTTACACTTAAACTTAGTCAAAGGCACCGCTTTGAGCCAACTGTAAGATTCTAATGTACCGAAACTAACGGCGTCGTGCGAAGGTCAGAAAGCATTGATATATTCTAGTCAAACTCTCTCCCCTCAGTCAGAGTCTCACAGACAGATCTCCCTCCTTCCTCTACTTCTCCGGTGATCTTAAACCCTTCAAAAATGCCTAGTCGACGGCACGTCGTTGTCGTTTCGCTCACTACTCTTCTCCTCTTCTCATTGTTCGCTCTGTCTTCATGCAAGGCCGTCGAAAATGACGATGACGAAGATCTCAGCTTTCTCGAAGAAGCTGATGACAGCTCTTCTTCACATTACCACTACCCGGATCCGGCCCATTCCGACGATGATGATGATTCCTATGACGATAATTTCGGTGACTTCTCTAGCTACGACGGGTCGGGGGCCAATCAAGAGGCTTACAAACAACCAGATGTGGATGATAAGGATGTCGTCGTTTTGAAAGAGAGGAATTTTAGTGACGTTGTGGAGAATAATCGATTTGTAATGGTGGAATTCTACGCTCCCTGGTGTGGTCACTGCCAGGCTTTGGCACCAGAATACGCCGCCGCAGCGACGGAGTTGAAGTCTGAGAATGTGGTTTTGGCGAAGGTGGATGCAACAGAGGAGAATGAATTAGCGCATGAGTACGATGTTCAGGGATTCCCCACTGTCTACTTTTTCGTCGATGGGGTTCACAAGCCTTATACTGGTCAGAGAACCAAGTAAGTCTAGTCTATTGGATGTGATTCTCCTTTTTTCTTCATTTGGTTTCTTTCACAGTCAGTTCTGTCACTAGTGATGAATGTTAACTGTTATTTTCTACATGTCGTGGTACCGGACGTAATTCCTTTCCACACTCTTCGAAAATTTGAATGAAAATAGGCACTGTCAGTTATATCAATTATGCCCCCGGTCATGTATTGTGTCATAAACATCTTCTACTGCTTTCGGATCTGACTTCTTAATAACAATACAGAGATGCCATAGTGACCTGGATTAGGAAGAAAATAGGACCTGGCATATACAACATAACAACATTGGATGATGCTGAACGCATATTGACCTCTGAAAGCAAAGTTGTTTTGGGCTTCCTCGACTCTTTAGTTGTAAGTATTCACTATTTATTGTGCGGCCTGGATTCATATCTGTTCTTCCTATAATTCTATTTTGTTTTATCTGTTCTTCTATTTTGTAACGATATCTGCTGTTTTAGGAATTCTCTAAGTCCCTCATTAAATATCAAATATTCATCACATTTATTTTCATTCTGATCCCCAGAATATGATTAAGACAAATTGTTGCATTTCCAACTCCATCATCAGCATCTATTGTTGATCTCTTGGATTAAACTGTTCCGTCATTCAGACCAATGCCTCTCTAAGCCTAAAATTTGCGTGCAAAAAATATAAAGGGCCTAAAATTTGTTGGATGCACAGAAATATCTGAAATCCATTTATGGGGAAATTCTGACAGTCACGAGGCTGATGACTCATTTTCACTGCCATGTTATGAAGGGTTCTGAGAGTGAGGAGCTAGCGGCTGCTTCAAGACTTGAGGATGATGTAAATTTTTATCAAACCGCGAATCCTGATGTGGCAAAGCTTTTCCATATAGATCCAAATGTTAAACGCCCTGCTTTGGTCCTTCTCAAGAAAGAGGAGGAGAAGTTAAACCATTTTGGTTTGTTCTCTTTCTAATTCTTCTCTCTTTTGCATTAACTTCTAGAGTTTTCTCTGGTCATGGAGAACTGATATATTTTTATCTCAAGCTGCAGATGGCGAATTTGTAAAATCTAAAATATCGGATTTTGTGTTGGCTAACAAACTTCCTTTGGTCACAACTTTTACGAGAGAAAATGCCCCTTCAATTTTTGAAAGTTCCATCAAGAAACAGGTAATTGGTGAATGTAATGAACTTCTCTTTTCTTTTTTAATCTTTTTGGTTTGTCCATCAATGGAGAGACATACTTCAGAAATAGATTCTTATGATCTTTTGACATTGCCTTGTGCTTGGAACTTTGTTTTAGTTGTTGCTGTTTGCAACTTCAAATGATTCAGAGAAGTTTGTCTCTGTATTCCAAGAAGCAGCGAAATTTTTCAAGGGAAAGGTATATCATCTACAGGCTGCTCAATTTTTGTTCACTGTGCCATAGCACTCTGGCAGCAAACTTGTTTAGATTTTTTATTTCAGATAGTATGCAAGTGAATTATGATCGGCATCCTCCCAGTCATCATGTAGATTAGGACGGTATTTTTTTTTTTGGGGGGGGGGGGGATTGAAATATAGCCAAGAGAGTATGGGGTTAAGTTGTCAATGTTAGATGTAGCTTGTTCAAGTATGTCACTCTATAGCCTTGTCCTTATGGATCATCTATTGCAGCTAATCTTTGTACATGTGGAAATGGATAATGAAGATGTTGGAAGGCCTGTTGCAGATTATTTTGGTATCACTGGAAATGCTCCCCAAGTAATATTTTGTTCTCTCCATATGGTTCTTTTGAATTTCATCCCAGTGGTTGAGTCATAACATTGAATCATTTCATTGAACCTGTGTGTTTCCGACGAAGGTAATTGGATACACAGGAAATGATGATGGAAAGAAATTTGTGCTTGATGGCGAGGTGACCAGAGACAAAATTAAGGTACTTCTTCCCATCTTCCTCTCCCCACCACATCATGCGAACAGCCTTATGTTCTTCCCACTACATAATGTTAAATGTGTTCGAGTGTTTCCTTATATTTCTGGAGAGCTGCAGAAGCATAATTGCATCTAAAGATCTTGCCTCTGTTATCTCAGGCATTTGGGGAAGATTTCCTCGAAGACAAGCTAAAACCTTTTTATAAATCTGATCCTGTCCCTGACAATGTAAGTTATGTTGCTTTCCTGCTATCGGAAATGTTCTAGTAAGATCTTTATCTAACACATTTTTTTTCTTAACTTGATTGCAGAATGATGGTGATGTAAAAATAGTTGTTGGGGATAATTTTGATGAAATTGTCTTGGATGAGTCAAAGGACGTCCTCCTTGAGGTACTATTCTAACCCACTAATTGTGATGGGAATGTTTATTTTATTTACCTCTGCAGCTTCTTTTTCTCAATTTTGTGCTTCTGAAAATACTAGATTTATGCACCTTGGTGTGGCCATTGCCAAGCACTTGAACCAACATACAACAAACTGGCAAAACAGCTGCGTGGCATTGAGTCTCTAGTAATAGCCAAGATGGATGGAACAACAAATGAGCACCCAAGGGCAAAGGTAGACCTCATTTTTCAGTTTTTCACCATCTTCGCTAGCATAAAATATGTGCTATTGCTTTTCTTTACTAAAATGGATTGGATTGGAACTCAAGTGTTGCCCTTTTCAGTTAAGAGTAGAATACAGTCTCTTGTTTTTTTAATAATGGATAGTCTCTTGTGTTTCATAAGTGTATGCTCTTAACCTGTTGAGTTTTAAAACAAAAAGAAAGAAAGATTGGTTTTAGAATATATTGATCAGCAATTTTTTATGTTCATTTTGCAGGCTGATGGATTCCCTACTCTTCTCTTCTTCCCAGCAGGGAACAAGACTTCTGATCCTGTTAGTGAAAAACCAGACACTAGTACCTATTTTCCGTATTGAGCTGCCTCCAATCTTTGTATGCTTTATCTTTAGATATACTAATATGACTCAGGTTCAAATGCAGGTTACTGTTGATGCAGATCGTACCGTGGTGGCCTTGTATAAATTCCTCAGAAAACATGCATCAATCCCATTCAAGCTTGAGAAACCAGCCTCAACTCCGAAACCCGAGAGTCCAGACGCCAAGAAGAGTCAGAGTAGCAGCAGCGACGTGAAAGATGAATTGTGAGGCTTTAAATGATATTCTATTTATGGTGGTTAGATTCAGATGGATGGTGATAGAATGACCTCGGGAGAGAAACAAATACGACTTCTCCTTTACTGTTGAGCAATAACCGGGATGAAATGAAGCTCTAGGCTGGGCTGCTAGATATAGGAGGCAAATAATCGACACTTGTGTTGTTGGTCCTCAACTTTTCCTTTTGTTTAGAATTTTGCGTGATGCTTAATAAACAATTGCCTCCGAAGTTTCATCTTCAGCTTTCGTTCAGTTTTGCTTGCATTTCATTTGGTATCGGACGTGTCTCGGAATTGGTTCTAAGCGGATGCAAAATGTTTTTCTTTTCCTTCTCAGTTGAATCTTTGAATTTTCAATTTCGGACTTCATCACTTAACAAAATTTTAAATCTAAAATCGATTAATTATCTATGATCACAATTAAAATGAGCTCCCTTTCAGATCACGCAAGCCTTTCACCTCTAAGGCTAATGCAATGTTAAGGAAGCGTGATTCACATTATTCAAGGGAATTCGATCATTATTCATTCTTTTTCATGAACGAGCAGCTGTGGTCCGTGTATCAACAGAGTTTCCCCCCTCCTTAATTGATGAATGCCTCAAAGTGGCAGGGAAAAGAAAGGGAGTTGCTTATTCGGCTTCTTCCATTGTTCACGGCCACAACAGCTCCGGTGATTTTACTCCTCTGTAGGAGGGTCTACCCAACGTCCATGTTCTTTTATCAGATCGATCAATGCATCGGTTGCGCGCTCCATTTCTATTCCACGCCTCACCACCGTCTGTAACGCCATTCAACTCATTGTCAATTTTCATTTCATGAGGGAAAGAACAGAGAGAGCGAGGGAGAGGGAGAGGGAGAGAGAAGAATGATCCTGACGCGTAGAAACGTTTTACAGTGGATATTACCTTCCCAACGTAAAGGTCGATCTTTCCTGGCGCACCTCCTACATACCCAAAGTCTGCATCAGCCATCTCTCCGGGTCCATTAACGATGCAACCCATGATAGCAATCTGATACGGCAGACAATCATCATAGTAGAAACGAAAAGTAATTTGAATTCTGTTAATGCTATTTTGCGCAGAATAATTATGACACATTGCAGGTTATAAATTATCAAAGAAGCAGAATTTCAGCCCAAAAAGGGTACCAGAGATTTACCGAAACACCAGGCAAGTGTGATGTCTTCTCTCGTATTTGTGCACTTACTTCTTGAAGGTCGAACAAAGTTCTCCCGCAGGATGGACATGATACGTACTCCTGCAGCATAATTTAGGCATATAAATAAGGGTCAGGACTGTTTCTTAAGTCCAGTCCAAGTCTTCTCTGTGGCCATGGTTAAACCGACTTACTGTTTTTGTATTCCTCATTCTGCATCCTTGGAGCAAGTTGAAAGATGTATTCCTCAGAAAATCAAAATCTCTATCTGGGGCCTCTAAAAGAAGACCGTCTCCAAGCCCATCAACCAGAAGTGCTCCGGCATTGGCACCGGCACCAATAACCAAGTCATCACTGAGTAGCAGCAAATTAGGTTTCGTCATGACTATGACTGTATTTATTTTTTGAATTCTTCACCAAGAAGCACAATACATTAAAAATACCTGTGGATTCCATTTGGAAACTGAATATGATGAATGACTGGAAAATCCAAGGAATTTTCTGCCAGGTACTCAAATAACCTGATGGCAATGCATGATATAGGATTAGACGATTTCTATATGGCAGTGAAGTTGAAGTTTGTAGAATAAGCATACCAGAGGGCAAATAAAATAATAAAAAGCTGCTATATTGAAAAATTCCCACCTCCTTGCTGCATGCACCCTGCTAACTTTGTTTTCAGTATAAGGTAAGTCATGGAGAAGCATAGTAACATCAACAGCTTTGAGCATTTCCAGTTCTTCTTGAGGCTCATCACCACGTACTGACACAACCAATCTTGTGCCTGAAAGGACATCAATTGACAGGATATTACGCTACTTTCAAGTGGGCAGGGAAAATATGTCACTAGAGCGAGACTACGTATTGAACAAATGACACAGACCCCATTCCCCAATTTAACGTTATCTACTTATCTTACTTTAAAATTTCAGAAAAAAAGGTGGTCAATGTAATTTGTATTAACCTAAACAAGAACATCAAGATGACTGGCACCTTGCGGCAAGAGCTTGTAAGCACCAGTTGATAGTTCCTTCAGGTTTACCAAAACCATGGCGTTGGGTAACGGCTTTGTTAGCTGCTCTGATAAAGGAGTTATCACCCCCATGCTTATATCTATCAGCCGTTTCAGAGCTACCCGCTGATCACAAAAAGTAATATCGAAGTGAATCAGAACAAGAAATTGTTTCCCCTTTGAGTATAATGTTGCACATTTTCGTAGATGAAGGTCCTTACAGCATCAGCATCATCCACTGGAGGAAGTTGCCGCAATAAGATTGAATCCACTGTAGCCAGATCCTAAAGATACAGAACCATGTAAGCAACTTCTTCTGTGGATCGAGAACAGTTGACACAACATATTCACCCAAGAAATAAGAGAAAAATACCTTAAATGGCATACCAACAATGAGTTTGGCTGCAAGGGACTTGTAGAGGAGCTCAGGCACCTGCAGGAATCAGGAACAGGAATTAAAAAAGAAAAAATGTAAAATGCTCGTTCTTAGAATGACACATGGCATGCCTGCTTCTCCACTAACTAAAAATAAAATATAGAACAAAATTAGCACAAGAAGAAACATCCAGCAGACCAGAAAAGAAGAAAGTAGGACAAAGGAAGTACGGTTCAAACGTTACCTTTAATTGATCCAAGGAGACGGACATGAGAACAGAACCATCCCGGTGCAGGACGCCTCTGTAATCCACCTCCTCACCCTGTATTAATATCAAAAGATAACAATATGTTCTAATGTGTGGGCAGCGCATAAGAACAACATAGATAAATTTCACACGGTTTATAATCTGACCTCTCTTTGTACTGGCAATTGACCAGAACGGCGCTGGAAGTCAAAATAATGTCTGTGCTTTTCTTCAAAAGGTGCCTGATGGAGTAGTGCCATTAAAGTTCATTAGCTTTTCTGATATGTCAAAATTTCGAGTTAGAGAACTTAGGCATGTTTACATCAGAGTCATTATTTGGAGACATACCACCCCTTGCTGGAGTTCAGCAGCCCTCATACCAAGGTTGGCCAACCTTCTGCAGGGATCTATCTCCTCTTCAGGCGGTTCAGTGAGAGAAACCCTAATCGTATCACCCAAACCATCCTGCATTTACAGTTACAGCAACGCTTGTGAAGACATAGCTTTATCTGCATAAATATCCGTTCAAGGTGCAGCTTCTCATATGAATACCTGAAGAAGTGTTCCAATACCAATTGCAGACTTCATACGCCCATCTTCACCTTCTCCAGCTTCAGTCACTCCCAAGTGTAATGGATAATCCCAACCAAGAACATACATTTCAGCTACAAGTAAACGATAAGCCTGGACCATCACAACTGGGTTGCTTGCTTTCATAGAGAAGACAAAATTGTGGAAGTCCAACTTTCGGCATATCCTTGCAAATTCAAAAGCTGATTCAACCTGTACAATGTATGCTCATCAGGATGAACAATTCTGTATTCTTTTCTTGTGTGTTGTGTGTGCGCCCCAGGGGGGTGGTTTGGGAAATAAAGAACTGTTCGGTGCTCACCATTCCCCGGGGAGAGTCTCCATAATAACTCATTATACGATCTGAAAGACTGCCATGGTTTGTCCCAATGCGCATTGCTCTCCCATATTTCTTACATTTCTCAACCAATGGAGTGAAAACCTGACAACACTCAGAATACATCAATCCTTGCACATGTAGAGCTCAAGGAAGCGTACAACTCCAGAAGAGTACAAAATTGAAAAAGAGCAGATGGACGGGTTCACCTGTTCAATATGCTCAAGTTCTTTCTGATAATCTTCTTCTGTGTACTCTAGTTTCTCAAATTGAGCTCGTCTATCAGCTGCAGGAGACCACAATCTTGGAATTAGAATATGTTTAACTCTAAATTCTCAGAAAATTTGAGAAAGAAAAAAACGGTGCATAAAGAAAGATGCATACCAAAATTTCCAGGGTTGACACGAATCTTGTCAAAGCATTCCGCAACTCGCAAAGCAACAGACGGGGCAAAATGAATGTCAGCCACCAAAGGTATGTTGTAACTGGTCGTAGATGGATAAGGACAGAGTTAAACGGATGCGTAATATGTAATAATGGTGACCTGGAGCTCAATATTGCTCGCATCAATTCATACTTACTTTTTCTGCACAAGAGAGTTCTTAATCTCAAAGCATGCATCTGCTTCTTTCTTCCCTTGAACTGTTATCCGCACAATCTCAGCTCCTTTGTCCGCAATTCTCATCACCTGGCAATAGATTGCATTTGAATACATTAAATTACAACTCCCGTCAGTCTTATTTAAAGTGAAGAGAGGGAGGGAGGGAGCGGGGAGAGCAAGCAACTTGAACTAAAGATACATTTGAGTTAAAAGCAGTTGGACAACCTCTTCAACTGTTCCGGCAACATCCTTAGTGTCATTGGTTGTCATTGTCTGAATTCTTATTGGATGCTCACTACCGATAGCCACATTACCAACCATCACCGTCCTTGTTTTCCTCCTGACTGTCTTGTGTAATGATTCATTGTACTTTTGCCTAGGAACTACAATAATCCATGCATCAGGAGGAAATAAACAAGTAATAATTGTCAGGCATGATGTAAAAGTTGTATCTTCGAAAACCGTAAGTATAGGTAAGATTCAATGATAAATAGTTCAGGCATGTATCTTTGAAAACCGAAAATTACAAGATAAAATTTAAAAACAGCATTTAGAGTTTTGTAAAGGCAATCAGAAAGCAGCCCCAAAGGTGAGGCAATAGAAGCCTTCATGGAATAACCTACAGTGAGGACGAGAAAAGCAGAATGGAAATTATACCTACAAGAGGGCTTCCTTCTGATGCAGGTTGAAGTTCAACAATATCCCGGCCAGGACCTGATGAGTTCCTTATAACTAAGACCTTTGTCCTCCCAGATTTTATCCTCTTCAGACCCGAAACTCTCACAAAATCCATACTTCCCCCAAATCCCAAACTGGAATCTCTGCTCTTGAGCGCAGAAAATGAAGCAGGCACAGTCCCAGTAGCCATTTTCTTCAGGCCCAACACCTCACCTTAATCACACTGCGGAATTCAAATCAACTGATGGACAAGCAGCAATTCCTACTTATAATGCCT